ACAACCGCACGTTCAGGCCCTGATGACGTCGCAAGATTCATCATTTCTCGACCTACAGGGATACCAAAGCGTCGGTGGTGGAACGATTCAATCGCACCTTGAAGAACGCATGTACCGGTACTTTACCGCTCGCAACACGTACCGGTACGTGGACGCGTTACCCGCGTTGGTGCAGGGGCTACAACGTGACCAAACACCGTAGTATCGGCCTGGCCCTCGCGACGTGACGTGGACTAACCAACGCCAAGTGTGGCAACGGTTGTACGGCCAACGTCTGGCGCGTCGCGTGCGCCGGAAATGGAAACCGGGGATCGCGTGCGGTTGCAGAACAGCACCGTCCGTTCGAGAAAGGCTATCTGCCGGGTGGACCGAAGGTGTTTCTCATCGACCGGGCCGTGCCGGGCCCCGTGGCTACCTATAAAATCAAGGGTGGGACGGTACGCCCGTCAAAGGCACCTTTTACGAGCAAGACGTGCAGAAGGTCGACGTGCCGGACGACGCGCTGTTTCGCGTGGAGAAAGTGTTACAGCGTCGACGCCACGAGGTCAAGGTGCGTTGGAAAGGTTGGCCCCGAAATACGACGTTGGATCCCAAACGTAGTCCTGACCTCGCTCAATGAGTCGTCCGTGGTGGGACAAGTGGGCCAGTCCTGCCAAAGACAATGGGCCTACGCCAATGCCTACCATCGTGCTGAAGAGTATGCCCAAACGGGGTGCCTGGTCCCCACCCAAGAAGAAGCGACCCTCAAGAAGAAGAAGCGACCCTCAAGAAGAAGAAGCGCGCGTTCCGGGCTAAATTGCGAGGTATGGTCAAGCGCGGAAGAGTGTCGGTTGGACACGACCTTGCGTCAATTGGTGCAAGCCTTTCCCCAGGCCGATCATACCTTAAAAGTCTGGCCCAAACGTTCCAGTTTGAATAGCACGGTGGGCCGGGTCCCCGGATCAAGCGTAAATTGATGACGTTCCTATAAAAGAGGTCCGACCCGAGAGGACCACACGCGAGAGATGGAACCGTCGAGTCGATCACTCTACGTCACGCTGCTGAGTAACACCAGCAAGCCGGAGTTTCCCCACAATACCCCGGCGTCGTTCAAGGTGCGATTGCCGTACCCGTTGCGCGTCAAGAACTGGCACGTGGGGTGGCTGGGGTCTACCGGACCCCCAACACGGTGTCGCATGGGGTGACGTCGCATCCGTGACGTCCACCCCCACCGCGCCGGTGGCGCCTCTCACGGAACATCGACAGTCCTATTTGTTCAGGGGTCGGAAAACCAGCGATTGGCCCGTTTGTATGCGGGCCATGAAGGGCGACGATTCGACCACGACGCAAGACATCACCGTGACCATGGAGGATGCCGACATGCCCGAAGCCACCACGGGGTGACGTTTATGAAAAAGTGGTCCGTTGGATGGAACAAGACAAGTGGACGAAACTCTATACGGGGTATGTGTTTGGGTCGGCCGACGTGAATTATGATCTTCACTTCGAATGGAAGGACGAAGCGGGGGTCCCGACGTTGTGGATCTTGAATGAGAAACTCAACTTGTCCTACAACAAACCGCGCCCTTACTTGGGGCTCAATCGGGTGATGGCTCAACAAATGGGATGGTTGGTGAGAAAAGAGGACCGGTCGTATATCCTGGGACCCAATTTGATGTTCCCGCACGTGAAGAAGGTCAAGTCCCGAAATTCGCGGCCGACGCGGATAGGAATCAATTGTTCACGTTTTCCAACTACGTGCACGTGAACGGGGGATGATGTATCTGTCCATGGCGATGGATTGGCAGTTTGTGAATTTGGACGAAGCCTATGCGCGGGCCACCACGTCTACGTCCCTCCCAAGACCCTGTGGAATCATTTCCGATGGATCATGGGGACGAGAGCGTGTGGATCAAGGATGGAGGCATTAAGTCCTTGGGGTTTGTCAATCTGGAAGGCTCCCCCATTATTGGAAGAAGAAGACCGTCGGCATGACGTTGACGAAAAGCGGCAACAAGTACGAACCCAAGTTTGGTTGGATCATCAGGACCACCAAGCTGAGCAAGGGCTCACGTATCGAATCATCGTCGAGATCTACGACCGACCAGGTGTTGTTTGACAAGACGAACGTGAGTGCCTGGGTAGTTTCTACGTGCGCATGATCGACTCGGCGTTGACGACGCACGTGCATGAATACGGTGGTACGCACATGGTGTATTACCATCGCCTCGTGCAAGATTTCCGGCTGACGCCGCAGTCGGACCATACGTCGCGGTTGTACCTCAAGGTGACCATGGACGGCGTGCCCAAATCGTACCCGGCCACGTTGACGGATCAATGTTACGTGGTGGTCTACGGTACACCATCCCCGCCCACGAGCCGCCCTTCACTCAAGTCGACGACGTGTACGACGCGCATCCGGTCATTCGACGAGACACCACCACCACGTCGACCAGCAGTACCACCGAAACGACCACCACGCCCACGCATACGGGCAGTCAAGACAAACAGAAAAAGACCACGGTGACACCCGCGACGCACGGGGAGCCGGCCACGCGTCCGGTGCACCTCTATTGTAACGTGGGGGAAAGCAGTATCGTGGGCACGCAGATCACGAACTTCTTGCGAGACCTGCCCTATAAAGACCAACCCATCCGGTGGGAACCGGAACACGTGCAGTATCACCGGGTGCGTGGAGACACGCTGGAGATTCTGGAAGTGGAAGTGGCCGAGACGAACGGCCAGTTGATGACCTTGAACCCGGCGGGTGAGACGCAAGTGACGTTGCATTTCAAGGCATGAATCGTATCGTGTTGGTCAGCGATCCGACCAAAGAGTTTCCCAGCAACACCAGCAGTTCGTTCAAAGTGCGTCTGCCCGTGCCGTTGGCCTTGGTGGGGGAGGATGGAAGGTGGGACTGGCCACCATCTCGACCCCGGACGCGGCCATGGACTTGTCGCGACTCGCGAATGCCGTCAACCCACGCGTGCTCATGGTAGGCAGCAAGATGGTGACCAGTTTGACGGACGATACCCCGGTCCACTATGAGGCCGTCATCCAAATGAAGGAACTGCTCAACGACCCCGGCGTGTTGGATGGGGTGAGTCTGATGAAAGCTCTCATCAACAAAGCGCAGTTTGCCGAGATGAAAGAAGCGCAAGCCAAGGTAAACGACTTTACGACAAGTTTCGGGTGACGTACGAATGGGATGGCGAGGACCTGCGCATGCTGGCCAAGGAGTTGGGCGACATCCAGTCGAGGTCCGGCACGGTGTACGTGCAATGGCACGTGCACGTGAGCATAACCACCTTGATGGGGTGGTTGGTGGAGACGAAAAAAGGACACGTACGCCTTGGGCCCCAATCTCCGTTACGAACTCCTTCACAAGACGCAGCAGACGGGGAATTATTACAAGACGTCAAGAACACGGAACTGAACAACCGACCTGTGGAAAGTGGAAAGCGACCACCCACAGTTGAGTCAGACCCTCAATTGGCGCTTCCTCAACGAACGTGGCCTTCCGATCGGTGGTGGGGGAACCCTCGCGCACCTTTCTGGTCTACTCGGTTTGGTGGACAGCAATATCGTCGGGGGTCAACTGCATGCGCTGGTGCGCGAAGTGGAGTACCGGCGCCAAGGCCAGGGGGTGGCTTACTTTGAGCCCTTGCACATTCAATGGTTACCGTGTCGGCGCGAGTACATGGACCACGTGGAGGTGGAAATCGCCGAGAGTCAGGGAGGTTGGTGAAGTTCGGGGCGGGGCGCACCCTGGTCACCTTCGTGTTCCAACGAGACGTATAAAAAGGGGCGTGCTTCGGGGAAACGTATCACATCATGTGGGAGGCAGTCTGACGCGGTACCGTCCACCACCCATGCCACTGCAGGCGGGTCGAGGCCTGAAGACGGATCTGTTGTATCATGTGGGGGACCCATTCTGGCCAATTTCGCCAAAGCCGGCGCGCAGGCCATGGGCCACGAGATAAAACGAAACTTGAAACGCAAGGCCCTTCCCATTCTCGCGACGGTGGCCAAGAGGAAGGCGACCCCGGTGGGCAAGAGAGTAGGGACGTCGTTGAGCAAGAAAGGACTTGGACGTCTACGTGACGTGTTGGGCGTGTGAGAGATGAGGCGTCCACAACCGTTGGTGGTGCAATCCCGGCCTCGTTATCAACGGAGCGTACCCTCGCCGTTTGCCCGACAACGAGGGGATCGTTCCTGAGCATGGTTCGCGCCTTGCCGGGGGCAACTGGTTGCTGCGACAAGTCAAGAAACGTCGCGCCCAACGCGGAGGATGGTTGAGTGCCAGTGTCCCCAAACCGCCGGGGTACGATTTGACCAAATGGTTGTTGGCCCGACAACGTCGAGGTCAGCGCGGAGGACCTATTCCCGCATGATCGAGGAGTTCCCCAGGCCCTATGAGACGCCCTTTATGAGACGTATAAAACGGCGACGCCGCTGAGGCGGAGACGCACTCGTCGTTGTCCTCGTCATCATGAGCAGTTTGGACCTTTTCTCGGTCCCCTCGACCGACTATCAATTGCAGGGCTACAAAATGGTACCCTACCACAAATTGAGTGCTAGCATCACGCCGATGAAGTTCTCGGTGCAGGCCTTGGAAGATTACGTGGATTTGAATCGCAGTTATTTCATCGTCGACTTGCGTTTGTCCACGGCGGCCCAGAACGGTATCGTGGCCGATGCCAATGCGGCCTCGGATGCCAACAACACCAAGTTCACGTACGCCGTCAACAACCTGGCTCACACCATCTTCAAGCAGATCAACGTGCGGTTCAATGGCACCCTGATGACCGAACAGACCGACACCTATCCCTACTCGGCCTTTCTCCAGACCCTGCTCAACTACAACCGCGACGATGGAGACGTTGCTGGCCCCTCAAGGTTGGGTCAATTTCTTGAACGTGACCCCGACGCTGGCCGCCGCGGGTGGCGACGACGACATCAGTACCACGGTGGGCTGGGCTCACAATAACAATAACCTGCTCAAGACCTTGACGACCCCTTTCCGGGGCAACAACGTGGTCCGGATGATCATGCGGCCGTACCTGCCCATGTTCCACACGGGCAAGATCATGGTACCCGGGGTGGAAATGAATTTTGAGTTCCACTTCAACAGTCCGGATTTCTACACCTTTGCGACCCTGACCAGTGGCACTGGCGTCAAGAACTACGTTCGGTTGCGAGAAGAAGATGTGGACATCACCTTGCATTTGTGCCGATTGAATCTCAACCCGGATGTCTACGGGTCCCTGGAACGGGAACGCAAGCTCAAAGAGGCGGTGGTCAAGTACCCGGTGGTGAGTGATCAGATTCGCACGTTCTCCTTCAACGGGGCCACCACCGTCTGGATGGAAGATAACCTCTTTCTGGGGAGGGTCCCCCAGCGCATGATCGTGGGGATCTTGGACAGCACGGCGTTCAATGGGACCAAAGAAAAGTACCCGTTTGCCTTCCAGAGCAAAGGGGTGACGTCCATTCGACAGTTTATCGAGGGAGAAGAGTACCCGTACGTCACCCTGGAATTCGCCGGCAATAATACCCTGAAAGATTGGGAAGGCTATCGTCGCTTCTTGGACGCGGCCGGGTCCGTGGCCAAACATCGCGAGTTTATGGTCAAACCGGACGAGTGGGGGCACAACAAGAATTGTACCCTGTACATGTGGAACAACGTGCCCAGCGGGAACGCCGATAGCCCCAAACTCAATCCCAAGCAGACCGGCAACGTGCGGCTGGAGATCAAGTTCCGAGCGGCCCTGAACACCAACATGACCATCTTGGTGTGGGGCGAATTTGAAAGCGTCATCTACATCGATCACCTGGGGGCCGTGACGTATGATAACAAAGCGTAAAGGATCGCCGAGTGTGGTTGGACCATGGAACTGGTGGCGTTGGTGTGATCGTCAATTGAGAGCCTTGGCGCTTTCCGACCCCGAGTTGAAGCGCGTGTTCCAAGGCGTCTATCCCTCCGATCGATTGCCCGCGCACCCACCCAAGACCACCCGAGGTGCCTACATCGTCAACACGGACCCGGCCGGTGACCCGGGCCAGCATTGGTTGGCGCTCTGGACGGACCAGGGGTGTGCGACGTGATGGATAGTTACGGGTTGCCGTTGACCTTTACGACGCCCCGGGCTTGCACGAATGGATCGCCCAGCATTGGAAGTACGTGGTGCGTAGCGACAGGACCCTGCAGGCCTACGACAGTCTGACGTGTGGCCACTATGCCTTTTTACCTACCTGCAAGACCGCGTGCGTGGACGGACCCTGCTGGAGTATGTGGAAAGTTTTCGAGACGGCGATTACGTGTGAACGATCATCGCGTGGGGAACGCGTCCGGGCTTGGATCCAGACCACCCTGGACGAAGCGGCCATGGACGAACCCGATGGACCGGACACCCAACGCTGTGTCTCTGGACGTTGTTTTTGCCTTCATTAAACGAGTCTTAAAAACACTTGATCGAGGTGTGTGTTTTTTTCGTGGGTCCCACAAGGGGAGACGACGACGAGGGACGGAGATATAAAGGGGGACGGGTGAAGAAGGGAGTGGGTGCGGGGGGCTTCCGCGCGAGCGGTCGGTCCGATGTCCGCCAGGGTTCTCTCCCGGCCGGTGGTGGGCACGTCCGGTGTTCAAAAAAATAGTGCTACCCTGGGACAAGTCATGACCGAGTCTGGCCGCGGGGGTGCCCCGTACTCAAAAAAGGGCCCTTAGCTCAGGAGGTAGAGCAGCGGCTTTGCAAGCCGCGGGTCATCGGTTCGAGTCCGATAGGGTCCACGCCACGTCGTCGCGGGCGCTCCATAAAACCCCGGTGCGCTCGCGGCGACGTGATTTTTTTGGGTGAAACATGATCACGCGCCAAGATAAGCAACGTGTCCTGGAAGCCTTGGACGAACGTCTGTGGATGGCACTGTTGTTGAACCCGGTGGACGCGTTGTGCGACACGTGGGACTATGGCCACTATCGCACCTTTCGTCGATTGGTCTGGGCCAGCGATTGGGTGGGGTTGGCCCGGGCGTTGGACGCGTGCCCGGAGACCGCCGTGGTCGAGTCCATGCGGACCCTGATAAAAGAGGCCTCGCCGCGATTGTACGCCATGGTGACATCATGATTCGTCATCCCTGCAACACACTGGTGGGCGGTCCGTCGGGGTGTGGGAAATCGACGTGGACGCGCGGGTTGTTACGCCATGCCGACGAACTGATGCACCCGCCGCCTCGGGTCAAACATTATTGTTACGGGGCCTGGCAACCGGCCTTTGACGAGATGACACAAGAGAAGGTCCAGTTTCACGAAGGATTGCCCACCTCGGAGGACTTGGACCAATGGTTCGGTCCCACGCAAGGGGGACTCTTGGTCTTGGACGATCTCATGGACGAAGGCGCCAACGACAAACGCGTGTTGGATCTCTTTTCCAAGCACTCGCATCATCGGAACATTAGCGTCCTGTTCTTATGCCAGGATCTCTTCCCGCCCGGGAAATTTGCCAAGACCATTTCGCGCAATGCCCATTACATCGTGGCGTTCAAGAACCCGCGGGATCAAGTGGGCATGCGCACGTTGACCCTGCAAGCCTTTCCCAACGACTGGTCGCACGTGATGAACATCTTTCGCGAATGCACCCAACGCCCGTTTGGCTATTTAATGCTGGACCTGCATCCCGCGTCAGACGATCGGTACCGTCTCTTCACCAACGTGTTACCGGAGGAAGGACCGACGGAGACCTATGAACGCCAAGCATGAGTCGACGGACCACGCCGTCGTCCGACGAGTTTCGGGACGATCTGGATTTCGACGTCTTGACCTGGGAGAATGAACTGGCGCGAGAACAGGCACGACAAGCGCGGCGTCGTCAAGGAGGTCGGCAACGGGACTTATCGGAACGTCTGGAAGGGCACACCACGCCTTTGGCGGTAGGTGTGGGACGGTCCCCCCTCGTCACGCCGACGGGGGTACGGGATGCCTTGGCACGGGCCATGGACCTCTCGGGGATTCCCACGGCCCCACCGGCCGGGGTAGGCGTCGCGCCCAATCTGGTGCCCCCCAGGGCAGACCTGCCCAGTGCGGAGGCCATCCGGACCGCGGCCCGGGACTTGCCGTCGCCCACGTTTAGTCCCCGCCAAATTGGGGTCATGGAACAGATTCTTCGAGACGAGGTACCCGAAGATCAAATCGATGCCCTGTTGGACTCGGTGGGGCTCGACACCAACCGATTGGCCGATTACATGGCCGCACGCCCCCGACGCCCGCACGCCCCCCGACGCCCGCACGCCCCCCAACGCCCGCGCTCACGGCCCAACAACGCGATGTCATGGAACGGATTGCCCGAGGGAATTTTTTGCCCGGGCAGATCGAGGCGATGTTGAGGGCCGCGGGTCTCACCAAGGACCAATTACGCGACTATGTCGTGAACCGTCCCGCCACCCCCCGGACCCCTTCACCCCCCCGAGGGCGAGGGCGAGGGCGAGGTCGAGGTCGAGGCCGAGGTCGGGGCCGCGGCGGGGTGCCTCCCGGAGGGGGCGGGGGCGACGACGATGGAGGCCCGCCCGGGGGTGGCGGCGGAGGCGGTGGCGGGGGCCGTCGTGGCCGTGGCCGTGGCCGTGGCCGTGGCACGCCCCCTCGACGACGAGCGCGTATGAATCAAGACGAATTGCGACGCCAGATGGACCTGTTGGCCGAAGATGCCCGTCAACGGTCCGTGGGGCGCCGTATTGCCGGCATCACGCATACCAATACCGTCACCACGGTCTACAAGGATGGAGGAGAACCCGAAGTCTATCGCACGTCCTCGCGGTTGTCCACGCCCAACACGGTATAAAAAAAGCAGTCACGGAACCTGACCCCGTCACATCGCATCATGGTTCGACGCGGACGGAGACGACGACGACGACGACGGGGGTTGGTGGCCACACCCAGGTGGCCCCCGAGACGCATCTGGCAACGAGGAGGAGGAAGCATCTTACCTTGGGTCCTCCCTCTGGCCCTCGCCGCGGGCAAGAGGCGACGCCGATAGGGACCCAGTCACTCTATAAAGACCCCCTGGACCGTTGACCGTCGGAGGACACCATGGTGCGACGCTTACAACGACAACTGCCGTTTTTGCGGAGCGTGTTGCGCGAAGCCGACCAGCGCGTGAGACGGGAACGATTGCAGCACGCCAATGCCGATCAAGTCAATGCCATCAGTGAGTTGGTGATGAACACCTTGAAAGGGAATGTGACCGTCCCGCCTCGACTCTTGGATCAGTTGCGTCCGCACAAGCAAGCCTTGCGCGACATGGCGCGTCGCAAGCATTCCATAAAACGGCGACGGCAAATCATGATGAGTCAAACCGGGGCGGGCGTGTGGCACGCTTTGGATCGCGTGTGTCGTTGCCTGTCACGATGAGTCATGGACCGTACCAGAAAAAGTACGTGGTGTCCCCCGAGGACATGGAGCGGTTGGTGGACCATTACAAAGGGGCGTTGATGGAGAATTCGCGGTTGAACCATGCCGCGCGGTTGGCGGCCAAACAACACGTCTTGCTGGCCTCCCCCAACATCCCGCCGGCCACCAAAAAGATCCGCGTCAAAGCCCTGGGACCCGCGGTGCGTCGAGCCACCAGACGCGTGCGGACCATGGCGTTGCCAGGAGCCGGAGGGGCCGCGGCGGGGGCCGACGACGACGGCGACGAGTTTGCCCAAGGACCCATGGAGACCTTCTTGAAAACACTTATAAAAAGCAGCACGCCCCCACCCAAGGCCACACCCAAAGGGAAACCGAAGGTCCCACCCAAGCCGAAGTTCAAGACGCCCACCTTGGTCCCGTTACCGGAGGACGATTGGGAAGAGGAATTGGCGGAGCCCATTCCGAGTACGTCCAAGAGCAAAGGCACGTCGACCTTGAGCAAAGGCAAGTCCCCGGCGACCATCCCGAAGAAAAAACCCCGCTTCAGTTATCATCTCCCCAAGGGGCCCAAAGAAGCGCAGAAGTTGAGACCTCAACCTGGTTGGAGCGTGTGGGGAGAAAAGGTAAAGCGGAAACTCGATGGCAAGGACTACTAGACGCCACCGACGCCGCACGTCGCGCCGTGGCCGCCGCCGCCGCCGCATGGTCGGTCGGGGGTTGGACGTGCAAAAATGGTTGGGCAAGACCGGCATCGAATTTCATTGGCCCGGGTACCAATACATGGGGCCAGGTACCCATTTGGAGACACGCCTGAAGCGCGGGGATCCCGGCATCAACCGATTGGACCGCATTTCCAAACAACACGACATTGATTATTCTCGCGCGCGCAATCTCCAGGACAAGTGGAAAGCCGACGACAAGATGATTCGGGCCATCACGAACCTCCCGGGGAAAAAGACCCTAACCGAAGGCATCGTGAAAAAAATCATGCAAGCCAAACGCAAATTGAAACTGTAACGTGTTTATTGAGGCAAAGACTTACATTGTGGTTGATCTAAAGTAGAGTTCTAGTGACCAAAAAAATAAAGGTGTTTTTGTCAGTGTACGGTTTACATCTCAGTATTTTTTTTGGGTGGGTTCATGGCGTCCTACTTGAACATTGGTTTTTACAACACATCACACTTGTCCCTAGTTCCCGTCCTTGGCTCCTTGGGAGCTTCCCTCATGACAGTCGGTCCAGTTCACGGGTTCCGCCCATTCGGCGGGCATCATCACGTACATGACCTCGGTGGGGGCCAACCCCACATCTTTCTGGGTGGGGCATTCACGCAACAGGGCTTGGCATTCGTCACACCGTCCGTACACTTTAAAGACGGGTCGTTCACAAAGCGCTTCGTCGGGCACGATCTCGGCTTCAGCTAACAAGATCTTCAAGAAATCGAAGGCAGGGTGGATCTTCACGGCGGTGGGTAAAGGCAACATCTCCTTGGTGAGGCCACAACAAATCATCGCCCGTAATTCGATGGGTTCCGGGGGTGGTAAGGTCTGGGTCTGGGGGTCCCATTTCGTGAGGTACGTGAAGATGCCCAACAGTCTCTTGCTCACTCGATCGGAATTGCCCGTGGTCATACATCGGAGCAGCGCTGGGAGTTCCTTGCTCAACAGGGTAAAACACCACGAGGCAGGGGTGGGCAAGGAATGGTGGGAAAACATCCGATACATCCACTCGCATTGTTCCTGGGATTCGCTCTCGATGCGGACGCCGTCTGTAAAAGAAACAAAAAGTTCAGTCCGAGTCGGGCGGGGCCGATTTGCCCACCCCATAATAATGGCAATCGCTCACCCACCGGCTGTGGTGGTAACACTCGACCGAGTCTAACACGGGGTGAGGCCCTCCACGCTCTCGCTGGGTCAAAAACGAATGCACGTTGGTCCGTTGCGATTGTACCAGGACAAAGACTCTGCATAATAACCAAACACAATAGCACGGGGCTCGCGGCCAGGTGTGTGCGTGCCGTAGAGGGTAAGGGTGCACCACGCGTTCTAACGTACCTCGGGTCACGTCCGCGCCTTGGTGCACGGAACAATAACATCTCGCCTCGTTGCCCACAATCTTCAAGCACGACGCCATGAGACAGTTAGCCGGTGTCAACAGGAACCAAACATGAACAACCAAGGGACCCAATGAGACAGTGAGCCTTGGCAGTGAAAATGCAACGGGCTTTCCCCGGTTCGCTATATACCCACCTCGGACCTCGGTCCCGGGCTCTCTCGACCCACCCTCCACAGAGGGGGATGGGGGGTATCCCCCTTTTTGGGGGTGGTTAGAGGGGGTCCCATTCATGAGACCCCTCTTCCCACACCATAAAAGGACCTCTGTCCACCCATCGACTCCAAACGCAATCTTCATGCAGTCTTACATGATATGGTGTGGCCTTTTACTGTGGAGTCTTGTCTTCTGTGTGCGAGGGAACTGGTCCGAGCCGTCATCCGTACCCCCTGTTGCCACGTGCTGGTCCATAAAACCTGTTTGTACGCCGCCTTGGCCATCACTCCGTCCCGTCCGACCCCCACGTGCCCTCACTGTCGACAAGTGTTGGGTCTGGCCCATTTTCGACGCTTGTGTTGGCGTTTGTCGGGTAAGTGGAGTCCATGGTTTGAATGTCCCCTTGCCCCTGTGTCCCCCTCACGCTCATTCTCACCATGGGGTTTACTTACAGAGCATGGATCCGCCACCACCACCACCGTCTTCCGCTGGTCCTCCCGACGACCACGACGAACGGGTAAGTGGAACCCATCGGTTGATTTGCTCCCGCGCCCCCTTGCTACCCTCGCCTTCCCGCGCCCCCTTGCCTCCCTCGCTCATGTCTTCCTTTGTTCGTTCCACTTAGGGGCCACCACGACCACCACCACCACCACCACCACGATCGTCACCACGCCGCGACGCCAGGCCATTGCAGGTAAACGATGGTTTTTTTTGGGTCACCCACGGGGGAAAACCGACTTGGGCCGTGATGTGAACCTGAGCCCACCCCCGGTTTGGTCGAAGACAAACCGGGACAAGTCAGTCCCTCTCCGTTCTTTCTCGACTCGATGAGGATGTCTTGTGTGATGGAGACCTTGTGCTCCACAGGATCCGACACCTCATTTTTCCCTCCGTCTCGCTTTGCTGATTTTTTTTTGGGGTCGTCTTCCAGTAGGGCTGTGATACCTGGCAGCAGGTGGAGTCCACGTTGCCCCCTTCCCCTTTTCCCTTACGGGCAGGTTTTCTGGTTGGCACCTGTTTTAGAAGCTGTCTCTGTTTTTTTGGTATTTTTGTATTCTGGCCGGTTTTTTCTCGTAGGAGGAGCAGGTTTTCGCTCTTGAACTTTCTTGGCTGTCCTCCATCCCTATTTTTCTTCGTGCTAGACAACCACTCCCTTTTGTTTTGCGCCACTTGGGTTTAAGGTCTCCTTTCTTGATCGTCTCCTAGCTTGGTGATCTGGAGGTCTTTGGCGAGTCTTCACTGGATGGGTAGATGGTCATGTCCTTTTGGCTATTCTCCTCTGTTTGGACCGTTTGCCTTTTTGCTTTTTTTTTTCAGCCCTCCGCGGTTTTCCTGGAACGTTGGACGTGGCCCTCGGGGACCATGAAGGTCCAACAGCTCGGACTCGGACCTACTCGAGGGAGTTAGGGTGCATTCCTTGCCCCCAATCCAGTGACAGCAAGACCACCGAGACAGACCTTCCTGGCCGACCTTGGACAGGACGCAGCCTGTTGGTTCACGTGCTCTTCTGGTTGCCGAGGGGTGCATTTCCTTGAGGCCGGGGAAGAACGAGGGTTGACAGACCCACCTACCTGAGCAAGCAGTTCTGACACCGGGCAAGAACGCACCGACTTACTTGAGCAAGCAGTGTTGATGCTGGGAAAGAACAGAGCCACCTGACAAGCATGGTTACTCCAGACATCCACTGGAGTGTTCACTTGGATCTGGTAACAGGGTCACCTGAAACCACGGACGACGATGACATCCAAGGCCTTGGAAGAATGCTGTTGAATAGCTTGGAGACATCCCTTGGGATCATTTTGACGAGGATGTTGGAGAAAAGCCATGGACACCAAGAAATCCTTGCAGTTCTCCCTGTGGGACCACACCCTTGCTGCCCTGCTGAAAGTCATTCGCCGAGCAGAAGTCGTCCAGGTACTAGAGAACTTGAAGGGCTGGAGTTGGCTTGCCATGGCGGTTGCCATGGTGCCTAGAGAAGTGGTTTCGTCTGACAGACCTCGCGGTGGAGCACCACCACAGAGGATAGACTCTCTGTCGTCGGCGATGACCCTCCGGGAATGCGTGTGTGAACATGGGACGCGTGTGTGAACCAGATGGACGTGGTAGGGCAAACAGTGACAGGTCCCCAACTCGACCTCACAGCCTGGCCAAGTGGACTGGGCACTGACACTCTGCCTCAGTGAGTTGCCGGCTACCTCAACGCGGTCGACCTTAAAGGCCCCCTCTGTCTTTGACCTGTGGTGCTGATGTCTGACTGTTGCCTGACTGTGTGGAGTCGTCGGTGCTTTCCTCACCAAGACACATCCTGTTGATTGGCTTCTTTGGTGACTTTTTTTGGGGAGAGCAACCCTTCTCCAGGCCGTCTGGATCCATCCCCTGATGAATCCTCGAGCACGTGACGAACAATGTGCGAAACATCGGCTTCTGTGGATAACGATGTGCGAAACATCGGCTTCTGTGGAGTACTTCTTGGATGGTTGCCTGGGCAAGTCGTCTGTTTGTGCGCTCTCGTGTATGTTTCCATAGCTTGCCCTGAGGGAAGAAATGGAAGTGGTTCGGTCACACCCACACAGAGAGAGACGAGTCGAACGCGTTGTGTTTGGGGGAACACTGTGGTCCCAGAACTCCCTTCTCCTCCACAACGAGCAAGACCTTTCCATAGCCATTCCAACCAGACCCCAGCAAGTCCATTCTCCATAGCCAAAGGCGTGCAGACCCAAGCAAGTCCATTCCACCTTTCGAGGAGCGTCCACATCCCCTTGGTTTTTTGGGTGGACCATCTGTTCCAGCCTTTCTTCATCATCGTTTGGTGGTTGGACTGCTTGTTCTGCCGATTCCCTGGTCCAAAACCCGTGGTTCCGTCACTGGCCCAGGAAGCCATCGCGTTTCACTGCCACAGGGTTCCTGATTCATTCCAGTTGCCCCATTGCGATGGATTCGTGGACGTTCGAGATCCATTGGACTTGGTCAGAGCTCCATTGGTTTGATTGTTCGATCTCGGGCGTGTTTTCTTCTGGAAGGAGAGAAGGTCTTGGGAGATTTTCCTGGACTTTGCAAGATCCTGCACGAAACCACCCTCCTGGGATGTCCATCGTGCATACCTGTCTTTCCCTACGTTTGTAGGGACAGGCTTGTCTTGGCTGTACTGCATGTGGAGGATGGAAGCTATTGGTCGACGATGGTCTCTGATTGTTCACTGTTGGGCGGCCGGGATCTGATTCTTCACGATGGCTCTGCCGAGAGCTGATTCTTCAATGTTGGCCTGCCGGATGATAGAAGGGTGATTCTTTCAATGTCAGTCAGCCGTGGGTTACTGTGACAAGAAAAGAGTCCGATTTGCTGTCAAGACCTCTGGTCTCAGCCCTCAAGCTCTGAGATGGACGATCTCCATTCTTTTATCATCAGCAGCATGTTTTTTGGCTTGGAGTTCACGAGCAAGTTGGAGTGCATGGATGAGTGGTTTGGACTTCCCCGTTCGAGGCCTCTCTCTCTGAGACGCTCTGTGCATGACGCTGGTTTCGTCGGTGGAAGGGATCGATCGGACCACCCTCTGCTTCTTTGGATTGAGGGCACTTTTTCTGTTGGGAGTCGCTGCTTGTCTCGGTCCACTCTTTGGCGGTGATATCAGGTGAGGCTCACTGGGACTTGGTCAGGGTCCCGAGTGAACTTGAGAGGCTGGAGAGCTTCACCTGACTCTGGTCAGCTTGTTGAGATATGGACTCAGATCGGCTGGCCGAGGTGTCTCACGGCGACACTCGTGTTCAAGGTGGGTTTCTTCTAACCGATGTTCAAGGTAGGTTTCTCCTAACTGACGTTTTATCCCTGGGAATGGCACGGACAGGCGCTTAGGTGTGTAGGCTGCTGCTAGTCTGGGCATGAACGGGAGTGGATTGTAGCTGGGAAATGCTGAGTCTGCCCTTCCACCGTCACCTGCACTAAGACGTTCCTGGGGAAAGGTCCTGGTCTGCCACAAGGGTCTTGGTGGTGTGTTCTGCGTGTCAGGTCCGGATGTTTGTCAACCGAAAGGGCCGGTTTACCAGCTGGAGTACCTTCTTTGGGTGCAATTGGCCTCTCAGTCATTCCTGGTTGGACTCCCCCAGTTGTACTGTGGTGTCAAGCCACTCTTCACCCCACCTTGGTCTAATCTCTTCCCCCTCTTGTCCCCGAGTGGTGCCCCACCTAGTCTGCGTCCTGTTTCCCTACCCCATTCACCTTCCTCCATCTTGCTCCCCCCTCTCTCCCCATCTTTTTTTTTTTTTGTCCCTTCACACCCTCTAGGCTTTCCTCTTAGGGTTCCTTCTCACTTGTCTCCCTCTGTCGTTCCATCCACTGATGCATTGTCTTTTTCTCAGGGACTAACTTGTCTCGGTTTGTTTTTTCTCAAACCTTTCAGGGCACCTCCAGCGAGTCGACCCCGGACAGCGACGAATACAACAGTCGACGCCAATTGCAGTGCGACGAACGTCTGCCGACCGCCACCACCAGCAACAGCAGCGACGACGAAGCCTGTCTGCAAGCGCTGCAAGCCGCCGAAGGGCAATCCGGGGGCGGGCTCCGGTTCCAGCTCACGCCCTACACCGTCCGTCACCGCCCCTCGTTCGGCGTCACCTGGCAAACGTTCCGGGGACGCCTGCAGGGTCAACCCAGCTCGGGCGACGCCTCGGAGGAAGTGATTCGCGCCCTGGGCCAAGCCATCCGAGACCAATCGCGGCCATGGCACGACGACGATTATTTGCAAATCTACCTGGGATCCAACCGCTTGGCCAATAATTTTACCAGTGCCCGCGTCCGGGTGCGAGATTGGCGCCACACGCAAGGGCCCGCGCGGCATCTGCTCGACCAGATGACGGCCCTCTTGAACTCCAACGAGAACTTTGCCGTGGACGATACCTTCGTGGTCGACTTGACCTACGTGCGCCCCCCGCGCGGCACGGGCCGTCGTAAACTCGGGTTCGACGCCTTTGCCAATATGGTCAAGAGCAAACACAGTTGTATCGAGATCACCAACAAGGACGATCTCTGCTGCGCCCGAGCCCTGGTGACGGCCAGAGCCTACCAACACAAAGATCAAAGTGCCCTCCACCTGAGCGAGTACACAACCCTCCGGCACGGGGGAGCTCTCCAAACGACCAAAGCCCGCGAGTTGCATCGATTGGCCAAAGTACCCGAAGGGGCTTGCGGGTTGCCCGAACTACGCGAGTTCGAAAAAGTGTTGCCCGATTACCAACTCATCGTGGTGTCGGCCGATCACGGGAATGCCATCGTGCATTGCGGCCCGACCGCCCTGCACCCACTCATCCTCTTGGCCCACCAAGGCCATTACGACGTCATCACCAAATTGAACGCCTACTTTGGCGTGGCCTATTTTTGCTTGCGGTGCCGCAAAGGGTACAACACCAAGGACTTTCGGCATCATCGATGTCCCGGGTTCAAGTGTTATTGCTGCCAACAAACGGACTGCTCGGACTTTGCCACCCACCCTGCCCGAGACGCCGCCACCGAACTGTGTCCCCATTGCCATCGCCGTTTCTTTGGCCCTCGGTGCCTCGAACTGCACACCCTCCGGTCTCCCAGCGGCGCCAGGGTCCACCCGCTGACCTTCGACAACGTGTGTGCCCAACTACGGTGCTGCGGGCATTGCGGACGCACCTTCCAGAGCTACCAGGCCTTTCTCAGTCACCTGTGCGGCTACCAACCGTGCTACAATTGCGGGCTCACGGTAGACGTGTGGGACCACAAATGTTTCATCCAGGCCATCCCCTTACGTCGAGGCCCCAAACGCAAACACGCCACCGCCAGTTCCGGCCAGCCGGGACCCGAGGAACAGGCCGTCGTCAAAATCTTTTTCGATTGCGAGTGCATGCAGGAAGGCGGGGAGGCACATCGCGTGAACCTGGTGTGCGCCGAGACCAGTCTGGACGATCAACGCTACCAGTTTCCGTCCATGCAAGAGTTCATGGCCTGGGTGTGGCACCTGAGAGTGACGGACCCCGGACGCCGCCCGTTCGTGGTGATCGCGCATAATTTCCAAGGGTACGACGGGTACCTGTTGCTCGAGGAACTGTACCGACAAGCGGTGGTGCCGTCGCAGATCGTCAACGGGGCCAAACTGTTGAGCGTCGCCATTCCCGGGGGCATCAAATTTATTGACAGTCTGAACTTTTTTCCCATGGCCCTCGCCTCGTTTCCCCAGACCTTCGGGTTGCAGGAAGAAGCCAAGGGGTTCTTTCCTCACTTCTTTAACATCCCCACCTTGCAGCAGTACGTGGGGGCCATGCCGGCCCGACAGTATTACGATCCCGACGGCATGAAACCGGCCCGTCGCGCCGAGTTCGACCGATGGTACGCGGAGCAAGTGGCGTCCCATCGCGTGTTCAACTTGCAAGTTGAACTGCTCAAATACTGCCAATCGGACGTGCGGATCCTGAAACAGGCGTGTACCCTCTTCGAGCGCGAATTCAGGGGTATGTGCGGGTTCGACCCCTTCGAACAATGCATCACCATCGCCTCGGCGTGCAACGTGGCCTACCGTCGCCATTGGATGCGACCCCGTACCCTGGCCGTCGAACCCCTGCACGGCTGGCATCCACAGATCCGTCAATCGAGAGCCGCCTTGGAATGGTTGTACCACCTAGAACGCATCCTGCCCCCACCCACGGACGGGGAACCGCGCCTACGCCACAGTCGGAACGGAGGCGAAGTGCTGTTCCGGATCGGCGAGCATCGCTACCACGCGGACGGCTACGATCCGCGCACCGGGTTCGTGTACGAATTTTACGGCTGTTTCTACCACGGGTGCCCCGAATGTTTTCCCCAACGGCACCAGCGGCACGCCAAACTCGACGGGGCCACGCCCCACGAACTGTACACGCGCACGGTCCAACGGGCCGAACACATTCGTCAAGGCGGTCACGTGATGGTCGAAAAGTGGGAGTGCGAGTGGGACGCCCAAAAGAGGGAAGATCCCGAGTTGCGCCTGTGGGCCGAGACCCTGGATCTGGTGACACCCCTGGATCCCCGCGACGCTTTTTTCGGCGGACGGACCGAAGCCGTGCGAGCCCACTGTCAGGCCCAGCCGGACCAACACATCTTCTACGACGATTTCACGTCGCTGTACCCGTGGGTGAATAAGAATTGCAAATACCCCGTGGGTCATCCCGTCATTCACACGCAATTCACCTGCCAGACCCCCGAAGACTGGGACCGACTGGTCCGCCATCAATCGTACGGGTTGGTCCAATGCCGCATCCTGCCGCCACACTACCTGTTTCATCCCGTGCTGCCCGTCCGCGTGGCCGGCAAGTTGTTGTTTCCATTATGTGTCCGATGCGCCCGTGACCAAGTGCCCCTGCCCTGGACGGAACGTACCCACATCTGCAACCACACCCCTCGAGAACGAGCCTTCGTGGGCACGTGGTGCACGCCCGAATTGGTGCTGGCCCTGGACCAAGGGTACGTGATCCTGCACATCTACGAACTGTGGAACTTTCGTACGACCTCCACCACCCTGTTCCGGGATTACATCAATACCTGGATCAAGGTGAAACAGGAAGCCGACGGCTGGCCCTCGCCCGAGGTGGAAAAAGATCCCGCCTTGCAGATCGAGTACCTGGAAGAGTTTCGGCGCGTGGAAGGGGTGATCCTCGACCCGGCCAAGATCGAACGCAACGAGGGTCGACGCACGTTGGGCAAATTGATGGCCAACAGTTTCTGGGGCAAATTCGGTCAACGCACCAACAAGACCCAAGTGACCACCTGCAAGGACCCCGAGAGCTTCTTCGACCTCTTTCTGGACGGCGAACGCGACATCCATCGCATCCTGCCGGCCGGCGAACAGATGATCGACGTGTACCATTCGTTCAAGGAAGACGTGGGCGAACTGGGGACCAACACCAACATCTTCGTGGCCGCCTTCACCACGGCCCACGCGCGCGTCAAACTGTATCACGACGGGCTGCTGCCCCTGCACACCCGCGTGCTGTACATGGACACGGATTCCGTGGTGTACCTGGCCACCCAAGGCGAGACCCACCTGCCGCGAGGACGGTTCCTGGGCCAATTCAAGGACGAACTGAAAGGCGACGTCATCGACGAATTCGTGGCCGGCGGCCCCAAAAATTACGCCTACCGTACCCGTTCGGGACAAGAATGTTGCAAGGTGCGCGGCTTCACCCTGGACGCCCGGGGACAAGCCGTCCTGAACTTCGAGAGCGTCCGAAACCTGGTACAGAAAGACATCGACGAATCTCTGGATCGTCCCAGAACGCTGTCCGTCGACAACCCCCATCACATCGTACGGAACGTCCCCGACAAGACGCTCCATTCCGTGCGGCAACTCAAGACCTACTGCATGGTCCAAGACAAACGGGTGCTGGAGGCCACGACCGGCATGACGTACCCCTACGGCTATCGGCCCAGTCAGGACATCGTGGACGACATGGTGTTGTCGGTGCTGTTCTCGGACATAGACTCTCCCTTAGAAGACTATGAGGAGGACTTGCCTTTTGTTCCAGACACGTGCCAAAGTTGAAAACAAATGATAGGGACGCCCCACACCACTAAGGTCGGGCACACGTTCCCGCTTGTAACGTTAGGGTTCATGCCTTGTACAATAAACCCGAGTTTGAACACTGTGCAAAAACATGCGTTTATTTTTTTTTCCTTTTTTTTGAATTCCCTAGGGAATACCCACGTGACTGTCCGGGGGGACCTCGACCTTGCCCCACCCTAGGGTTAGGGTCAGGACCCAGGGGAACGCCGTTGACCCCCCAAAAACACCACTTTCTTGAATGCGCATGCGCCCTCGCGAATTCTCTCTTAGGGTTCCCACATGGACGAGACTTCACCTTCGTCTTCAAATATAAGAGCCCTTAGGGTTAGAGTGAGGGTCACAGGGCTCTAGGGTTAGGGTTACAGGGGCCACACTATAACGTGACACCCTTTTACAACACGTCATCCCCCCTATGACGTCACTCATTCACTAATGAGTGATTGACAGCTCATTAGCGTGTTTAAAGGGACCATTAAATCACTAATGATGATTGACAGGTCACATGACCTCTTGCTGCACGCTGATTGGTCCATTTGTACCACGTGACCTATATGCGGCTTTCTGATTGGTCGAGCCCGTAGTGTCCCCCATTACTACTCAGTATATCTATTAAGCTCAAAAGATGTAAAAAGGTCTGATTTTAAAATTATGCGTACATTTTCTCAATAAAACTTATAAAGAGCCAAATAGATTGTAGAGTTGGGAAACAGGAAAAACAAATGCAAAAGGAAAGGGGAAATGCAAACATGTTAAACGGATTTAATGCAAGAAATTAACGACAAGCATATGTATCTTTTAGCTACTTTATCGTTATCGGAGGTTCAGATTCGTCAGATATTTACTTATTTAGGGGTATACTACATCACTGAATAATTTATAAGATAACTGCAGACATAAACAATGTCTAAGACTTCGTTTTCTTATTCTAGGCGTCTCCTCCATTCTGGTTTGGTGGTATTCCAGGCATGCACGGGTTACCAGGCCGTGACGGACGTGATGGCCGAGAAGGAGCGAAAGGTGACCCGGGAAGCCCGGGAAAGACTGGGCCCCAGGGACCTGCTGGTGTAAATGGGAAAGATGGTGCTAAAGGAGAACCTGGTGTACGGGGCCCACCAGTCCCTAAAGGAGAGCGTGGACAAAGTGGACATCCTGGGAACCCAGGTCTAATGCCTTTTAAGAACTGGAAAGAGTGCGCATGGAAAGATTTAAACGATGACAAAGACAATGGTTTAATAAAGGTAAAACTTTTTGTTTAATGCTAAGTGGCTGAATAGTCTTCTTCTTTTTTTTGGCTATCATAACCAAATGATTTGCTTTTCTACGTTTATTTTCCACAAATTTAGGACTGTGTCTTCACCAAGCACTTTTCTGACACCGCTCTTCATGTGGCCTGGACTGGTGCCCTTAGAAACTACAAGTGTACATCCTGTTGCAAACGCTGGTACTTCACTTTCAATGGCGCAGAATGTTCAGCTCCTCTACCCATTGACGGCATTGTGTCCATGTGGCAAGGCAATACTCAAAACACCCACCGCGTCCGCCATATTGAGGGGCACTGTAACAAAATTCACAAAGGAACGGTGCGCGTGGGATTCTGGGTTGGTAATTGTCGAAGTGGATCACCTGGTGACGCCTACACGGGCTGGCAATCTGTGTCCCGGATCTTCATTGAAGAAGTTCCCAAGGCTCAGTCCTAAATGCCGAGACAAACATCCGTTCTTGCCTATTCTTTCTAATCCAGTGTACTAGTCTACGAGTTACTGGGAGATCGATGATTGTAACTATGGTAACAAAATTTCTGGAGCACAACCAAAGGGAGTTTTCGCAACAGCAAAAAAAGCAATAGGTTTAGTTTTGTAAAAGAACAACTTTGCACGTGCATCACGCTTTTTTGTACATTTTTTGTTCAGTTTCGCCAACATTTGACAAATTAAATGAAGTTAAATAAGATAGATGAAGTTTGAAACAGTGCGAATCCACTTTTGGAGTGGCGTTTTGATTTGTTGTCATCCAGAAATTTTGCTACCATGGCAACGTGACGGAACGACTTTTCCTCTCTTACAGTCAGCACACGCATACAAACCTGTACAAATGTAAACTTGCATGGTAAAGCCTGCTGCATTGAAAAAAGGTAATCCTGAAGGAAAGAGCTAAACTTAAGATTTTTACTCAATCGACGAAATTTTTAACGTATTAGTATTTTAAAGCAAAGTCTAATTTTTCAAAATTCACTGTAATAAGAATAGTTTTCTACCACATTTCAAAAAAAATAATAACAACTAAATTAAACTAAACACATAAACCTAATTCGAAGAAGAGAAGGTGGCATGGCTGTACCTTTCAAAGTTTGAGTTGCCATCCACGTGCATGATTATATTCAGCGTGTGCATCTTGATTTTGATAGCGTGATTTGTTACTTCCACTAGTAACTTCAGTAATGACAAAAAATTTAACTCGCAGTAATTATCACTGTCAACATTAAGACATGAAATTTAAACCACAAACAAACCCATTTTTCCAAACACTTTCAGTCAGAATACGAATTGCAACTAGCCTAAACTGAACTTAAGCTTACTTCAATAGCTAGCAACCTCTATCTACCATTTATTTTGTTTATGTCACGTCCAACGATTCTTCCTTCACTTCGTAGTAAAGTTTACAAAGTGGCAAGATAAGGTGTTTGTGAGTCTCAATCTTCTTGTTTCCCCAAAATTGTTCCTAGAAGCAAAATGCACCCTCACGTCTTCCTTCGCCACAGAATTTGGAATTTGAAAGTGGCGCGCTGAGCAACCTCGTTATTAGAAATGCGCTTCCGATTGGCTTGTACTCTACGAAACTTTGTTTTTTTTTTATTTACATGAAAATTTGGGAGATTTTAATAGGATTACAGGTCTTAGTTTTGTTTTACACTTGTGAAAAGGTCTGGAAAATCACCGAAAAACATAATTTCATAAGACTGAGGAAGGAAAATTTTCCTCACGGGTAAAGTTAAATTATCTTTTAGGGATCTTTCTAATCAATGTAGAATGTAGTTCGCGTATTGTTAGTAGTGTTAGTATGAGGTACCGCATTGTTTTTAAGATCCACAACAGTAAAAAATACCAGCGAGCAAATGGGTGATCAGTTATGCGTGGAAGCTGTAAATGAATCCATCTACAGTCTTGAGTTGTAACTTTGTCTTCTTTGAATTAAGCTGAATTAAAATGTGTACTTCCGCTTTTTAACGACTTTTTAAAAACATTTTCCACTATTTTCTGGTTTAGCAATAAGGTCACTTTGTCGTCTCGGCAGGTTCTTTAAATGAACCATAATTCAGAATCTTTTTAACCGATGAAGAACACAAAATTTTTAACGACGACGAATTTTAAAAACTTCTCGGCCGTATATCCTTATATAACCGTAACAAGTGACTGAAATTTAACCTGCGCACTGCGTAGCTGGCGGTTCGTTTGTCGAGATGGAAAAAAAAAACACGACTCTAGCTTGAAACCTGTACTTCAATATAATTAAAAAACGGACTGCTCTAGTGACAGCATTTTCTGTTTGGTGCAGGTGTGAAGACAACCTGTGAGAGCGTTATTATACATTGTGCTCACAGTATCTGTCTTCTCATTGGCCAAAGGAGGCAGTTACACAACCTACAGATAAGTTATAGCGGATAACTGGCTAATCTGTAGGTTGCTTACGCAAGCATGATTTTTAACAGCAATGTCAAACTGTGCTCCGTGCGATGCTGTGTTTGTCGTTATTTTCTTTAAAACAATGTATAATTAAACAATTATTAGATTCGGTTTTTGTGACTGATCCGAAATAATAAAGCTCTCGGCCCCGGTGGGGGGGGTACTGCCATATATGGGCTATATAGGTATGTACCGCTGTGAAGGGTATGGTATTCAAGCAGTTTACTCTAGGATAGGGTATATAAATCAGAGCGTTTGGGTCTAGAACAGGGTTTCATTTTTCAGGAAACTGATCAGTTGGTTGAAGATTTTATCTAAACTAGGGAAACAGCTACTCTAGGATAGGGGGGATTTGGGGAGTTTACTCTAGTATAGGGTAGCAAAATTCAGCTGAACTAGCTCTGGTATAGGTTAAGGGTTCCAGGGTCCCAGAGGCACATCGCCACCCAGAAATTCCTAAAGTACCCCCCCCTCAGTAAGTGTTATCAGCCTCAACCTTCGTCTCGGCTGATAACACTTACCCCGACCTTCATTCTTCCGGATATCGCAAAAGACCTCGCCCAATAATTGTTTAAAATTCTTACGGGACGAAAGTGCAAAAGGGGGAGGCTTATTTTGTTTTCAGAATTTCTCACTTGAATGCTGAAGTGATCAAAATTTGTAACATTGAACAGGGAAAATGGAAGGAAAGAGCACCAAACTAAAACAAGACAACCCTTAAAACCAAGTTTGTTTGCAGATCATTAGCCTGCGTTGCAGCCGGCCCACGCACTCGTCTAAACCATTAATATGGTCCGTCTATATACAGAAGGTTTAAAGCGTCTGCGACGCAGGCAAGCAGATCATGTACCTTCTCTAAGACGAGTTGTTTGAAGGACGACAAGGGACTGTTCAAAGATTATCAGGAGAGGGAGGTTCTAAATCAAGTACAATAACATCAGCGGTGAAAAGCTGATGCTTTATTAGCTGTTACCGCCTTATATAATTTTACTGTTAAGAATTCTGAATTCATTTCCTCATTTCCAAACTCCTTGTCAATTTTGTATAGTCTCGTCATAAACTGTGACGGTCACTTTCGGTCACTTTTGAAAATGTATGTTGACTAACATACGAAACTTCAAGTTTATATAAAAATGCGGAAGTTCACGATGTTTATCCCCCCTGATTGTCATATTTTTGATTGAGTGCAATAAGACTGAAAGTTTACTGGAACTACCCCTTTACAATCATGAGCCAAAATGACATCGGCTTATTTTACAAATATGTATCCAACTAAATGTACAAAAATGGTCTTGTTGCTCATCCATATTTTGTTCTTAATCAAAATGTCTGATCTACAAAGGGCAGTGCAACCCATCTTCAGCAGATATGTTGTTCTGAGATATCTCTTAAGTACCCTAAACAGAAAGTGGGACAATAATAAAGAAATCGTGTTTTGCCTATTCCTGTCAAATGACAGTCAGTTATAAGGGGTAATTTTTGCAATTTTTTTTATCTTTGCCGTTTTGGCAGTCAAACACTTTAAAAATGATCCAAAATTAATCGCATTCTAATGAAACAACAAGAAGAAGATCTCAACCAGATACGTCATGAATTATCTATTTATTAAAATGGCGCGTGCATAATATACATGTCCATACAAAAAATAATTTTAAAAAATAATTTAATATTTTACAAGTCTAAGATTATCGCTATAATACATTGCAGTTTATATGGGCAATAAATACTTAACAATTGTCTCCTAACTTGTAGCCGCTTTTGCACATGGTCCAGTCGTTTCGCTACAGTCATTTCGCTACATAATTTTGAAGTTAAACATACACAACAACATTTTAGCTTCAATTCCTCTCTACACGAACACTGTAATATACAGGCCTAAAGTTGTGGCGAAACAACTAATAGCGAGTAAGCATCCACACATAGCGAAACGAATGGACGTTCTGTGGACTACCAAGATGATCAATACCGTAAGTTACAATGTTGTTCCACAAAATATCTGTACCCACCTCATGGACGGTCAAAAGGGGAGGGGGTCTTAGAGACCGTTTTTTTTTTAAGGAAAGTCTGAAGCCAAACTGGAATTACCAAAGGGGTGGGGGCGAGGGATGGATATTTTCTGGAACAGCACAATACCCTAATATGCCTGACACTTATACCTAGCACACGAAAACATATAAAAAATGCTGATAACACTATACAATCACCGAATGAATAGCCTTATGGGTATGCTTATTCTTAGACCTAAAATTCATTAAAAGCAGAGCTGGTAAATTGCATAACTGTCCCTAAAAACAAAATCACACTACACGTGATGAAAAGACCTTAAAAATATTATTACTGTACACTAAACTAAACCGTCTTCTGACTTCAATCCTTTTTTTTTTCACAAACACCCTGAGAAATTTTCATAAAACATTGAAGACTAAATTCTCTTTAAAAACTGTATTTTCTTTCCTTCTAATTATTGAAAAGACTATCCTGTTTTTCCTAATACCCACAATAATTTAATATAGGGTTGTAACTGTTGTATTATATTATGCTTAACTATTGGAACAATGTATAATATTTTATCAGTAGGATTTATAAATTTATGTGTTTTTGCAAGGTGTTTACAATGCAAGCACCCCAGTAGTCCGTATTGACCAATACTGTTCAGATATGTTACCATGTGTTCTACATGTTTGGTTAAACTCAGTAATCACTTGATATATTGAATTTGATCAAGACCAGCTTGACACTTCTCTGCATATTGGATATCTAGTCTGTTGATTGACAGCTGTCTGTTTAATTGTCTCTTGCGCAAGATGATGGCAGATAATGAAGAACTGAAGTGTTTGATGTAGAATCTGACAAAAGAATGTCAACAACTTGTTTCCAGTTGTCAAAGCTGATGCAGGAACTCTGAAGAAGAGGAAAAATAAATACATTAACATTTTTAGAAGGAGAACTTATTATTTATTGCAATAATTGTGGTTAAATCTGTTTTTGACTATTATGAGCAATTTACACTGGAATCCACCTTTCTACACCAACTACACATTCCTACAAGTTTTGTCTCTAAAAAGTTTAATTCTGTTGAAAGAAAAGCCCCTTTTTTGCATTTATGGTCACAAAAATTGGGTGGATCAATTTTTATATAATATTGAGGTAAAGGGGGAGAACTTGCATCTCAAGTTTGCTTACATTTATGCTCTTCTAAATGCAATACCGATAAGATACAGTAAACTAAACGGTTTTAACTTTCCATACCTGTTCAAGAGCAGAGCAATCCTTTCCTCTTCTCAAATAATGAGTCTTCCAGAACTCTAACAGAAGTCTAAATTGCAATGAGAAACAATAGCATTTTATTTTAAATTAAGCAACACTGGGCATTCGACTCTACAACTACAAAAAAATTCTTATTGTTTTGTCTGTATTAATCAATGCAATTGCTTCTATTAACAAAAGTCTAAATTGCAAAGAGAAACAAAAACATTCTATTTTATATTAAAAGCAACACTGGGCATTCGACTCTACAACTACAAAAAATTCTAATCAATGCAATTGCTTCTATTAATAAAAGTCTAAATTGCAAAGAGAAACAAAAACATTCTATTTTAAATTAAGCAACACTGAGCATTTGACTCTACAACTACAAAAAATTGTTTTGTCTGTATTAATAAATGCAATTGCTTCTATTAATAAAATTAGTCCTATGAAGGGGATTGATGGGGTATTGATAATAAATTAATTCATGAGATTTGAACAGGGGGCAAGGATTAGGTAATGAATAGTTATTGTAGACAGCAATTATTTCAGCTCACCTCAAATTTGTCAAGATGAAGCCTGGATTATTCTGAATGTTCTCTTCCCTGACAAAAGCCTACAAAATAACAAACTGAAAACTTACAACAAACTTGTAAAATAACAAAAGATAAAAAAGAAAAAAAGACATAAGAAAATTAATGGGATACTCATATATTATAAAAAAATATGTTTTTTTTCATGTTACACTTAAGTTTGAGTAAGAGTGACAGCAAGGGAAATTATATGCAAAATCTATGAGCCACTACTTCTGTGAAATAAAGTTGGTAATTTCTTTGTATTGTTTTATTTTTTGGCTCTCGAATAACACAGGTAAAAATGACAACCAAATGATTCAACAGTTGCAACCAAATACGATAAATATCTCACCGTGAGATAAGCTGGGAGACGTCCATGTCTGTGACCAAACATCAGAAAAACAAGAGTGGTGTTCAGACAGCTCACATTTTCCTACGAAAAAAAAGAATGTTAAAAAATATCAGAATAGAGTCGAAAACCTCTAGTTGAATTTTTTTAAAATTTCTTTCGTCTGGCAATATGAATGATTCCATAATGGGTGTGCTCTTCACAAAATAGGTACACCCTTCTGGTTAACCCTTTAAGCCCCAATGTCCACATACAAATTCTCCAACCTGATATCCATACATTTCCTTTAAGAATTAATTGAGAGAATTTGATAGTAGATCAAAGCATTTTCTCTTTGGTGATAATTTTATTAGTTCTCATAACCTTTTCTCTTGACCTTTTATGGATATTGTTAGGAGAAAATTGATGTTGGTCACCATTGGGACTTATGGATTTCTTGGTCTTTTCTGTGCCACCTTATGTTTTTTTCAACACCATTTAAGGATTTAAAATAGACTGCAAGGCCATTTAAATTTCTCTCTGTCACGTGTGACACAAAAGTTTAATAAAATGAACTCACCTGAGTAAGAGTTCCAACAGTAATGGAGTTGATCAGTTTGTAAAGCAAGAAAATCATCTGTTCCCAGTTGTTAATTAGAGAGCCAAGCTTGCAAGTTCCAGTGAAAGCTGTTAAAAAGAAGAACATATATTACTTTGGCCCAAACAAAACTTATTCAAATACAAGTTGACAGTTGTCATTAGAAATCAATAAGATTAATGCACTTCTACTACTTCTGCACTTCTTGTTGGTCCTTTCAAACAACGATCTCTCATGTCTGGAAAAGTATTGATCTTACCTGAGAAAAATCGGTCAGACATAAAGTGTTCCTGAGATAACACCAGACAGCGAATCAACATGTTAGAATCCACTACATTTGATGTCAGGATGGACACAAATTTCTCAAACTGTAAAAGAACGAGAACAGAAAATTAATCACCATAAAAAACAGAAACGTTAATGGTTATACATCTTCAGTGAGTAACTTGATGATGATGATGATAAAATTGGGACTTGGTGAGACACTTGCTCATCTCAAGTAGACTGTTTATGAAAGCCAGAGAAAGAACCTAAGATGAATATAGCAATGGTGGCTGCAGCCATGGTAACTGAAGAAATTACTGCTTTGATTCTCTTAGCCAGTTACAGACTGTAGCTCAAAATGTTATGCACTGTCAAGTCCAAATAAGCTAAAAAATCTCATAACCATTGCATTATTTGTATGGTGTGTATCTAAGGTCAGCCGCTTACCTGTTTGTCGCTGATGACTTGGTCAAATCTCTTGAAAGCAAATGGATTGAACTTCATCAGTTCACCAAGCAAGTCAAAACTACTTTGAAGAATCTCCTTTGGCTTAAGTTCATCACTTGTGATGTGGTCAACAAGGTGCTATAAGACAATACAAAAAAAATAGACATTTAATACAGTGCCTCATTAAACAAATTATTCATTCAAGTGTCATCACTTGTTTCATAACTAACAACCTGGACATTGGCTGAATTATTAAAGGGTATGAAGTAAGTATTTAAAACCCATAAACTGGCATATACCTCAAGCAGGCTTCTCTTGATCAGGAATAGCTGGTCTCCAACTGACGCTCTGCCTCGAAGAAATCCTTCAATAGCCCTTGAAAGCCAAAACCTGATGAACATAAAATGAAAACGAAATAATCAGTTTGAACCTAGAAATAACATTTTAAAAGATTGTTTGGTCCAGTTCTATTTTTTCTTTCCACAAGATCAAACTTGGAGTTGTACCTGGCCGGAAAAACTACTTTTGTTCACCATAAACATTGGTTTCCCATTACTTAAAATTCAACCTGCAGCCGAAATGATAAACTAAACAAAATTAAATTACCTTAAAGGAGCAGTCGCAGGGCATTCAATCAATGTTTCCAAAATTTTTGTCAGTAGTCCCTTTTCTCCAGTACAACAAAGCTTCCTGAAAGACAAATAAATTAAAGTGAGGATGAAAACATGACATAATATTTTGACCTTTACAAATCACTTGGTTGGCAACAATCAGTTTTAATTATGAAAATAGATGAATGGTGATTCAAAGAACAGAAAAAGAACAAACCTGTTAGTGTTGGGCAAACTTTCAGGTAGCTCAAGGTCATTTTGAACTGTAGAAAAAGAAAAAAAAAACATATGAGGCACATTGCAGAATATGTAAACAAAAGAATACAGTGGTCCATTAAGAACCCTGCAAGTGTACCAAATGAAAGTTTAAGGACACAATATTAATGCAGAACTAATTGCCATTTTATGCACTTGTTAAAATTGGTGGCTTATTAAACAAACAATTCTTCTCACCATACAGCTCCTGAAGTTCATCAACTTCTTTGGGAGTTAGTAGAAGATGCTTATTCCTAAAAATAAGAGAAAATTCCTATCAGAACTGTAGTAATAAAGTAGTTCCATTATTATAATATTAAACAACAACAATATTCCCTACTCCATGTGGCACAGTCATACAGTTGAATTTTCAAAAGCAAACAGTATATGAAAACTTACTCATGCCGATCACAGAAGCTGTGAACAAGACGTAGAAACTGAATCTTCAATGCAGTTTGGGGTGTGCACTCGTGATCACCCATTTCTCCTAAGTCCATCATGTCTGGGCTGCTGTAAAAAGAAAAAAAAGATTCAATTAATAACCTAGGCTACATGTATTTCACCACTACCACATTCACAGAACTTTCTGTAACAAGGAGAAATTAGTGAATATTATACTTACAATCTTTCAGTATCTTTAAGCCATGACATTTTGTCAAACAAAATGCACATTCCAGGAATCAACTTTAAGTCTGAGAGCTTTTTCTGGACCTACAAAATAAAAGATACGAGGGAAGAAAGAGTTACAAACCACTTGTAAGGAAAAACGTTCCAAAACTATTCAAACATATTAACTTTCATTCAAAGCTTTTCATCCATTCATATTTGGTATACTAATAAGAAAGAAATGTTGTCATGATGATTTTGTCAACTTACCATAACCTTGTGCTTTCCCGTCAAGAACAAACAGAGAACATAAAACACCTCCACTTTGTGCATAAGCTGAAAAAGGAAGAAAAAAATTAATGATCTAAAGCCATATCTTTCATTACAATACTTTTATACATATAATATACAGAGTACCCATTAAAAAAACAATTTCCACAAACCTCGTGTATGCGATTAAATCTTGACTGCAACATTGGCACTGCTTCACGCTCTTCAGGATCTGAAAAAAGAAAATATTGGCAATATGTTTTATATTACTTTTAATAATAGTCAACTAGACAAAGTAGTTTTCTGTGGGGTTGGAGACATTGAAAGAAAATGACTAAAGAACAACAGGGACCCCAATTCAAGATATCCTCTTTATAGAAAGCCTTGACAACAAGGTGACTACCACAGACAGAGGAAACTCTATGTGTTTTTAAGGGAGGCGTCCGTATTCCGGAACTTCCCAATGATCAAAGTCTTGAAGGTGCAACTGAATAAAAACCCAGCTTGACTAATAAAAAAGCCTGCTAAGCTTTTTCTAGGCTACATCCTTGAACGTTGCTAACTACACCCATTTTCAGAACCTTAAACTGAAATCAAACAGGTACATACCCATATCAATTCCTCCTGTCTCGAGCACATCCTGTAAGAAGGTGTGGAAATCAACCATATCAAGAAATCCACCTTGGGCATGTCCAAGTAGCAAACTACCAGGAGAAGAACTTCTTTCTACTGGAAAAAAAAAATTAATTGATTTAACGCAAGCAAATACAAAAACTAATTCCACCCCCAAAAATTATTCCAAAAACAGTTAACTTTCCCCTTGAAACTTGTTGAAACATTCCTTTTTGCCATACGTATGAGTCATGTAGTTTTCTGTCCCAATTTGTAATATTCCCGCCCCAGCATCTTAAAAAACCCTTTACCCTTTTAAGCCTTAAGAGTTCCCAACCTCAATTTTGTCCAGGAAATATCAATACATCATCAAGAGAAAAGTTTAACTATGAGTATTAATAAAATGATTCTTTGACTTTTGTCTAATTTTCTCAAAGAATTCTTTGAAAATTGGTATGGAGATCATTCTAGAGAATTTGTATTTGGATACTGGGTCTTAATTAGTTAAAGGGTTAAAATGTGATCTCACCAATGCTTATTAACTCACCAAGTGGCTGACAGGCCAGTCTAACAATTCTTGGTAGAAACTCTTTCAAACCAATGAGTGTAGCTGTTGAAAAAAGGGAAAAAATCAACACCCACTATCATCAAAAACATAAGGCCAATTGTTAAAACAGAGTGTTTTATGGCCCATTTGACTGGTACTTAAAATAGGCCACTTGTAAAAAATTTTGGAGAACACTGATATCCTTAATCCATAGAGATACAGCAACTGTGTTGTAAATTAAATATTAATTTTCATCTTTCTGACAAGATGTTAGGCAAATTGTTTGATCATTTAGCAAGGTCCTAAGTCATGGATAAAACATCTATCTCATGTTTACCTTGATTATTGTCTGCCACTTCCTTCTGCGACAATCCCTTTTTGTCAGCTTCATCTTGAGCAAGCACTAAAAATTTATAATTATTTTGTTACAATCAATTTTCAATAAAGTAATAACTGATCCCACGACATGAAAATCAATCACATAATTAGCTCACTCTTTCAAAAAACTTACAAAATTATTTTTGGAATTTTCTTTAACAAAGTTTTCGCAAAAATATATATAATATTGAAAGCTTAAACAGTTTTTTAAACATGAATAAAACTGTCAAGTGCTCCTTCCTTCCACAGATTCCAATTCTGAATCTAATTACCAATCGCTCACTCTTCTGAATAGTTTACAAAGATATTTTTTAATTTTTCTCTATGTCTAATTTATTAAAAAATATAATTATATAAAAAAATTAATACAGTAATTAAACTCACAAGTACTCCTTTCTTCAACAGATTCCAAGTCTGAGAGAGAAAACGACAGCACTCGGCAGAGATTTGCTAGTTGCTGCTGATCAAGGATGCTCATCAATTTCCTCATATTTACTGCAAGGAAAAAGAAACATGAAATATGTACTGATCAGAAAAAGACATAACTGTATATTACTTCATAGTAATGGTACCTTAAGGTAACCAATCAACTTTCACCATTGAATAAAATATTGACTTATCAAAACAGCATTACTGTAAAGGATCTTTCATTGTTGTTTGTTAGTTTGTCACTGACCTTCTTGTTCTTAATGTTACTTTTTAGCTATTGGCATTTATAGTGTTTGTAAAAGCTTACCAATTTTTTCGAGATCAATGAGTTCTTTCCTTGAGCTAAAGAGATCCTCCAACACCACAAGAGCAAAACTAATAATGAAAATAAAATAAATATGAATGATTTAGAATGCTCAAACAATTAAGCTAAAAATGGCAACTTGCACGATCACAGCAAAGTCAAGGATTTTTACTTACCTAAATGTCTTTTTTTGCTCTAGAAGGGTGAATAAATGTCCTATCAAGTCATTTCTCTTGGCCAAATTAAGAGCCACTCCATCAACCTAACAGATGAAAAACAGAAAAATAATAAAAAGATCGTCTTAAAAACTAAAAACTATTTGATCCTGCCCCCAAAATAACATTTTAACCAACCTACACATTAATTGCTCCAGTAATTACTAAATCATGAGAACATGCACTAGCATTCAAAATCTTGTTTCAGTTTTACTACAGGCTTTGCAATTACCCACATGACAAAATACAGTTGAACAGAGGAAGAACCTTACAATAGTATCCTTAAATTCCTTGTAAAAATCTTGGTATATCTTTAATTTAAGACTTAAAAGATGTTAAAACTAGGAGCATTACTGAAGACATAACATTTCTTTCTTTTTAAAAACCAAACTGAAATGTCAATCAGCTTCAAGCCAAAAGTTAAGTACATGAGAGCCACAAAAATTGAAAAAATACGTATCAAAAAAGCACTTACCATAACACAAAGACTGTGAATGAAGTCAAGACACAGTGTCCACAAATGATCTTGCTGCATTCCTGCAAAGTACAATAACATAATGTCATAAGGAAGATCTTTGAACTTCCCTATACTAAATTCTAAACTATTCAATACTTTGCCTTATAAATATCAGCAAACATAAGTTTGAGTCGTAAAATAGAAACATAACGAATGCAAGGTGCTATGGAGAATTTCATCCAAATCATTCATTATCCAAATAAAACACAATAACAATATATTGAGATTTATAAAACAACTAAGATAGTATGCACGCACTGATTGGCCGAGAGAGTTGTTTGCACGAGGGTATGACGTCAAGATATTTTTGCTTTTTGTGCACTAATGAGCAAGTTATTTCAAGTAAGTGCCCCAGTTAGAAACCAAGACTTTTAAAAATAAATTTTATTTGGTGTCATTCACAAGAGAATCTGACCTCACATTCTTATACCTTATCCATGGGACAGGGCAATTAGTGAATATTCTATAATGTGGATTGAGCTCAGTATAAGGTTAATACTTAAGTTCAAAAATGACTACAATGCTGTACGGGACTAAAATGTTTTGATACTGTTGTTTCATTTCAATAAAAGATGTCAGTTATTGCTTTTACTAGAAACCAGAACACAGGTAAGACTTAAGTCAAAGACAACCCATATTGGTAAAAGGTATATTGAATGATTTGCCCTTGGGCAGGGAATTTGACAGAACATGTTTGCAAAATGTCAGATCCCCACAACATGCCATGCCTCACCCCCCTTCCACCCACCCCTGCTGGCTTTACATACTCAAATGACAAATACCAGGAAACTAGCTCATTAATCAAGGTTACCTGAAAATACTACCACTAAAAATAAGAATATTCACTTACTTGTTGGTCTTATTTTGCAACACTTGAAACCATAAGTGGTGGGATAAAAAAGAATTTGTAACACGATCTGGAAAAAAAAAAGCATGTTACTGGTGCTCTTACCGCCCAAGCTAGAAAATGTCAATCAAATTCACCAAAAGACTAACCGGAAGTTAGATGAAGTCGTTTTGGCATCTCCAGAAATATGATCAGGAGTAAACGAGAAAGCGCGATTTTAAGGTACAACAAATAAAGATAACTAATGTCTTGAAGATCAATAGTAATCATGCTTGACGGTAAATAAAAGTACCCATTCGCCATACCTTGCAAACACGAAAGCGAAATTTAACTCAGATGTACATAACGTGTCAGTTTCGTAAATGACAGACGAGGAGAGCGGAGTAAAATTTAACGGAACGGACCACTAGTGACATTAGAAAAATGACTTGATTGGAATACTAAGTATTTTCATCAAAAAATCAAAGCGTATTTTGCACCCATGAGCTGACATTATCAATAAATTTGAATGGTGCTGAAATCGTTCGGAAACACGACGTGTGAAATTGACACTAAAACGTGAATAATAATTACACGGGCTTATAAAGAATCGCTACACGGGTCCACCATGTTGTCTACCAAAAACATGTGTTTTGGGGGTGATCAGAATAAATTCACGCAAAAGTCCAACTCACCTCAACTCCACCGAATAAATTTATCACTTGACCGAGTCGAAGCCTCTCCTTAGCAATTTGTGGAAACTCGTTGTCCGGGAATAACAGATGCACGTTGTTGGAGAACAAACTTGAAAGATCCTGCGATGAAAACATAAACATTTTTAGCGATCTATAAAACCCAAATCGTCGAAAATGCAATGCTTTTCATACTGAATAAATATGGCCATTCTTAATTCTTAAGTTTTAAAACAGTTAGAAATTACTCCCGAGTTTTCTGCGAAATTGAGTTTGCCCTTGCATGAAACAAACAACCTATTTACGAATTTTACATGGTAGACTGGTCGGTACTGGTCGGATGGCACTTGGATCAATAGTATCTGGTAATAAACTAAAAGTTAACCTTTAAATATCGCGAGCACTTTGCAAGGTTGAATCTCTCCGGGCTGCTGTTTCGTTCTAGTTTGGCGAGAAGCGATGGTATTTCTTTGAAGTCCAGACGGCGATCGACTGATTGGACAAACTCGTCAGGAAGCTAAAACGAAAAACCAGAAGCACAGGTATTACGAACGTTTCAACGCTACAACTTAAAATCATCAGTATTACCCAAAACGCTTACGAAGCAACACCTACCATGTTGGTTCTGAGGCATCTCCCAGAGATTTGGGATCCGATGATGCTCGAAGCCAGATTTTTCGTTCTCGAACAATTTCTTTTCGCCATGACAATTTAACCAGATAATATAATCGCGCTACAAACTGACAAAACTACAGAATCTCGAGGCAAAGGTCTAACGTAAGTTTGTGAAGTTCGAAATAATTCGATAAAGATCTACGGCAGCCATTTTCCTCTTATATATCCATAGGCGCTTCATGTGAAAAGAATGACTGCGTACATTCATTAGCCAATGAAAACGTTCGATTTATCCTTGCCGACACCGAAACCCAATCAGAAGGTTTCTTCTATTGAATTCGTTAATTGGCGGTCAGTTCCCGCTCGGCAAAATGGCGCGTACCGGAACAATGGTTAGAAGCCTGCCGATAATCGAATCCGTTCCGCAAAAAGAATATGCGCTTACTTTACCTTGAACAAAAGCAAAATCATTGATTTCATTGTCGGCGTATTTGCTCGCTCGAAGAGCGAACGATTTTGAAGTTGTCCTGGGCTATTAGATACTTAATATGAGCCCCACCTTCCCACGTGCACGATCTAAAAATTCGACCAAAAATCAAATATTGCCGGATTATTTACTGCCACGTGTTTATATATTTATAAAATGTTGTATTTTTTCTGAAGATTACCAGTCCTTGAGCTTAATTCGCTTACTGTTAGAACTGACTTTTTTCCTGTTTCAAGAGAACGCGCCGGACTCCGATTGACACAAATGTTATTGCAACTGCAAGTTCTTTTAACTCTACGTTAATCCTTTATAAGCCTTTTTTCCGTGACCTACAAAATCAGGCCCACTCAGATCCAATTTTACACTTACCGCAGTGCGCAATGAAAGTCAGTCAGAGATTTTAACCTAATTATTGCTGTAAATTCAGTGTTGTGTCCTATAATTTTTCGAGTCAGTTTAGTCCTAAAAACTGGTAGAATTTACTATTATTTTTGATCAACTCGTATTACTATTTTCTTTTTTAAAGGGAAAATTTTATCCAGCACAGTGACTGTGATAATAAGCCAGACAGCCGGTTCTACACGCGCTTCAAGGGCAACGAAAACAATTGCAGTTCCCGTTTGTATTGTTCCATGGTCTGAACTCCATTGTACTGCTGCCAATAGTCAAAGGCGGGAATTTTAAATAACTCTTTCAAGTAGCGGCCAAGTACATACTAACTGTATACAGCGGTTCCAATGTTTCCTTTGTCCGCAAAAGAAACCGCGCACAAGCGGCTTCCCTTTCTAGTGTATCTTATTTTGTTTTATCCCGCTTGCATTTTGCTTTATCATGATTTATTTTAAGTTCTCTCCTAAAGTCATGATAAGATATACCAAAAGAATCATTTTCCTGGCCCCAAGATGATACTTTGAAACAGATTCTAGTCAGCTACATCTTTGTTAAAGGAAAAGCAGACTCAAATGAAAGGAAAAATATAACTTAATATACGTTCAGGTAAAATGGTTACATGTTCAGGTGTTAAGCTTGAAGAAAGAGCCATAATGGCTCTTGGCTTGAATGAAAATAGAATTAGAAGCTTCCTCATTTCTAGGATTTTTGAGAGAATTCGAAAAGTTTTTTAAAGCAAATTACGAGAGCAGAATTGATTTCTTTTGAAGACGACTTTGCTAAGTCCCTTTTATAAAAAAAAATTGAAAATGTGATAACTTTACTCCCAAGACTTGCAACTGTCTCCGTTTGGACTAGAGTTGGCAGTTTTCGATATTCTGTTTTGGTTTAAAAGTGTCTCACTGAAATGCTTCTCCCCTACTCCGGATTGCCAGGACGCAACGATACAAATTGCATGAAATTGCTGTTTGTTTTCTAGTAACTTCTGAAAATCAGCGATTCAATAAATTTAATGTTAGGCAAACTGAGTGAGACATAAAAAGAACTGCTCAAAACATGAAAAGAAGGTATCAATAAGATAGCAAATACAAAAGGCGGCATGGATGGACAAACTTGAAGAAGATTGAAACGGATTTCAGTTGTGTTTTTAAAAACTTGTTTGCCTCACAGTTTTTCAAAGTTCAAACTTTTGTTGTTTGTATAACGTTTGATATAATGCTTGGTAGACATATTTGTTTAACACAAAGGTGTAACTTTACCATTCATATAGGTAATTCCTCAAGTTCAGTAGCAAATAAGGGCGTGTAAGTGAACCAGACAACGGTGACACAACTCCTTTAAATTGAACATGATAAACAGATTTTAATCGACGTTAATCGAACTCGATCGTTCTCAATCCGTGCATTGATTAAGTTGCTCTGTTTGGCAATCGCGACTTCAAACGGATTTTTGTTGGATGATAATCTATCTAAACCTAATGCACGAATTGGCGAATTGAGTCCGATTTGATTATACTAATGTTTCCTGTTTTATACTGCCGCAGCGAACTTGCATAGATCAGTAAAGCGAACTGACAGAGAAAGTTTGACGGAATTTGGCTGTCTTCGATTAGAAACCCAGATAAGGCAGAAAATACTATTAAGTGGAAAAATGTTGAGAATAAGCGGGTCTCTGGCTTAAGCGGATTACATTGAAAAGCTCAACTTACAGTTTTTGGAGCCATTTAGAACACAGAACGGCTCTAGTCACATCACAAACAAGGATACTGACATCTGTCGACTCAAAGTTTTCGAAGAAACTTTTAAATAGCGTTCAGAACACTAAGGGCCAATTATTTAAACAGACTTGAGCCCGTGTTCAACAAAATCGCGTTCTAAACGATTTTCAGTTTGCCCAACCATGCTTTCATCCAAACACCATTTATCGTGAACAATTTCAATAGCCACCTAAGTTTAACTTCTTTTAATATAAACATGATAACCGACCCCAAAACATTAAAACGGTATGTACCCGCGAGGAAGGATTCCTCGCGCGCATTCCGCTCTTGCGTCCAGGCAGGCTACTCAAGTAAGGCCTGATAGACGTGCACACTAGAAATGTGATTATAGAAACCGAAAGGCTATCATCCTTAAGTTTATAATAACTTACGATATTTTTTTATGGCATGCTGAAATCTTAAACTGAATGAGTGGCTTTCTAACAGCTCCTTCCGTAAAACAGAGCGCCGCTCTCTTATCCCTCTACTATCCAGTAAATTGTAATAGCTATGTTTGTAGACTAAGTCCAAACTTTGAGTCAGGTGAATTACGGACCTGATTTGGGCGAAAGCGAAACATTGAGAAGTAGAGTGCTTACAACGAGAGTTCCGTCGGCAACATAGACGAACTTCAGTGCAACTCAACCATAGATAAAATACTTAAGAACAGCAAACAGCAATCTCTGCTAAATCAATAAAAGCTACCCTGTAAAACGTATCAATCTAGCAATGAATTTTTTGGGCCAAAATTTCTGGTTATTGTTTTATCCAAATGTTTTTCAAATTTTACCGCCATTTTCTCGAACAGCCGCAAAGGCCGAATAAAAGATCGCAAGCTCCTCGTTGTTAAGCTACAATTTTCTACGTGGACTGATGTTTCTTAACTTGCCGCAACTTTGGAGGGTAGGGAAGAAAAACGCGAGAAAATTTAGGCACCTATACCACATCTCTCAGATCGAATTATTTGAAACGCGGGAAAACTTACTATACGAGCCATTAAGCCATCTTATTTGCGAACGTTACCATCAAAGATCGCAAAAGGGTCAAGCGGGCACTAAGGTCCGGTTCAGACGCCGAACTTTTCATGAGCCGAACCTAATTCGAATTAAGGCCGACTCAAATTATTTCGACCGCCTGGATTGATTCAGACGCAGATCTTAATTCCAGCCGAACTAAATGCAAAAGGAGAAAAACGCTCATTTCGGGGTCAAATGCTTGCAAAATACGTTATAATTTAAGCATTAGGTTTGGTACATAAAAAGTAGGGCGTCTGAATCAAAGCCGTTCCAAAGTCGATCCATGGTAGAAATTCCCGGCCCGGCTAGGCGGGAAGAACGGCTGAGCCGTTCCAAATTGAAACAGGCGTTCCTAATAATTGATTGAGACGCCGAACTTTTCATGTACTTAATTTAATGTATTAGGTTCGGCTCATGAAAAGTTCGGCGTCTGAACCGGGCCTAAAGTTCTTGTTTGACGAAGTCTCACCGCTTTAGGTGCAACAGTGGCTTTAAACCAAATCTACCGAAGGAAAAATAATCAGCACTTTGAGAATCGAAACTCCAGAAAGGTTTTCGGGGTCAGTAAGTTTTTACTTTGAGAGAATATTAATGTTTCCATCAAAGACCCTGTTTTTAACCCGTGCAACCAGTTTACACGAAACCATGCAAATTCTGTTAAAGAAAGCTGAGCCGTCAGTTTACACGAGTCCGACTCATCATAGGCAAGTAAACTAAGCACGAGGCTTTTACCGCGCAAACGGTGCAAAAACGTGCACGGTTCGTTTGTTTACACGATTCCGCGTCGGTGGAACCGTACCGGTCAAAAATTTCACCGATCTCTAATCAGGTAAAATACTAGCTAAAGTTGCACACTGTATCGTTCAAAAACTAGCACATTTCCGTGGGTCCCGTGTAAACAGAAGGCGGATCTTTAAAAGTTTTTGTCCGTTCAAAAATTTGTCCACACGCGTGTAAACGAGGTCAAAGATTCAAATTATGTTTATTTTGAAATAAAACGTCTGATACAACTCTTTACTCTTTTTCGATCTGAGATGTATTTGCAAGAAGACAAACCCCTGCAATAACCACAACTTTTGCTACAAACTTTCAAGTATTTTATTTTCTAGAAGGACTCACCATAATGGCGAGTCGCTGCTTCAAAGAAAACTAACAGAACGAAACATGAACACTTTCATTTACAAATTGTAATTACTAAGATATTACTATCTAAGAGGTAAAATCTCCGAACATGAAAAAATAACACTGTATAGCAATTCACACTACTGCATTTGTATCTTCGGAAGTGAACTAACCAACTCAGTTCTAGTCGAATAATTATAAGGTTTAAAATATTATTTTGTATATGTAGTCAACGCCTTGAATTCAAGACCCGTTAAGTATGGAAGATACCACGTTGGTCTATTATACACATATTGCCGGTTAAAAGTGACGCAAGTTGGGATTGGCTTATTTAACGATGTAGTGCAGATCTCTGAAACTTTATAACATCCTAACCTTAGGGTAAAACATATCTTACAATGTGAGGCAGTGTTTCAAGAGAGACTCGGAAAAATATCGCTACTGTAACAGATGTTATAATGCCTGTATGCACGCCTTACATGCCTATTTGAAAACGCTAGAGATTATTGATTGGAAATAGCTTATAGTTTTCTGGACAAGTGTAGATTAAAGTCGTTGATTCATCAGTCCTGCTTGATTTTGTTCCTGAAGTCTTTCGATCAGTGACCTAAAATTCTTTCTGCCCCAGTTTCCACAAAAACTGGTACTTAGTCCACTTTTGCTCACTACCGTCTAGTCCTAGGACTAGTCCTTAGGACTTTCTAGATCGTCTTTCTGGGACAAAATAACACATGCTCTGCGTACGAGTTACTTTTGCGTCTACACATTCACCTCTTTTCGCTCAGAAGAACTCAGTTCCTTTCTAATTATTACGAGAGGCGGAGGTCGCAGGCTAGCGGATGCAAAGTTACGGATGGACCAATTTATGTCTGAGAGAACGGTTGAGAAAATAGAAAACAGTTCCTAGCAATTTCAAGAAGAAAAAGTTAGCTTGCAAGGTGGGGTGGCATAAAAGACACGCCCACCTCGTGAAACAGAAAAATATGAAACAGCAAACTGATCCCTACGGCAAGGCGATGAAGAAGTAAAAAAAAGAATCAAACAAAAATATATATTTTTTAACAAATTTGCCCAATATTCGGTCTGAAAACAAACCTTCTTCAGGGGCTAAAAGAAAAATGAAGATAAAAATAAAAGCTCGTTACAAGTAAGAGTTTGAAGATATGACAATAAAAACAATGGATTGTTATTGATCTAGGAGAGTAGGTAGTATCGTCTATCAGCGCGCTTCATCACGTTTGTTTATACCTCTGGGAGTAAATAGACATCCTGACTGCTAATATTGGACAAATTTGTTTAAATATATATTTTTTGTTTCATTCTTTTGTTTGCTTCTTCATCGCTTTGTCGTGAGGATCAGTTTGCCGTTTCATATTTTTCTACAAGTTATTATTGTACTGATCCAGGTATACAACTGGGAGATCCGGCACCACTCATTGGTTTTTCGCTGTGGACTCGCTTATATTTTATATATTATGGTGAAACAGAAATGCTGGCAACCCTTTTACGATACTAATATAAACTGATGAGCCGACCGTCTCTTCACCATAACATCCTAACACCACCCTAAAGGCGTTTTTCTCGGTGCTCTCGTCCAACGCAAGAGGAGGGGGGGAGGATAAAGCAGGACAAAACATTAATAACAACCGCTATTTCAGACAAACCATCAGTCACTTCTGCCATTACCCAACCAAGACGACACATCTACAGTAAACTGTTGACGACAATCCAGAATCCTGATTATAATCAAAACTAAGGGAGCTTTTCATTTGTTAGAACTGGCCGTCCAGACCAGGCAAGTTGTAAAGAGAATCCCACGATTAATCACAACTATCCGGCCAGATCAGGCTATTCATCAATGGTATGTTTGGTAGTAATGGGTTTTAGGGAAAATTCATTTGAGAAAACGTACTATTCGTTGTCTTTGTTTTTACGAAGTTTCAGCGCGATTTGAGTACTTTTACATCATCTGACCTGTCAGTACTCAAATCGCGCTGAAACTTCGTAAAAACAAAGACAACGACTCCAGGTAACAATATTCACACTTTATTGATAACTTTTATCGCACTTTCAAACTCTATTTTTCCCGTACAACTCTCATATTACGCCACCATAGGCCCATATTACGCTTGGGCCACCTGTGTTCGAACAATATCACTAACTGCATAACCAAACTCTTACTGTATTAGTCTTCTTCCTTCCTTATAAATTTGTTTCTATGAAAAGGCAATGTTTTCAAGAGGAGTCCCTGCGTTTATCACTCCCTACAAGGCTATAATCAGTTACCGCAACTACAAAATACAAGGCAACTTTTCGAGTGGCTCGGTGTTCGTCAGAGCCAAAAAGACCTTATCATTCAAGTGGCTCGGTAGCTCGGCACTCCCAACTGAAGAACCACCGAGCCGTCGAGCTACTAAAATATTAGACTACGAGCGGTCTCCCTTTTTTCTCAGTCCTTCAAGCGAAACGTGCGAGACTCGAAAATGACCACGCGCTTTTCTTGCGTCTCGCGGCTTTGCCGATCGACGCTCGCTTCCCTTACTAAATCTGAAGAAAGAGAGACTGCTCGCTGTCTACTAAAAAATATACTTTCGCTTGTTCTTTAAAATTTATACTTATGATCCTAATTGCTAACACTTTATAAAGTCAAATATTTATATTTCTCGTTTCTCTTTTCTTTCTCACGCCTAGCGAGCCACCGAGCCAGTTCCGTTTAAGTACTTACAATTTGGCCCTGCATTCCGTAGCTGCTCTAAGCAGTTCTTCACACGCAGTTATATGAGGTAACTACGCGAAACCCTCGTTCAGAGAACAATGATGTCTTCGCCACCATCTTCAGCAGCATTTGATACCTTCGCTCGTTTTACGCTTTTTAAATCTTGTTGTTCTTCGGCCGGTTCTGATTGTTCCGTTTCATCTGCTTTCCTCTTGCGGGATGGAACGGGTTCATCCACCACCATAACTTCGTCATTTTCACCTATTGGATTTATGAAATTTAAGTCAACCGGCGCAAACCCTGAACGTGAATAAGCTTTTCGTACCGACACGAAAAAGTATCCAGTATAGGGTGAACAGCAAAAATACAGAACTAGAGCAAATTGTTCAGACACATCGAACATTGTGCCGGAGGGATTGTACGAGAGGGTTTGGTGAACTAAATCCTAGTCTTCACTCCTGAATATTTACTTCCTTCTCAGTGGATTCCATTTCTCGCTCCTACTTATTCACTTCGGCTATTGTCCGAATACCACGCTGCACCAAAGAGTGTCACCGAACCTATCCGATATGTGACGTCCCACTTGCGAGGTCGGCGCGGAGCAGTTTCGCTCCTTTATAGAAATCGTGTGGAAATCACGGTTCTTATGTGTGAAAAGAGGCCTTAATCGGTGTGGTTTTGGTGCCGGTACAAGAGCAGTCCCGTATAGTGTGACATGGCCTTTCGGACATCCGTCAATCACAACCATTCCAAGATAGGAATTTTATCATATCAATCCCGGCCATCAGGTTCTTGGGGTTAAACACGACTCGATTGAATAAGGATGTTTAATTTAAACGGAAGAATTTCCTCTCTCGCCAATTAACCCCCGGGCAAGCTCACATGTAACCGCTAAACCAAATAGATAACCGAGCTTACAGATACATTTTTAAGGCATCAATGACTGCGCAAAAGTCAGGAGCGAAATTGCGCACAGGGTTACCAGGCTCCGAGACAGAGTAAACTCGTTCGAGTGCTGACTCCCTCTGTTTTAGCCTTCCGATCGATTATCTACACCTCAGTTTTGCTCAAAAGCCTAAATTTGTGGCAAAGCTATCAAGTGGGTTGATTTTCTCGCGTTAAATAACAGGTAAACGTAGCTCACGAGCTAGAATGCGTAGCTGTTTGGCCAGAGGGAAAAATAAAAGCTGCGAAAATGTGCGCGAAGTGCCAGAACGAGCGACTCATGGTCCTCGCGGCTTCGCCGCACGTTTGCGCACAAAACCGCAGGCTTCTCAAAAATGTGCTATGGGTACCTGTTCATATCATCTTTATTCTCAGTAGAGCTAATGTTGTAAAATTGATCAGAAATCATAAAGGGTCTAAATAACGAAGGACACCACTAAAAAGTCGTTGGAATTCGTCTAAAACGGCTGAAAATGCCAAGAACACGCAGTAAATAAAACGCATGGATGAGATAAGGTATTCAGTTGCAATTTGATTACTTACATTGACTACTAGTTTTCGATCCCATAAATACTCTTATAACTTAAGATCAGTTATGCAACAGCGATTCTCAAGCTCGACCTTGGGGTACCCGTGGATCAATTACAGAAAGCGCACAAGAAATGTGTCAAAATATAAAGAAACACACATGCGAGGCGATGCTTTTCTTCCGAACGGCGGTAACACACAAGTCACATCGTTTTTATTATTCCGACAATGCAACTGAACCAGATCAAAAAAAAAAAAACAGAGCTCACCGCTTTCAGCTTTTTCATCCGCCCGCGTTGATGGGCCGGGTTCAGGGGTCTGTGGTCCAGGGGCGGGTATATCTCCTTCCACTTCAAATTCTGTATCGTTTTCTAAATTCTCTCTGCAATATAACAGGCGCCTTTGTTAAAAGCGTACTTTCACATAAAGTGCCGTGTCACAAAATTTATCGAAATTCAGCAGTGAGAACTGCCATCAAATTGCCAGAAACCAAAAAAATAATCGCCCAAGACGTTAAAAGAAGGTATGAATATCAAAGGAAATACACGTATTTACAGAGGAATCTTATGATCAGGGGTCCGACATTTAGCGGTCTTACATTCCGGGGTCTTACATCTAGGGGTTTTATATGCAGGGTCTTACATTCAGGAGTCTTACATCAAGGAATCTTACATCCAGAGGTCTGACATAAACGGGTGTTACATCCAGGGGTCTTACATTCAGGAGTCTTACATCCGGGAGTTTTACATTCAGGGTCTTACGTCTAGAAGTCTTATGTTTAGGGGTCTTACAACCAGGGGTCTTACATCCAGAGGTCTGAAGTTCAGGAGTCTCAGATCCACGGGTTCTTACATCCGGGGTCTTACATCCAAGGCTCTTGCATTCAGGGGTTTTTATATTCAGCGGTTTTTCAATTAGGGTTTCTTACCTTCAGGGGTTCTTACAGTTAAGGGTTCTTACGTTCCGGGCTATTCATGTCGGCAACTGAGCCTTCATCCAGCTAACAAGAGTTAATACTGCTAAAAACAAAATCCTGCTTTGTTGTCAACCTACTTGTGTTTAACGTTAAGAACGAGTTGGTAGTTTTGAAGGAAATCGTCAGCTTTCAGCCTTGCGCTGTTTCCCATAATGAATTCGCTTAGCGTCTTCGGTAAGTTTTCTGCAAATAAGGAAGTAAAAATCTCGCTGAAGCAATTCAAACTTAAGCAATTAGTCAATCAAACTGAAACTTGCAGTTAACTTTGGCCTGCCAGGGGGGTGGAAATCTGACGAAATTGAGAGAGAAGATTTGACATAATAAGGGAAGGATATGTAGAATAATCAAATTGCAACAAACTCCTTTCAATTTTTCTTTTTCAATTAAGTAACGGTCCAGATAAGACGGAAAGAACCAAACACAATGAACACGTGGGAATGCAGAAAGGCGCTAACTTTACTACTGCCTCTACTATATTTCTAAAAACAGCAAATTTTACGAAATCTTCGCAAAGCAGCATGTTTGTAAATCCTTTGTTTTCTAAAAGGCTTTCTCATAACAAACTCTCGTAGGTAACACAGAAACCATATGTGAGGAACATGTAAAACTGTAAACTTTTCTTGGCTATTTGTGGCAACTCTTGTGATTGGTTGAATCCGTTAACACAAACTGCCTTTTTGCAGGTTTATGCATTCTATAAGTGAAAATGAAACATTCCTCTGTGAGGAAAGCGTGTTACACCATAATAAAAGAAATTGCTTCCCGTCTTACCTAGATCATTACTTAATCAAGAAATACATGTACATGTAATATGAATGACAAAAAGCAGTACCATTTCAAGACTAGATACCCTTCTCTGTTCACCGGCATTTAAAACAGTTTACAAACAATTTCAAAGCTTCAGTCAACCAGACAGAGGATGCGTTTGAGAATGGGATGGAGGAATAAGTAACTAACATTCCAGTTGGATCAATTGATCACTGATGAATGTGGACAATATGTAATGACTACAGGACTGCGTAAAATACAATTCAGGAAGTCATCGGGCGAGTAATTCAGAATTGGTCAAGTGCGTAGCACATGGATGGTTTGAAATTATAAACCCCATTGCCCTGAATTGTAAAACACAAAATCCTATTACCAATTAATTGTGTCAATAACAAAACGCGAGAATTTTAGGATTCGAATATTATATTAAAGTGCAAAGTTCCTATTACACTGTGCATCAACTTACAGCTTCCAGATCAAAAACAGGGCTTACGACTTACTACTGCATCGAACTGAAGCTGGAAAACTAACTTACTGAAGTTTTGTTTCTTGGTTCTGGTTTGCTAGCATGGACTAATTATTTGTTAAACCTCACTGGCTAGAATTACTTGATGCTCGATTTTCATTAGCTGTTCAACTGTCTGATTTGACCTGTCCGATAACAAGCAGCTTTTAATTGAGCAGGTCAAATAGGACAGTTCTGGTGCTGCATTAGCCAAATTGAGCAATAAATATGGGCTGTTGAAAACCAATCAGATTTGAGAATTTTCTTAATGACATTAATCATAATAATGTACGGTACAGCTACCTTCTGTTTCCCCCTCTTCACTAGATATCAGTATACTGCCTAAGGACAGAAACAGCTTGGTTTAGTCAATACATGGCCAGTAACTACCGCAGGAAGCTCACAGACTAGTGATCCACTCTTGGTCCACAAACACAATAAGCCATTGCAAAATAATTGGCAAGGACAACAATGCCAGACATTCATGCATATAGGAAGATCTCTCAGCGTCATACTCTCTGCAGGAATTCCCTTTTCAGTCAGTCCAGTCAAGGCTTAGCAGGACTGGAGAGAGCGGACAAATCAAAAGGGGAACAAGAGAGAGACTGCCTCCTCTTCTGTTTGCCTCAAATGAAGTTGTCGGACTGATAATAATGACCACCATGTTCCTGTTGGCCTCACTTAACTTTGGGGAACAATGAGTAGACTACAAGCAGTCTCTCTTTTTTCTTAGTCCATCAAGCAAAATGCACGAGACATGCAAACGACCACACCCATGACTGAAGGCGCAAGACTGGCCGCCTCATTTTTCGCGTCTCGCGGCTTTACTGCTCAATTCTTGCATGCACGTGCACTCCCCTCACTAAATCTGATGAAAAAGAGAGTCTGCTCACAGTCTAAACAATGAGGGTCTTGGGAGAAATAAAACTCACTATTTTCCTGTGTCCAGTCATAAAGTGCTTATGGTACACCTACAAACCTACAACAAGAGTGAGTGTACCAACCTTTGCCATCATCTATTTCAACATCAGGTGCCACCATACCAAACCTTTCCTTAAGTATCTATAGAAACAACACAGCCAAGAAATAATTTATTACTGATGTAAAATCAGTTATCAAACAATGTAAATGTTGGAGGAGGGTTTTGTGATATCAGGAGTAATCAAGCTTGAGGTCAGTGTTGTAAGTCAAGACTGACAGGTACACCCTAACAATTAGGACAGTTATCTGCTGGCAGATAGCCATATCTACAGTAACTAATCTTTAGGTTGAACTGTAGGCTCTGAGCCAATGAGAAGACAGATAGTGAGTATATTAATCATAACAAAAAAATGATACTGAAAGTGTCATAAATGTCTATAAGAAACAGCAGTCTTCAAAACTCTTTTCCAGTACATTTAGACATAATTTAAACAAGACTGCCAACTACAATGTGCAAAAGTTCAAATTACAAAACACTTAGAATATGCCCATTTATTTTTTTTGAGAAGTGCTACCTAAAGTAGAAACCTATGGAGAAAAAGATGATACTCCACAAAGCTGATGTCATAGTTATTTTTAAAAAAATCATTATTTTATAAATTCTATTCTCCATTTTGAAATAAAACATGGCCCTGCATAAATTATACATTTAGCACACTACAAGATAAACTCACCTTCTCTTCTAAAGTTTTGATTGTAAGGGTTTTAGTGTTTAAGAAAACATTCACCTGAAAAGAAAAAAAATGCCTTAATCAATTCTCAAAGTTTGAAGAGCAGTGTCTGAAGTAAATTAGGCATCTTAATCTCCTCATAAAATGTGGTTCTGACGCTAACTGAATCCAAGGACAACATGTCCAAGTTTAGCCATTCATTCAAAAGCTGACACTTTTCGGGGCTACCTCCAGTGTTTGTAATTTTCTGAGATTAACATGGTTGCTACAGCCAGAGGATTTTGAAATTCCCTAACTTTTTCCTGTCAAATGTAAAATTTCCCTTTACATAACTCCTTAACATAACTTTTCATTCAATCTAATGAACAATAACCTTCCAATACAACATGATTCATGTCCGTAAAATGTACAAAAGACTTTAAAATGTTAGAAAACAACAATCTTAAGTAGAGGGAAAAGAATACATATGTAGTCTTAAAACTTCCCTTTTCTCTGACTTCTTTCAAAGATGAAATTTTCCCTGATTCAGAGCACTTGAAGTTCCCTGACTTTTCCCTGAACATCTCCTGACCCGTGCAAACCATGATTAAACTGTTACATCCTTTTTAACATCCTCACCTCTGGTTTTGCAGCACAAACATAACACTTGGGATTTGGAGGAACCAAACAACAAGGAACAAGCAGCTTCTTTCTTGGGTTAGGCTGACGATTAAGATAAATCTGCAACAACAGTGGATAACAATGGACAGTTTACTGGAAAATCAAGATTTTTCACATTGTTTTATTTTTAGTAAATGTGTGTTTGCTTCTATAGATAGCACAGAAAACATAATACTGCTTTCAAATCCACTTGACAGTTTAGTATACAGTGTAGTATAAGGGGTATGTGGACACTCATTCAAGAACTAGAGGAAAATCTCAAGATAATAATACGTTGAGTGAAGATTGCAGTTTTTGTAAACTAATATTTTTGGGCACATTGGCAAAAAGTATGATTTGTAAGTTGGAAACTCCCTTTACCAGCTGGAATGATTGCATCAAATTCCATAGCCAATAGTGTAAAACAAAATGAGTTAGTTGGCAATAGCATAATACAGGCTGGATTAGTTGCAGTAAACAAGAAGTCAGCTTTCTTTCTCTAAAAAAGGTGGCTGTTATTTTTTCCTTCATTTTTTTTAATTATTATTGCTTTACTTCTTTTCCTGGGAATTTTCTGGAGCCAGAAAATTTCAGCTTAATTTTACTTTAAGTCCTTAAAAGTACTAAAAATGAGTCTATTAGAGTGGGCTAATTTGATTTCAACACTTACTGTTTTACATTTGTCCAGCTTTCCACTTAGAATGTTTAGAGCCTGCATCACAATCACACCTGAAATAATGGCATTTGTTGTGGCAATTGCTGGTATAATATTCCCTGCCATGGCTAAAGAAAAAACAAGAAATATATCAGTCCATGTGCCAAATACACTCAGATATACAAAGTAAGAAAATCATAAAAATTATGGAATGTCAAAACTACAAAAACATACATACTGGCCACGGTTGTTCAAACATTGGATAGCGCTATCCACTGAATAAATCACCATCCAGCAGATAAGACAGTATTGGCAAACAAATAATTAGAGATTTATGCAGTGGATAGCACTACCAGCCTTTGACCAACCGAGGCCAGCTGTTTACTTGCTCAAGTCCCAAATCATAAAGGGGAAGAGGTCAGACACACAGAGATCAAAGTCACTCCTACATGAGTTATCCACACTCATAAATAAATAAATGCATCCACAGACAGGGACAACAGCTGTCCATGTATTTTTTCAAATGTTTATTCTGTGATGAAAAATTTCACACTGCAATTTTAACTGGAGAAGGATAACATCATTTAATTTTGATATTCTCATGAATTAGGGCAGCAGACAAAGGAAGTTGAGAATCAACCTAGATTAAACAATTTTAACCTGAATATGATTTTGACCAGCGTCCTGTAACATATACATGTCGTAATAACATTATGAAAAAAATTTTAATGTTCTTGTTTGCATAGACAAAAACAATAATTTTTTGAAAATAATAATGAAAGGTTTTTTTGAAAGATATTGTTAGTTCTTAGTCAACTGAAGAATAATATGGATTTTTCTTTCCAAACCTTTGACATCAAAGCGACTCCTGATAGGAATGCTAAAAATGTGTGCCCGGATATTTGCTGCACTTGTGACAAAGTCCATTGATGCTGGGTCATCCTATGCATAAAAACAAAAACAATGGTTAAAAGACACCAATCTCTTCTCACTAGTGAAAAAAAGAGTCTAGTACATACAGAAAAGTGAACTTGGAAGACTGTGAAAGTCTGACATACATGTAACCCCCAGACACAATTCTGTTCATTTTGGTGAGTTATTAGAGAGATGTATTAAATCACTATTATGGTAAACAGCAAATTAACCAAATGCCGATTTGCACCATTTGTGATCAACTTTTTCCTTCACCTGTCATTTACTGTGCAAGATATCTATAAAAACATTGTAGTTTCACACCAATTTTATACATCAAAATAGTTTGCACAGTTTTTATCTGTTAATATTCCATTTTGAGAAATCATTAACTTGAATTTGAATTTTGCTGTTTGCTGTAAACGTGACTAGATCTCTCTACAGTCAAAAAAACCTTATCTAAACATTGTTTATAATTTGAGTGGAGTATCTGTAAACTAGCAGCTAAAATTAATACTCTTGTAACATTATAGAACATTTTTTAGATTGAAGACATTGTTATAAAACATTTAGTCGTGTACTGGAAGCATCTCAGCCCTCCTTGTAACGATTATTAACCTGGGTGTACCTGCACCTAATCGATGATATTCTGTGACCTGACTTTGCAATAAAAAATCATCAATCATCATGCAACTAACTTAGTTCACTAAACACTGACCTTATCCCACACAAGGTCTTCTCCTCTTGTAAGTAACTGTTGTTTTAAAGTATCCACACTAAAACAAAACCAAAAATTTCATTATTCTATAACAAACAGTGCAACTAAAATAACAATATTGTATTGTAAGTGTGCTCAAAACAAAACTGGAACTTAAGTGGTATAAAAACAATACCAACCTCTGTCTAAATATGCTAGCACACTCCTCGGGACTCCAAACTCTTTGGTCTTGAAGCCCATTGTCAGAGTCTTTTTCCTCGTTATTGCATTCTGCAGAACAAAATAATCATTATTCATGAAACAATTCCAGGTTTAATCTTCTAAGATATCAGTTAGTTCAGAGTGTTCATACCTTTACCATCACCAACTCCATTTTAAAGCAAATAGTAAACTTTGTCCTAAAACAAGTGTTTTCATGGCTACAGCTCACTTTTAAAGCTGAAGCAAACTGTATAATGGTCACACCCCGTGAGCAAAGCCTCCTTCTGTGTTCTTGAGTAAGTTGCTTAAGTCCGAACTTCTGAACTAGTCATATTCTTCTCCATCTTCACACCAGTTCTCTAAATGCAAGAATACTTTTACTGACAAACTGACAGTCATAACTGAGCCCGCTGTACCAAGCACATGGCCATTAAGCCTGGGTTTGAAACTGTATCCTAGCAACATGCAGCATATGCTCAACAAAGATCTTACTCGAATCGAGCAAGTGAAAGAAAGGCTCTGCTCGCCAGGTGAAATGATCAAAGATGAAACATTTTGTTACTTCATCTTAACCCTTTTTAAGGCCCAAGAGTGACCAACATCAATTTTCTCTTAACAGTTATCAATAAGCAGTCAAAAGAGAAGGTTATGAGAATGAATAAAATGATCATCTAAGGGAAAATGCTTTGATCTATAATATCAAATTCTCTCAACTTATTCTTTAAGGAAATGTATGGAGATCAGTCAGGAGAATTTGTATGTCAATATCGTGGCTTGAAGAGTTAAGTGGCCACGTAGTAGACCTCACCTGTCTGAATATTTTCCCAGTCTAAAGGAACAGGAGGTTTTCTCTTCCTCCATAATTTGTCCATGGATAAAAGATACTTTATGTCTTCATTAAACAACTATAGAAGAAAAAATAATAATGACATGTATTATTTATTAATTACATGTAAGTACTCCGTAAGTTAATTAGTACATGCAACTTGCCTTATTAATTCACTGCTATAATAAGTGTAATAATAAAATATTTCACTTTATCAGATCAGCTTGAAAAACACATTTCAGTCCAAATGAATTTATTACGAACATCAACAACTTGTCCTACAGTATAAGTGTTACAATTGCTTTAAAAATGTACTTTTGTAATTATAAATTCTCCGAAAACTACACCTGCCTGTCTAGCAAGATGAGAACAGAATTCACTAGCCCAATTGCAGAATCCCCTAGACCCAGGCTTAAATCAGACACATCTTTCTTTGCATGCTGTAATCTACTACTCACTTTGTTAAACAATCTGACGGGGTCATATCCTATCTCTTCCGCCCATGATCTTGTTGACGCCCTGTCTATACCTCCAGTGGCATTTTCCTTCTCTTTACTAGTTACTGCCCTCTCTCCAGCCTCTCCTACAGCCTCTGGATCTTCAGTGTCAGGAGACACTTCTTCATCAGCATCTGCCTCACCAAACAATTGACTGTGCAAATATCATAATTATTACTAGTAATAACCAAAGGTTACAGAGTGCGGGCGACAACGATCGAAGGTCAACACGCTTTTGCTCCAGCCCTGTGCTTTGCGTAAGTTTCACGTGACAGATGGTCAACACACGCATGATCAGATTACGAGTAATAGAAGGTCCCAGCATGCATGATCAAATTGCGTTCTGTGCATTCCATGCACTCTTAGTGGAAGTCCAAACCAATGCTGATTACATACTTGCAACGCATGCATAATAGCAACCTGGGCCGAGTTGTTCAAAGCTGGGTTAAGATAACCCAGGGTTAGTGCGAGATTTGAATTCAGATTTGAAAGTTTAAAAAGCATTTCAGTTTTAATTCTTTTTGTTTACAAGTTGACGATTGGAAGCTCTAAAAATAACAGATAAAATTCTCCGAGAAAATGCTTTTGAGCACAAGAAAAAGAAACCAGGGTTAACTTTAACCCCAGGTTAAGCGCTAATCAGCCTTCGAACAACTGGGCCCTGGAGATTAGGATTGCGGGCTCTTGTTGCCCGCAATTAATGTTATGTCATGCCAATTAAGTTTCAGTAAAATCCTATAGCCACCATAATGGCAATAGGACTGAGCAGAGCTGTCCAATTCTGTCCGTAAAAGTGATTAACATACAATTACAGACTGAATTGAATAACAGAAAGTTCTGTTACCAATAAAAAGTTAAAATATTAAGTTTAATAATAACTATTACAAACATTTGTGATATTTTAACCTTAAAACACAAGATCTTCCAAGAAAGTGAAAAAATAAACCATTAAAGTGCACACAAGATGGCACATACTGTCCAGTTTCTTGGGCTCAAAATGTTTGACTGTACTACATCAATAACAAATTAATGTAAAATTGAAGCTGGCTTACTTGAAAAGATGTTTAGCCCAGACAATACAATGAATAGGTTCAGAAGGAGTATTTCTGATTGTACAGCCGGGAAATGTTTTCTGTGTTGGTTTGGGCTGACACTCGTAACACTCCGTGACTCCCTGTAGAATAATGTTGTATTGTTAAGTGTTCATACATGTACCTGAGGTAAACAAAAACTTTTAAATTGTAATCTAAAACTGTGTGGGTAGGTTTGCTCTAACTGGAAATGTTTCAGAAACAAGGTTCACCTAAATTGAGGGTTAAAACTGTTTTTCTTTGGAACAGGTCTGGCTTGGAAAGTTGCCAGGACTATCCCATTTCAATTAACGAAATACAAGTACACTGTATCATGACCATTCCCACTTTCATTTTCAAACTTTCATCCTAAAAGTGGAACAAGGTGAACGCATTCCACAGCACTGTAAAATTCCACTTGCTTGCATAGATTTTTGAAAATTAAGTCCAGATAACTATTTTGGTTGAGTATATGTACATTGTACCAATCAGTAGCTCTTGTCTCTCCAATTTAAAAAAATACCGTAAAATTCCAAAAATAAACCCCAGGGCTTATATTTTTCAAAGGCCCTTTTTGAGGGGCTTATTTTTGGAGGGGCTTATATTCGGAGGGGCTTATCCACGGAGGGAAATTTGCGTCTCAAAATCGATTGGACTAGCCTTATAGTTGGAAGTAAATTTAATTATCTTTTTTGCTTTGTTTTTCATTGTATTCGAGGGCAACATTCCAATTACAAGCCCCCGGGGGGCTTATATTTGGAGGGGCGATCTAATGGAGGGGTTTTCACGTTACGGGTTTGGGGAGCTTATATTTGGAGGGGCTTATACGTGGAGGGGCTTATTTTCGGAATTTTACGGTATTAAATATACACATATTTTGTTACTTTTCAGTCTGTGAATGAAACCAGGTCATGTGACTTTTACAATAAAACCTCTTCGGCAGAATTGGTTATGATACTCCTGATTCTGCCTTCTAAACTTGTTCTAACTTTTGAGTCTGTGTAAGGAAACATAAGGCATAACCATTTTATACCTTTTTAATAACAGTTGCCTGGCCAAGATATCCAGCTGTTCCGCTTTCCACGAGTGGCACATCAGCTGCCAGACACATTCTATTCACATGGTTTCTTGCAGCTATTATTTTTTTTAAAATATCATAAAAAAGCAATATACTCGTGTTATTCTTTAAGATTACATGTACTTCAAACATTATTCATAATTACAGTCAGGGCTCAAACAAGGTCCTGTCTGGTCATCCAGGACATGTAACAACTACATGTACATGTACAGTGTATAAACTGTAGATTATAAGGGTTCTTACAGATTTTGGGATCCACAATTCAAGACGTTTTCCAGACTTTTTTCCAAAACAATAATAATTTCTTTCTCCAGACTCGAGGTTATCAAATAGGTGATCAATACAGACCTTAAAAAGTGCAGGAACAAAGCTCTTTTACGATGCACTACAAATGTATGGGGGAGATTGAAAAAAATTTACCACAATGAAAAAAATGCAACTTATAAAGCACTTGCTGTAGCTTTGAAAAAAAACTCAAGACTTTTTACTAATTTCCAGACTTTATTTCTATTTTACAGACTTTTCCAAGAATTCAAGACTCTGTACGAACCCTGGATTTTCCTGCCGGACAAGTACTCTTTTATGCTCACTTGTTAATGGGCAACGAACCATGCAAATAATCTTCTTACTAATATTAATTTATTCATAAACAAGGTAAGGACGCAACAGGACCACGCAGGCTTAATTTGAGAGATACAGTGCTTGTCCCAAGGACAAGCGGATTGGCCCTTACAGTGCATTTTTTCTTCTTCTCCTTTTTAACAATGAACAAAATGAGGAAAACACCTCACCTCTGTTGTCCAAAGCATTCATGACCACATTAAACTGCTTAAAATAATCCAGTCCATACTCGGAGCTATGAAAACAAAAATAGAAAATAAATATGTAAACAAGTCCACTCTACATCTGCATTCTACATATCAATAAATTCATTCACTGGTCCCCAGACATTGGTTTGCTGGTGAGCCTGTAATTCTCCGCACCTCAACGCTGGGTGCACAGACGTGCCATTATGGAAATAGGCCAATCAAAAAAGAACCGTTCAAATTTATGGGGCATATGTATCTCACATAAACATTAGTGGGAATGTTGTTCAATTAAACATGAACAGGATATCAAAGATTGTGGAGGAAAATTTTGAATTTGCTTGCTTATTTGCTTGGATTCATTTGTTTATTTATTTTATTTTCACATATTGTTGTTAATATGCTGAAAACAAGGAGAAGCCTAACATGTGTACCCAGCTAGAGGTGTGGTGGGAAGAATAGGAGGTACATCAAGAGACTCACTGCTGAAGACTGAGATTACATGTACATGTATAGTCTTGGTGGATAGGGTACTTAACAATGACTTTTAACATCAGATGTTTCATACCTCATTATATTATCATGATGGGCTTTGATATTTGCATCAGGATTGAACCGCAGGGCACTCTCACGAGAAACCTACGATGTTAAAAAAAAAATGATCTTTTACGCAACTTAAAGGCTTCAACGTTAGTAAAGCCATCTCAATCAAGAAAAAAGAAAACATAATATAATGCAGTTACTAGAGGTATGTATCTTAAATTTTTCACTGCTTACTACCAGACCTCTCTCTTCCGAAGAGGCCTCTTTGTGTTGTGGGGAGGCTGGGGAGATAGAAAAAGAGAGCACCGGGGCATTCCCATCGTCCCCCAAGCGCTTTCTATTTTTCCCATTATTGCTATTTTCATAGGGATACCCAGAGGGAGCCTCTGCGGAGGAGAGAGCTACCAGACTTCTACAGGTGATGAGGCCAACTGTTTACACAACAGTATTGTATTATGACAATCAGCTTTTTTGGCAAGATAGAGAATGTGTTTTCTTAGTGGTTCAACTATTACTAGGTAATGCACAATCAGTCAACTTCATCACCTCAAAATGAACAAAAGTATGCAGCTGACATGTCACAACCTACATCTCAAGGGGGCACAACACAGTGGCGGATCCAGGGGAGGGACCCGGGGAAGCCGGACACCCCTCCCCCCCTTCTTATTTTTAGACTAAAGTGAGGCCTGAAGGGCTCAAAAAATTTTTTGGGGCGACCCCCCCCCCCCCCCCTTATCGCAAGGTCTGGATCCGGCACTGCAACATGAGACAAACAATAAGACTCTTCACCATGAACACTCAAAATCCTTTCCTACACATACATCTCAAATAAATCCAGTAGGTTTCTTTCCACGAAAATTATTAAATACACTAAACGTACCTGTGCTTTGGATTTTCCAACATGTCTTTTTTGAAACAAGAACTGGCGATTTAAGTTACTAACATCGATGGTATCCAAGTCAATCTGAGAAAAAATACAATACAAAAAATTATTACTAAAAAACTAATACCCTCAACTCTCACTTTGCAGACACCCCAATAATACAGACAGCAGCTAAATCCCAGGCAAAAATAAATTACAGATGTTTGACTGAAATAAACTCCTGCTATTATGGACTCTCACTGATGAGGACACTAACTCAAGGTTCCTACAGTGTCCACCCAATTTTTTCCTTATAACTGTAGAGTAAATTTATTGCAAATTTTGCATTTATATATACACCCCACTATAAAGGGAATTGACTTAAGAATACTGGTTAGTCAATGCGAAGGAAACTCTAACATATTAAGACCAACAAGTATTTACAGACAATCTGAATGTCCATAAATACTAAAAATAATGAAAAAGCTGCTGCTGATGATGATGAGGAGGAGGAGGAGGATGACAATGATGAAAAATTTTATTTTATTTTATTTTTTATTTTTATTTTATTTTATTATTTTGCCACACACAATGAATTACAAGCAGAATAAAAACGATAATAAATAGGTTAACTAACATTAAATTTAAAATTTGTGCATTACTTGGGAGGAGTGACTGTGGCGGGGAAATCTCCAAGAAGCCGAGCTTATGAGGAATAGAGATTTCCCCCTACGGGCAATTTAAATACTAGGCGGCATTTTAAGAAATAAAGAAAAAAGTCGTTTATTTAAGTATATAAGTGTGTTTAGAGGAAAATATAGATATGAGGTGTTAAGGTATTTAGGTTGCATTCTGTCTGACCCTTAAAAATGGTTTGATCACACGCTTGAATATACTAAAAGACGAGCATAATAGTGCATGATGGTGTACCCCTTTGGACAAGCATGTGTTCAAAGGGATTAATTGTGCAACACACACCCTTCAGTATCAGGTAATAGGAGTTTCATGTTTCATTTCAAGTCAGTTTTTACTTTGAGTGTATACCAGAGTTTTGTATCATACTGTTTCGTTTCTTCTTCCTACCCACCCACCCTGGGTGATTTTATTTAATGTCATAGGGTGGCAGACAGTTTTATTAGGCATATCCTTGACTGTTGTTTACTTTTTGTTTGTATCCTTAATAAACTTCTCTTCATCCCAAAAAGCGAATTGTGTTTTCTTTGTGTTAGGGATCGTAGTTGGGGAACTATAATAAAGATCATTACAGTTAATTGTTTATTCGTTACACATACATTAATTAATGCCCTCTTCCTTACATGTGCAAATTAACAAAAACACCTGTTTTGAGCATCTTTCACCAGGTATCTGTGCTTTGGATTTCACCGCCACGACACAGTGACTGTGCAAACCCTGCATACTACTCTGGCATTCTCAAATTACAATTTCCGCTCATTGTGCATGTTGATATCGATAAATCACAACTTGATGTGGCTTTAAAAAAGCTAACAGATTTCCACAATGATTGATGAAATATTCTCTTTTCATAGTTGAAATAAAACAATAACTACCGGAATCAATCAAGCGACGTACAGCACATGTTTTAGCGCACAACCAATTACGCTATACAAAACTTATCTTCCTTGATCGACTGACGTAAAATTAACATCGGCCTTTTCGAATACTCACCACTTCTATATCTTTAAAGCCAGTTAAAACCAAATTTTTCAGAAGTTCGCAACCGATACCACCTGCTCCAACCACCAAGACTTTCGAATTCTCAACACATTTTGATAAATCAGTTCCCAGAACATCACGATAAACAGCCGAAGTTCCCGCCACCGTCGCCATCTTGAAAATTCCCTGGGCACATTTATTTGTCAGCGGTTTCCTTTAAAAGACAACATAACTTTACCAAGTGAGTAGTAGACCTGAACAAAACTGGGAATTGGTTTCTCTGACTTAACATTCCTCAAAATAACGTCTTTCAACTCTAAAAAAAAGACAATATTCCATCATCTTCTAGAGCAGACTTGTTTTTAGCTTACACCTATTTCTTTTCACAAGAGGTTTGAGTATGACAACATATTGATGGATGCCCCCTCCCTTAGAATAAACTTCGCACATCAGCAGAAAATGCTCTGATTGGCCACTTTGTGTTTTGGCGCTTGATTTGTCTACTCTGGATTCATCAAGGATGGCAAACGATTCACGTCGACATGATTTGTGCAAATTGTTCAACAAATTTAAGAAGGAAGAACTTCTTCGTGGACTTATTGAACGAGGTTTCTTGACGGATGATTCGCTAGACACAGAGGGAACGAAAAAATCTTTCGTGAATCGAATTGTGAAGAGCTGCTTCCATGGCGAAGTGAAGACTGACCAAGTAGCCTTAATGGATTTATTGTGTAAGCAAGTCTCTTTGACTTATGTTTGCTATTCTCTACGATACTTCTAGTATTTTAAAAATAAAATAATGCTTATTACAAGGTACTTTTTGTCACTTGATAGTTGATGAACAGATACAGTTGCCAGACGTTTCCTGGGTTTCTTTGAGAATTTTTAAAGAAGAAAAGTAAAATTTATATCCCATAAATTATATATCATCCATGTTATCCATATTATTAAAATGTTATTCCATTACTTGAGACGAAACCAAAAACATTGATACTACATTTCAGATCATCAAACACATCCACATTGCAAGAAATGGACTGTTTACAAGCTTGTAGGTTTTGGTAAGTGGAGAAATGACAATGGGATCAATATGCTTTTTTAATAGAGACTGTATAGTACCACTGAATGACAATGACATCTTTTTAAAAATTCATTCATAAATGGTCGTACATGTAGCCTGAATTTCAGACATTCCTTTGAGTCATATATATACCCTTCTCAGAGAAGTACGCGACTCATGGTAGCTACAGATTACTGAACATGTACAGATAATTGAATTCTACATTTGACAAGCACCTAACATAGACTTAAGTAGTCTCTTATTCTGCTGTTATTTCGGGTTCAGTGTCAGTGCAATTCTCAGCTGGCAGAGCTACGTCTGGCAACCTGATAAGCAGACGGCCCCTACTTATGTAGACAATAATAAATTTATTATCTACCCCAGAACATAACATACAAATAGTTCACTGTATCCCTGGTCATCCTTATCTGGTGATGTTTCATTGGTCATTTCTAGAACTAACAATTAACTTCTATACTGTATGTTGAGATGAGGTTGGGGACTATGTATACATACTCAACACCATTTTATACAGAAGGCTCCGCCCCGAGGTGCAACCCCTTACCCTTTTTTTATACCATTTTTTGTGTACCTCCATTGAAAAATGATGCCCCTTTCACATAGCTGATAGCAAGGACCTTCTTATTATTTTATGTAGCCTTGAGCAAATTAAATAATTTATACAACAATAAGGTGCTTCAGCTTGAAAGATTTTAGTTAATGCCCTTTTAATTAGATAGCTAAATTGCAAATTTTCTTACTCTTTCGTAAACTTCAGCTCGAGAAATCCCCACCCTTTTACAGTGCATATACCCAAAGCCTGAAAAACCGACTCCTTTCTGGTGGAGCCACCCCTCATTAACCATCACAGGAAGTATTCCCCTTCCTGGGATGTTGAGGAGGAAATTAACTCATAAATTCACTTTCATAAAGGAAATAAAGGGAGATGACGGTAAAGAATCAAGTATGAGAGGACACAGAAACAATCTGAGCCCCAGATGGCATTCGAACCCACGACCCTCCTTGTTCTACCTTCATCCCCTTATATGGATGATTCTTTACATCTCTCTTTATTTCCGTTCGGTTGTAATACTAATATCAGCAGTATAAATTCACTTTCAGTTCCTGAAAAAGTGCTGAATACATCTGATCCTCTGGCATTTAAATCTCAATTGGAATCCTGTTTAGGACTCTACCTTAAAGTGGTTAGTAAAAGTACTGAAAACAGTATCTTTATGGGTCTTACTTGTTTCAGCATTTTGTCAACCCCATGCAAGCACCAAAGCCAAGAATCTTTTGATTCTGTTAGGGTTGTTTTGTGTGAGAGAAATGAAAAAAATCTGGTGTTCTACAATGCACTACGTACTTCATTTAAAGAACAAAAAACCCCTGAAAAATTTATCGTGTTGCAGGATTCTCTTGAAGCTTTAGTGACCAGTGAAAATGATTTCACAGTTGAGCTAGTTACTTAAAGAAATGACTTTTAAGTGAGAAAAGTACATCCATTGCTTTGTTTCTCAACACTTTTTAACCCTTTTTCCAACAAAATAAACACTATGATAAAGCAAATAAATGTCATGGTATCCTCATGACTAAAAATTTGTTCCCCGGTTGCCCACATCTTTTTATCTGATCCATTTGCTCTCCTTTAAATTTTCTGGACAAAGCTGGTGTTTTCTAGGTTTTCCATGGTCTTTTTGAGGGTAGGGTAACATCTAAATGGCCTGCAGAGGTATGATAAACATTGTATGTATGTGCATGCCTGTCCCTTTCTGTCTTTTTCAGTTTTTATGAATTTTCTTTCTCCACCACAACTAGCTAATCACAAGACTGCACAATCCTGTACAATAATTTTAATCCTTTTAATAGATGTACTGCAAACAATATAATGTTTAATAATTCCATGTCTATGTATTTAAATTTTGGTTCCAAGCATGTCTTTGTTCACTTGTGGAAAAACAGTCTGTGGACCTGGCTTCACGTTTACGAGCGAGGCTCATCCAGCAGTTTACTGGCCAGCAACACTGTGTTCCTAGTCTACTATCCTAATGCAGAATATATCTTCATGTCCACTATCAAAGCTGCCCATAAACAGTACATCTTACAGGTAAAGGAATATAACATTGACAAGCAGTTCTCTAAATTTATAATATTATTATAACCAAACACTTGAAGCTTTCAATAGTTCAACATTTTTCTTCTGTTCCCTCTCACCTACTGTATTTTGAATGGTCTTTCCCTGCAGTTGTTATACAGTTGTACATGTAGCTGACAAAAATTTGCATGTATTTAATATTAAAAGGAAAGGGGCCCAGCCCAAATTAAGTACAACATGCCCATTACAATAAATATTCACTGTAGTTTCCCTGTTCCTTAGCACTTCATTATGTTGGGGTTCCAAAGTTCTTGCTGAATCTGGACATAAGTATTACTGATCAAACCATGACTATACTGCCTGTAAGTGCATGATATGGCCTGGTCAATGAAGGAGATTCTTAGATCATCACAAAATGCCAGAATTAACAGTGCTGTCATGAATTCACTGACAAAAATGTTGCTGTTATTACATACCAACCCAATACCAACCCTCTCCTTTGGGGAGCAAGGGATGGCGCAGTGGTGAGAGCGCTCACCTCCCACCAGTGTGGCCGGGTTCAAATCCCGGCGTTGACGCATATGTGGGTTGAGTTTGTTGTTGGTTCTCTCCTTTGCTCCAAGAGTTTTTTCTCCGGGTACTCCGGTTTTCCCTTCTCCTCAAAAACCAACATTTCCAAATTTCAATTCGACCAGGAATCAGGTAGACGAAGAACCACTTTGTGGATGTGCTACCCTCCAAATCATTATTTATTTATTTATTTATTTTATTTATATTTCTACTTTATTTTTAATTTACATCAGGATTTCTATCACAGCATCCTAACTGTCAGTCCACTTTTATAACTTATATAAGCAAATGATATCAAAATGTTCTTTCCTTTGTAGACACTTTCATCTTTGCTGCACTGTCAGACTCTAGAAGAAATCAAGTTGTCAGGAAGAGATGTGTTGTCACTAAAGGAGCTTGTTCTCAACAAAAGTAGTCAGGTAAAGGGACATGGCAGCACACCTACCATGATAGTAAACTGACTTTGAAGTTCATTAGTGTTTGTTTATTATAAACAGCCCAGTGTAAGAATACTACTTTCTTATTCAGAAAAAGTAAAACTTTGGGTTTTCCCAAAAGTAATGTACTGCACAACAGTACTGTTCTGTGGATAGGCAGGGGTTTCAATAAGCACCGACGGCTGTCAAAACGGGTTGGCTACTTTGGTCATAGAGGTTCATTGCTTATAGGAATTGATTGTGTGACTGATAATAATACTGAAAGCTACATGTACATTTTTTCGATGAAAAACAGCCTTTTTTGTCCTCAAATTTAGTCCCCAGAACACTGAAGATCTCCTTTTAGGGCTTTGAAATTTCACAATTTTCTGGGGCAGAACATGTCCAGTCCCCCTCCCTCCCTGTAAAAAGGGGACCAACGGCTCCTTGTTGATGCAGTCGGTTACATACTCTTTTCAAACCTGCTGGCTACTTCAATTCTTATTGAAACCTCTGGATAGAGGCAACTCAAATTTCTTAATGATTGCTTTCTAGCAGCACTGAATTGCCCGTTAATAGGGCAGAGTCATTTCTAAACAGTAGGTGTCATCAGGGTGTATAAGATTCATCAATACAAGTAAGGATGTAAAACATGTAGAGGGTTCCTAAGGTGCTTATGAGCACCCCCCCCTCCCCCCCTCAGTGGGTAAAATCATTGCAAGCAATTCCCTTTTTTTCTGATCGGATTCTTTCAGGGTGCCTTCAGCAAGTACAGATTAAACCAGATTGAAGGAAACCCTCTCAGTCGAAAAAGAAAGCGAGAAAAAGGTTATAATAAACGTGTTCTTCAGGTCTACTGCATTACTGTTTTTTAGTACCCTCCTGTAGATGTTTTGATCATGAACACCTTTCTTATTGTGTATTTCTATGGACACATACAAACAAAAATAATTAATTTCCAAGTCACGTCATGAAATTATTTCCTTCAAAGACAATTGAGTTGGTCACACAAGTCCCTTTTTGGCTCAAAGCGTTTTTAGTGGCTATGCGCCATCTGAGAACTCAATGAATCTAAGAAAACAGGCGGAATGCAAGCAGTCTATGTCATGAGCCTTAGGGATACTCCATTATTACAGGGACTATAAGCTATAACGTACTTGTGGGGTAAGGGTAAGAGTTTTAGCCTAAAAATGTTTTTTAAAATCCTGATTGTATGATTGGTGCAGCAAAGCAAATGTTTAAAGTAAACAAATGAAAAACAGCTTTAAACTACAGGGTCTGGAAGGAAAATATATACCTCTTGAGATCACAATTTTGGTCCAAAGCAGTACACCCTGAGCCGAATTCTCCAGGAATACGTCCCAGTGGGATTGAAGTTTGGGTGCTAAAACCACACTGAGCTATTAAATTTTAGAAATAATGGAAAGCTAGACCATCTCTATTAGGCTCATCTGTTCAACACAAATATAACTTACACCAAAATTCTTAGCCCTATACTCCCCAGATTGCTCCATGTCAAAATTCAGTCAAAATCCAAAAATAATTCTCCAGGAATACATCCCACTGGGATTGAAGTTTGGGTGCTAAAACCACACTGAGCTATTAAATTTTAGAAATAATGGAAAGCTAGACCATCTCTATTAGGCTCATCTGTTCAACACAAATATAACTTACACCAAAATTCTAAGCCCTATACTCCCCAGATTGCTCCATGTCAAAATTCAGTCAAAATCCAAAAAATAATTTATTTTGTGTTTGAGGGGCTATACACTGCACTTTAAATTGGCATTCTAGGAGTTGGAGCCACATGACATTGATAGTTTCTCAAAACAAACTCTTGATTACAAACTCATGAAGACAGTGTTGAGAAATAATTTGGAATTCATTCGCATTAAAAAATGCATTTCTTAGTTTCTCTATCCACATGGGAATTCTTGCAGGAAGTTGTTACACAGTTTTTTTCTCCCTTCATTTTAAAGCAGAAGTAACAATGGAAGTTCAAAGTCAGGAAATCAAGAGTGAAAACAAAGAGGAAGAACAGCAAAGACAACAACTCACAGATAATGCATTTGGTCCTAATCCACAGCCTGTTCTTGAAAAAGTGGAATTTAAGGTTTGCTCTTCCTACTACCAGTAAAATAGCCTGCATAGCAGGCGCCAGTTATTTTTTTAAATTAAAAAGGCTGTGCAAGGGGAGCATGCCCTAAAAAACAAAACGGCACCTGCTAAGCAGGCTACCAGTAAAACTATATATGGCTAAACAGTCCTTGTAGAGGTGTGATCAAGGTTGGGTGAAACCTCTTCAACAATAGGAGTTATTTCACTTTTAATGTTCCACATACTTTATCAACAACCACCGATAGGATATGAAAATAATGTTGAATTTCTTTATCACCAGTCCAGGGGTCAACAATACTCAATTGGACAAGAGCAGTCATAACTCACAGAATGAGAAAAGTTTAGTTGCAAAGGTTGATCTGATCCAATCTGACCCATGTTTTGTCTACAGCCCAGCAGTCTCTGAAAAAGAGTATTTACACCACTGGATTTTATTTGCAGGTGCAGGAGTGGGTGTGACTCAGAAGGTTTTAGGATTGGGGTATAGTAGGGTTTGAATCCTAGGACCTTCATTTTTAGTCATACCTGCATGCACTTAAAAACAGACAAGAGGCATAGAACTTATTTCAGCGACCTGCTGCTACATGATATAATTTACTGTACACTAAACTTAACTCAAAACCTTCAATACCCACCACCTAAAAAAAAATGGCAACATTTCTTTGATTTTGTTCCATCTTGTTCACTAAAGTAAAGTGAAAACATTAACATGGCTTCAAAGGACTTCTTGCGACTCAGGAGTCCATGTTACAAGTTGATAATATACTTTTTAGAATTATTTTACTTGACCTGTGAAATAGGTACTAGAATACTACCTACTATTATGCTCTAATTCTATTGTCTTCTTTTGTTTACCCAGGGTGCAAAGAAAGTCATTTTTACAGCTTACCATTCGGGAAAGCTGCAGCTAACATTTACTAGCCCAAACATCATTTCAACTATGCCCCAAAAACACTTTGATGAGCAGATTGATTTCACAGTTCTTCTGTAATTTGAATTCCTCAGAAAACTTCACTTGCCTGTCTGGCAAGTTAATAATGGTAATTGAACTGAGTGGAGTGCAGTTTGGTCTGAAATCATACGCGTGTTTTCAAAATCGAACGAGCGCGCAGCGCGAGTTTGATTTGAAATCACAAGTATGATGTCAGACCAAAATTGCACGACACGAAGTTCAATTACCACTTTATTACATCCATTTTGAAATCGCAGAATTTAGTCAGTACTAATACTTTATTCACCGAGTAGCTGGTTTGTTAAAAAGCCGAAACAAAAAGGCTTTTACATCTCATTTTGTATTCGAAACAGAAATGATGCGATATATAGAACAAAAATGGTGCGATTTAAAACAGAAATGATGCGATTTAGAACATGAATGACGCGATTTGGAACAGATGCGATTTAGAGCAAAAAATGGTGCGATTTAGGAATAAATCACACTGCTGAGAGCCAATCAGATTGCACGGATAGCCAGTGATTTCAAAGTGGATGTAATAAATAGCAGAATCCACTAACCCGACAGAAAAATCTACTAGCGCCGGGCTATCGGACACTACTTTCTTTGCACGCTGGTTTACCTCTCGCTATTTTGCACAATTTGTTAGTATTTGTTTCACAGTTCAAGTAAAATCACTCTACCCACTTGTATCTACTGAATACATGTATTAATTTACTGAAAACTTTGTGTTTTAAGATGCAAACAAAGTTACGCAGTGGTGACCAACACTTGCCCTGGCAACTCAACAGACCCATATCCTGCAATGTTAGATTTGAAGGACCAAGTGTCATAGAAGGAATAAAAAGTCTTGGAGCACAAAGCTTTGTTGATGTACCCTTGCCATCCTACCTGGCCAATCTCCATTCCCAGTCCAAGAACTCCTTCTTCCTGACAGAGATGAAAACCACCAGCCCTGCAACTGGAAGTACTCAACAACAATAAGACATCGCAAACTAGACAAGTCATTTTTTAGTTTGATTACTAGTAACATTCACTTTTTATGTTTTTAGTTAACAGCAGTTTTAATTTTTATATTTTTAGTTAACACATGTTTTTAAATACACATAGACATTGCACAAGTAGTTGTAATAGTATTTAAGATGTTGTACAACAAGAAAAACCAGATGTTAGATTTCTTAGTTTTTAGCTCTCCATAAGTCTACAAGAAAAGACAGGCAACAAATTCAATTTTCAAACTTAGTCAGCAATGAAACAATTGGCCAAATAGGAAAATACATACCATTGCTGGTGTTTCATGTACAACCTGACTTTTGCGTTAAGTTTTGTTCTTATGCATGGACTGCATGTGCAGTGTATCCAAATTTACAAGACACTGGTGCATTGCACATGCAAATTCTGCAGAGAACAAAAGATACTGCAGAAGTCAGGTTTACATGTAGATGTACACGAAGCACCACCCAAATGGGAATTGAAAGAATATTATGGTACTTTTAGCTTTGGCCAATAATCAATAGGCTTATTTAGCAACAGGACGCCTGACGTCAGTTGACGATGAGAAAGCGAAAGTGACTTCTGGAGCCCAATTTGTCACTGCCATTAGTCAAGCCAGTTGTTTGATTTGCAATTATAGTCATCAACTAACGTTCCCATTCTGTTGCTAAATCAGCCTAGTTGTACAAGCTTGAAACACCTCATCTGAGGCATTAATGCACCTCCAGATAGTAATGGATAATATTGTGCTCTTGTATGATAAAAATATTATTTTAATCAGAAAAGTTTTAGTTTTGATTTCAAAACAAAGGGAGGCAGAAAAAAGAGCTACAAAGCAAACAAAAGAAAAATCAGAGAAACAGCATCCTGATGCACATTAATGAATATAACATATAACAATAATATCGCACAAATTCATTTCGTACGAAAAAAAAGTAACATCAATAAAGCTGTTTATAAGTATTGTTAAAGGTTGGTTCTGAGGAATAACTGACAAGAACTTTTTTGGTTATTTTGTTATATTATTTTTTCTCTTTATGTGTCTTGCCTAGTTTATGCTGTTACCAATAGTTTAGAGTACAAAGGCAAATTTTGTGAAATTGGTTTTATAATTTTTGAAGAAGCCCATAAAATTAAGGGGATAATTGATGCATTATTTTTAATAGTACAGTGTATAATTATTTTCTTAACATGGTGTTACTTGCAGCATACCTGGAATAGAATATGTGGATGACTCCAGAAGCACTATTAAGGTTTATAAATAAACAGTAAAGGCATTTTTATTATAATTAATTTTATTGAAGTTGACATTTTAATAAAAATTTAAACCTTATATGCCTGCTAACTCAATACTTTTGTTCATTCAACATGCAGTGGTTGACCAAAGCCAAAAAAAAACCATTGACCCAAAATCAAAGGGGTTGGAGGGAATGTTTTGTTACATCAAACATAGACAAGAAAAGAGCAAATTTCATGACACCCCCTGGCAGTAAGTTAAACAAGGTCAGAACATAAACTCAGATGCACTTTTTAAAAGATTCTGCAACAATACGTTGACTTTATGATCTTTAACCCTCGCATGCTGTTTTCATCACACAGTTCAACTACAAATCCACTCCTTTTAAATAATGTACATTTCTCTCTATCACTCTCCAGCCCACAAAAAAAAGCAAAATGCATCAGAGTGTAAGAAGAAGAGCAAAATTAATTGTACCTGTCACAACGTATTGTAATCAGTTGTAGTAACAGTACAATAAAAGTTGTTCAACACATTAAAAACTGTGCACTTGCCAAACCAGGTGAGTGATAAAAGTGTTTTTACTCAGACAACTGCAATAATATTCTCACATGCACTGGTTTCCTGTCCTCGAGAGAACGGAGCAGCATGTAGCATGCAAAGGTGCTGGGATGCACATGTATGTTGTAATGGAACAGGCAATGACGGGAAAGACTCCAGACAGGACACTAGCAATTTATTCTCAACAGAGGACACTGTATGTGAAACTCATCTACTCTGAATTCCTCATTGCCAGTCTATTCCTAACCACTCCTTTGGCCACAAATCCTGGATAGGTGCTTTTCATAACTACATTACATTATTCCAAAACTGGTCATTCAGTATACCTAGCTAGACATTCTTCTCTTACAAATAGCATCCTCCATCAAACAATCACATCATTGACAGCTACACGTAAACCAACATTTTACAGATTGGTGTCATGCTATGAGCAGATATCATGGTCACCCGTAGCCTTGTATAGCCAGTAATTACCGCCAGGAAAGACGACAAAAGTGTAAAAGTTCTCTCCACTAAGGAAGTGTCCATGTTCATTCTTTTTCCATGTGACTGGACAGTCAGTAAATCCCCACACAGTAACTGCTACCCAAGGGATGGAGCTCGATTTAACTAGTTCTCTGTGTCAAAAAAAAAGTCCAGACATTACACACTACTCTGACTAAAATGTTTTCCTTCCCAATTTTCTCAAATACTCTAATATTGCTATATATTTAGAGCCTGCGTGAAAAAGCAAAAAGCTGACAAGTCTGCATTTCCTCATCTATAAAGTTTTATTAGTTTAGGACTGCCATTAGGTGTCTCATAGGGAAGTGAGCTCCAGTCCTCCTAGGAATCAACGAAAATCTTTGAATAATGGCAGGGACCAGCCCTCTACCCTCCACTTTTAGGCGATGTCATAGAATAAGCACAGCTTTTTTATCTTCAACAGAACTGGAGCTTAAGACCTAGTTTCAAAAAGAGCATCAAGAGAATTAGGAGAGGGGGAGGGGGTCTATTGTGGCTGATTGCCAAAGTTAGTGGACATGTTTTCCACAGATTTTTTCCCCAAGATAACTAAAATTCATGTTTCCCTCCTAAGGCAAATAAAGTCAAATGACACAACTTCTATGACTTTTTGCACCACTTTTGAAAATTAAAGTTTCAACAAGAGGTAGTGTTTGCATGGAGGCTTTTAATTCCTACTATAAGCAATCCACCACAATTATCTGATGCTAGAGCAAGGGTTAGCTATAAACGTGGTTAGATTCTAAGTCAGACTTGGAATTCCAGGACAATTTTCATGTCATTTCCAGAGCAAAGGTAATATTCTTTATAACATTTGTCTTGTATACCAAAAGAGTGGCAGGGGTTGAGGGACCAATTAGGGTTATTAACCTACCGTGCTGCATTTACCAATGATAAAACAGAGCTGGTTGTTATCAATCCAGTCCAACGGCAAGTCATCATCTGGGTTAGCTCTCGTGATGGCTCTGGACAAGATAATGTTGACATAAAGCTGTCTGATGCTGCCTTAGAACTGAGAAAATAAATTCATTTTAAACATAATTTATAGTGCAATTTATGAAAAGAGGCAATAAAATTCACCTACCAGTAATGAAAGCAACTATTGCTACGTGATTGTCTGCCAGGTTGTGGGAAAAATAATTGAGGTTTTGAAATTAAATTTAGTGCATTCAGTTGGACTAAGACATGTCGAGAGGTTCTAGAGATTTAATGTGAATTCAACTGATAGAATTAGCTCAGTCTGGCCATATTATCATTTCTTTCCTTAACAGAGAAGAAAACTTTACCCTCAAATTACTTTGGAGTCATTCTATATCTAGTGTACCTAAGTTGCAGGAAGTTCTCGCTTTGTTTCAGAAAAACAGAGAAAACAAATAAAACCTTAATATATTTGTGTCACTACTTAGACGGTCACCAGTGGCCAGCTAGAGCTACTTACAAGACATTAATAAATAACATTTACGCTTTACCTATTTTGAAATCAAATTGAAGGCAGTATCAGAGTGACATTACATGAAATTATGGGAATGATACCCTTATATGTACTTCTTTACTTACAGAGTACTGACCACCATAAAGACAAACTGAGTAAGTAAGTTCTGTGTTCTACCCAGCTTACCAATCAATCCCACAAGCAACACAGCCTAGCCACTCAAAAAAAGACATGCAACTGCACACATCAAAGTTTTCTGCAGTCAACCTCTCTTCTGTGAACTGTGACCTACTGTAGTTGATAACAGGAACTTTTTGGTGTTTGGGCACACTTTGTACATCTTCCACATTACCCAGCTTCTGAAAATTGTATGAGCTGAAGAATGCATGAAGTTTTTCTGTTGAGGTGTGCCCTGTAACAAAAATTATTATGTAAACATAACCCATTACAACTGTATTTTAGTCAAGAAGCCAGCAACAGAGATAAAAATCTGTGAATTACACTATATCTACTTTCCAAGCATGACAATAAAAGAAAGCTGAAGACGTCATGCCTGCACATGATATTATTTTTCTATTTTTTTATTACAACCTGTAAGCCACATACTACATTTCTGGCATACCATTTTTTGGGAAAACACCAGGTCTGTTATTGTCCATGGTTTGTCACCATTAAAATGTTTGTTAATTCAAAGACAGGTTCTTTCATGAATTAAAGTTTTCCTTCTCTCTGGTACATGTAAATACAAGAACTGTCTGCGATGTTTTAATAGCCATACGGAGCCTTCTCTTGATCATAACGATCATCTGTATCCCTAGGCCACTCAATTTAGCTTCTTCTGCCAAATAGCCTCTTGAACTATGACTATTCCAATATTCCAGTGAAAACTATTTTAGTACTGCCTTGACCTGTCACCAAAATTTTAGAGGAAAAAGATTGAACTAAAAAATAACTCCATTATAAAGTTATATAGGCTGAAAGAATTGACTGCCTATAGTTAACTACTGTGCATAATAATTATACTGTTATATACTATTTTGCTAACCTTCACATGTCCAGCTCATAAGAAACTTGAATGTTAAAAGCTGGTTATCTTTTAGACACCACCTCACCCTCTCATACTGCTTCTTACCAGGAGCAAAATATGAAGATGCCAGGTCAACTTCTACAACTGAATAAGGCCAAATATCTATATTAAATAACTTCAAACATACTGTAGTTAAAGACTAAAAGGCCCAAAATAACTTCTGATGTTATAATATCGGTCAGTGTAAAACGCGGACTGCAGACTGCAAACTGCGGACCAGGGGTAAAATGCAGACTGAGTGTAAAATGCAGACTGCAAACTGAGAGTAAAACGCAGGTTGGGTGCAAAATGCAGAATAAAGACTGTAGACTTTTTTAAACATTTGTGCTCCTTCTTCTCGAAATTGGTGAAGTAGCTAGCCGGTATCAGTTACACACTTCACTTCCTAGTCGAAGTGCATTGCACATTGGCCAGAAGTTTCAATGAACATCCGAACAGCTTCAGTCTGTGTACCTTGATTTGCAATACTTTCGTAGAAGGTCATCCAAATTTCCTGCAGAACATCTTTCTTTGTTGTTGGAATATAATTTACTCCCTTTTTATCGCCATAATTCTTCCTGTGAGTTTACAGTATTCTGGGTCAGCAGCTTTCATTTAAGCGTAAACATCGTGGTGTTGTACCAATTCACGGTCCCTGGTCAAGTATATCGAAAACTTCGCGTCTAAAGTTGAAGAGTGAGATCTCTCGGACAGAAAAAAAGGTTCAAGATTGCGATTATGTCTTTGGGTCATTGACGACCTTCTACAGAAGAAAGTCCTGAATGGATTTGTGAAAGCAGGTGTTGTCATTGACGTGGCCGACTCAAGTAAGTGTTCGTTTACATGTATTTGCGGGATTTTTTGGCCCTTAAACCCTTCCACAACTGCAGTTTATGTTCAGTCTGCATTTTACCCCAGCCTGCATTTTACTCTCAGTCTGCAGTCTGCATTTTACACACAGTCTGCATTTTACCCCTGGTCCGCAGTCTGCAGTCCACAGTCCGCAGTCTGAATTTTACACTGACCGGTTATAATATCACCTCCATTATTTTGATTTCCATGATATACAGCACAAATTGCAAGTGTTAGCCAGGGGAAACTCGTAGATACAATACATGTAGTTACAGTCAAATCAACAAGACCGTGAACACTTGAAATATTATTTTAACAGGAATGCATGCTCAATGTGTTATGACAAAGAACACACAAGCTAGCAACAAAACCACTAACATTGTTGCTTGCGGTTTAGTTTTCTTGTGCCTGATAGGCTTTATCTTGCGATACAATAACATTCCAGAAACATTTTATAGTATTTACAGTTTTGTTGGTCTGACAACAATTGAAGTCATAGTAACTATTATTAATGAGGCTTTATTTCAGGTATCCCTTTAACTGACTGTTTGGTGGTAAACCACCTTTGAAATAAGCAAGTATATTTTATTATACCCCTGTTTCCTCAAACACTTACATACTTATAATTATTAAAGGGAGGCCCAAGAAAATACAGTGCAAAAATGGCAAGAAATGGGAAAGAAGCCAAAAAAAATTCTGGTATGGTTAAATGAAGCAGTGTACCAGAATTTTGTAACCTTAAATGTGGGCACCGACATAAAAAGAACAAACCTAAACCTGATAATACCACTTAAAACCATACTCACTGAATCTGTGTTTCTTTTGAAAAGCTGATGCCTTCCCTGTAAGACCCAAGAGTTCATAGGTGTCTTTGTCAAGAGAAAGAATCAATACTCCTAGAAAATAAAAATAAAAAATAAAGAAAACAAGTATTCTTAATAATCCTGTACGTACTTGGCATTAAGAAGATAAACAAATTATTATATCCATAGTCAGCTCCCCACCCTACTACTTGACATCAAAGAGGCCTAGTCAGTCAGTACATTTTTGCTGGAACTGACAATAATCTTTGTAAATATTGTTTATGAGCCGGACTTTCTAGAATTATGTATATTTTATATTTTTATTTATTATTTTTTTGTGTTTAATTTTTTGTTGAGGGCCACACCTATATTATCTGTGGATATCAAGCAAATCACTTGTTAAAAAAAGTATCTATCTATCTACTACTCAGAAGTGTTATTACAAAAATACTCACAATTGCCCACACAATACAATACCTTGGAGGATGGGGAGGGGGTGTTAACTTTAATAACCACCTTCTTGCCCTCTTACATACCAATATTCAAGAAATTCTTTGGCCATTGTCCAGATTGTTTCTGAAAATGTGCTGCATATGTGTTTTGTTTACAGGACGCAAATTTCCAGTGACTGACAAGTAATGTGTGGTTCCAGAAAATATCCATACCCGCCCCCACCCCCCAGGATTTTCCGTTCCAGTGTGTCTTTGAGGACCCACCTACCCCCAAGAATTTCCAGAATTTTTGAACAGGGACTTCTCACCACCCTCAGAAATTCAAAGTGGTTTTGGTACTTCAAAAATAAGAAAGTGAATACTAGCTCAGTTATGAAATACAGTAGAATTTTATTACAACAGTATAAACTTTTGTCAAGCTTATTATTCAGCTAAACTAAGCCATCAAGTTTGCAAATTATGTCTTTGTTGTTTTTATGTAAGCTTATAAGCTTAAACATTTGGGTTGCAAAGTCTAAAATGTTCATTTTACATTCTACAATCATTGTGAAGAGAACTTAAGTTTCACTCTTTTAAACAACGCATTGAGGTGAAAGACTGACTCTCAAGAGGTGTTCTTAGCAAATGGCATACTACCACTGTAGTATGGCACTAGGGTCTATGCTCCAGACACCTCCTCTACTCTGTACATGTTCCCTTGTGCGCTCTATAAAAACTAACCAAAACTAACTTGCACCTGCCATGCTGGCTACATTTAACCCTGTGTTGAACTAGCATATTGTCCAGGGGGGAATGTGACTAACCTAAGTTGATTCTGAAGAACTTTTTCTCTTACACCTTTAATATTCATGGATAATCATAGTCTAGAAGACATCAGGAAATTGATAATTACCTAGGTTCATAGGTTTCAACCTGAATTTATTTTAATATTAACCCTAACTATACAGGCTAGAGGGCATGGATACTGTGCAGTTATGTTCCTAGTAGGTGCTTCACAGTGTTAAAGAAAGAATACCAAGTGCAATTGGCTCATAATGTACCTTTTAAAGCATACAGTAAATTCATTTCATACCTGTTGGAAGAACAGCAGCACAGTTACCAGAATCAACTAACGTTTCCCAGCTGAGAGCAATGAACCGACCTGAGAGAAACAAGCAATAACTGGAGCTGAATTGTCAATACATGTAGTTGACAATAATAATCCAGTCTGCATCAATGGTTGTTGACAGCCATAGTGAAAGAGACATTTCCAGTCCAAAAATTCTTTTGTTATTATTATTATTTTTATTATTTTCATGCCCAACTTCGCTAATACAAGATCAATGGAAATACCTTAAATCAGTAGGTATTGCTGCTGGATGTGTTTATAGGCTAAGATCAAAGTAATAAAGAGGCAAAACAACAACTAGTGTTTGGTATCTGATGACAATTCCCATTTCCAGCATTTCATAATGATGTATAAATTAAATTATGAATTAATGTATGTCACAGACATGATTGCTGACATGCATCCAACCATCTCTTCTCTTCTAAGAAAGTGGTAGAAATCAAACCTACAACTGATCATAAACCAAAACAATCTAATTTTAATTACTGGACTGAAGTGAGAATTCTTCTCATCAGAGACAAAAACAAATAACCCTATATATCCAGGCTGTCATTCCATACAAAGTGGATTAGCAATAATTGTGAAAATAAACTAACACAGTATCATTACCTTTCTTTATAAATGTTTTGATAAACTCCACCTCTGTGAAAGCATACAAAGGAATCTCAATCAAACAGTAATGATCCTGGGTTGGGGTCACACCCTGAAAGCACTGAAGAGCACTGTCCAAGGAACAGTCTGGGATGACAAGCTGCACCTGCGTAAATTATATCAAGTCAATATTCAAGCAATAGCAGATTATTATATTTTTAAAGATACACTGCCTTATTTTTTTCAGATATTCTAAAAAGGTTTGGCAAACCCTATTGGGAAATACATCCCTAGCTTTATGCGGGAGATTGAATTGACCCATTCAACTGAAAGCATAAATTATCAAGACTTCATGCCAATGCTAGAGGACTGATCACTTGCACCAGAAGAGAGTGATTCTCAAATGCCAGTATCAGTACTGCCACAAAAGTTTAGATTTTGTTCTTAGAGCTTGCTGCCTACAGACATTTTTCACTTTCAGCAAGACATCTGCTCTTATAAGTATTTTGGAATTTTTTCAATCTATCCTCCATTCAGTTTCTTGAACTGTTGGTTTCAGCTTCTTTGTGTTCTTTCAGTATACATTTTCTTTTTAAAATCTTGTTGCTTCTCTGTATCATCATGTGTGGGAATTTGCATGGGAGCAGTTCCCACAACCTCATTTCCACAACTCCCTCCTACTTGTTCCCTGGGACAAACCCTGAGAATGAGGTTGCAGTTCCCAACGATTCACATGAGAGGACCCTTTGGGAGGAAGAGGTTCTGCATGTCCCCAGTCTGAACGTCAAATCCTGTTGTTTTGTACATTGAGGAGGAAGCCATGCTCAAGTCAGTATTTTACTACTGCGTTTGTGCTGGTCCTCATTGCTGTTGCAGTTTCAAAATTACTGGTATAAAAAAATACCATCTTTGTGTCATTTGTCAACATTTCATGTGTCGCTTTTTCAGGGGCTAGGGTCATGTTACTTTCTGGGATTTAATCCTTACAGTGCCCCATAAAAAACGGTTTTTTATCAGACTTGTCCCTCTGCCCAGGAACCATACCTGATGCAGCCTTACTACGTCCCATTCAGCGAGCCCTGGAGTCCATATAAATCCTGGGGGGGGGGGGTACTCCCTTATACAAGCTATATAGTTATGAGCCGCCCCACCGGGTCAGGTTTTGGTCTGAAAACAGGTATATACTTTGACCATTTTGGTTTGGAATCAGGTATGGTTTTCGAGGGTACTATGGGAGTGTATGAACGTACTTATTGTTTCAATTCCAAAAGAGTAAGAAAGAAGTAGAAAAATGCGAATTTGAAAGGCATTTGAAGAATTTTTTTGTTTGCACACTGAATCTAAGTAATGATGACGTAATTTTTGCCTAAAGGCCAGGTCAGGAGCCATAGTTAATTGAGTGGAATGGTTATGAAACCCGTCAGACTCCTTTGTTATATGTTTTTGTGGACCTGAAAGTGCACAACGTTCAAAAGAATTCCTATCATTTTGATTGTATTGACCAATAAAAACGTTGCATTAATTTATTCCGTAACAATTTGCCAACAGAAAACAAAGGATTGTGCACTTTCACGGTGCTTTGAACATAAACTGCAGCACTGTTGTTTTTATCATTGATGTTTGCCGCTTTTCATAACCAGTCTCCTCTAATAACTATGTCAGGAGCCCATAACACAGGTCTGAAAACAGGTATGGATTTTGGAGGTCTGGTCTGAAAACAGGTCTGTAAAATGACATATTTTTGGTCTGAAATAGTGTCAGGATTTGGAGAACCGGGCGGCACACCCCCCACGAAGAATTCCCACGAGTATCCCCCCCACCCTTCCCCAACCCGATCGGGATATAAATGAAAGGTTTTAAGGTTAAGCAGGATCAGCCAGGGTTTTTGGGTATACGGTATACAGGGGCTTTTTAAATCGGGTATACAGTATATTGCAGCTTAAATACGGGTATTCGGTATATCACTTTCTTTGAATTTCAGGTATAAAGTATACCTGGGTATAATTTTGGGTACATTTGGATGAATTTTGGGTATTTTGGGGTATTTTGGTGAATTTCTTTCACATATCTTCACACAGCCCCGGCATAATAAGAGCTCATATGACTAACTTTCTTGAGCTCTAGATCTACACATGATAAATGATAAATGTTGCATGCATACCATAACCCTGCCTGCATCACGTGGACAAAACTAGGATGCCTCGCTGGGAGACGAGGGCCATATTAAACTTGCTGGCTTGCGAGTTACAGTGACAGAGAAACTTACCGAATGATTAAAAACGTGGTCTTCTATTTGACCCTTGTACCTCTCCTTCTTATCCTGAAATGAACCCTTTTCAATCGTGAGTCTTCTTTTCGGCGTGCTGAACCTTCTTCCATCGGCCATTGTCGGCCATATTTGATAGACGGCGTCCGAATAATTTGGGGACCTGGATCGATTTAACACCAGTCTTCTCGCAGCCATCACAGTTGAAAACAGAAAACATGGCGACTACCGTGGAAGAGATTTGTCCGTCGGAAGAAACACTTACACAGCGAGAAAGCGAAGCTTCTATTCAATGCCCTACACCCGGATGTTCGAGAGTATTTCATAATCGTCCATGCCTCAAAATGCACCTTGTTAAAACTCATGGCGTCGTTGCGAATGATGAAGAAAGAGGTCGTTATATTCGTGGGCAGAAGACTACAGTTGACAAACATTATTATTGCCCAGTGAAGCACTGTGTGCGAGGACAGGGTACAAAAAGACCTTTTCCTCGTATGTCACAGCTGAAGCAGGTAATTTTATCAAACAAAATGAAGCCAGATTTTTATTTAACTTTATGTGAGTAGACGATCAATTATTAAAAGGAGAAATATAAAATAGAGAGCGGGACTTTCCAGTTTTTATCTGCACCTCCCTAAAGATGACGGGTTTTCAAAATTTTGACCCTTCGGACAAATTTTTCAAAAGTTCCGACAAAGAGGTGCACATGGCATCATTTAGAAGCCAATTGCAGTGCATAGTTCCCAAAACCCTATAGCAGGGTGATCATTAGGCATCGGAGATGGGAGAATTCCCATAGCCTATGACTATTTTTTATTTAGACGTGGGGCCTCTTTCAAAATATTCTCCTGTGATGTTACACTTTCTCCTGCTACTAGAATTTGTGATGAAAATCCTGCCTATAGACTCACACACATACTACACTACATACTGTACTAGCAAGAAGAGTTACCTCAAGATGGTGCGGTATGTATATGAAATGTACTCTAAGTCACTGACAAAGACATTATATAACATCAAAGGTTATTTATGGTAACAGACTATTAGTACTCTGGTAGAACTTACACTCATTCTTCTTCCAGCATTACATGACAGTTCACGCAGAGAAAAAGAATATCTGTAGCAAGTGTGGCAAGGGATTTGGTTTGCTAGATGCTTGTCGTCGCCATGAGCTTAAGTGTGGACAGCTGTTTAACTGCTCTTGCGGATGTCCTTATACAACACTGGAAGCACTTCTCACTCATGCAAGAAGGCAGATGCATAAAGTGCCTGAATGCTACCAAACAAAGAAACAAAGGTGCATTATTTAATGTAGTTCTTACTCATCCTTAGCCTGCATTTAAACAATCCATATATCACCACAATTCTTTTTTTCTAACCATAACTGCAAAATATTGTGAAGAGTGGTTTCTGCACCCTCTACCTTGCTCTCTACCATGACTTACACATTGAAGTTTAATTTCTGGGGATATCATAGTGGCGAAAACAAGTTATCAAATTAATGTTTTATTACTTAGTGATCGGCAGAGGGCTTAACCTCCTTCAACGGAAATGCATGTAAGTGAACTAACTTTTGTGGTGAAAAATAGTACAATTTATGCTTTCTGGGGTGTCTATTTTTAGAGAACGTGCGAGAAAACTTAAAGTTTAATGTAGCCCTCGTAGTCATCCTCTTCCTCAAATCTAAAACTCTCTAATATTTTTGTTTCCAGCACAAAACCAGTAATTCCAGCTACAAAATCAGTGGCTTTAGTTGTTGTCAATACAGCTGACCCCGTGAGTCAAATTAGGGAAAAGAATTCTAGAAAGAAAGGGAGACCAGGCCAACAGAGCATAAAACCATGTCTGATTCTTCCTAAACCTGGCCCTGAAGGTTACTCTACAAGAAAAGTTGCCAAGTCTGTGCAAACACAAACACCACTGGGAATGCATAGCATGCATACTCAAACACCCAGCTGTTGGCCAAATGCAGAGCAGGGGTGCGATACCTTCACACAGACACCCCCACCAACTACTAACCAGCAGTTTCAGTTCAATACCAGTGCGGACAATCTTCAACTAGGCTTGAGCCAAGCTTCAGTGGGAACGCAAGTGGCCATGTTTGCAAATCAATGTGATTTTGGTGTAGGTACTGATGATAGCTTCCTGGCACAGTTAGGGTGTATTACAGGACACCCAGCAAGACAGCCTTTTCAATATACATCAAACATTCCACAGGATACCCAAGTTGAACAGCTTCCTCCTATTACGACTTTTGTCGCAGCACAGGAGAGGTCTGCATTTGTTTCTACCAATGAGAACTCTATGCAGACACTGACCATTGATCCTTTATGTTTGAACAATCAAACACAAACAAATCTCACCAACACAGATGAGCTTAGACCTTTAAATAGTACCCAAACCCAGACTTGTGGCTTAGAACAGGTTCCCCTGGAAGACAATGAAACACAGACTTTAATTTCGTTGTTGGGCATCGACACTGCTAACTCTATTGACTCGGGCACTCAGACACAACACTTTCTTGATGATTTGTTCTGTGCTCAAGATATTGAACTTACAGAGTCTCAAACCCAAACATGGTTCTCCGACTACCCACTCACCTCTCCTGGTCTGGATAGTAGTGGAAGTGATTTTGTGTACAAAGCACTTGATGATTTAGTTGATATACACACACAGACTTCGATTGTCATGTCTGACTTTAGTGAGCTATCTGGAGACACAGTATTTGCCAACTCTCAAACTCAAACATTACAAAGTGACTTTGGTGGCTACAATGTCTTGTCTTCAAGTGCTCAGACAGACACCCATTGGACTCAAGTGACACAGACTGTTGGACAGGTCAGCAATGGCTCTCTCATTTCTACAAGCTGTCAAACACAAGCATAGTGTAAAGACAATAAATTTGCAATCAAACTTTAACATTGGCTGATTTTGCCCAAATCCAGGCATGGAAATGTAATGCTAGATGTTCTAGAAATAGGCTAATCCCTTTATTCGAGAAGTCAATCACCCCAGAACTGGCAGAGCATCTGTTGACAACTCCTATTAAAGTGCCATTACACACTAGACATGGGTGTAGTTTCTTTCCTTGCAAAGTTTGCACAATCCAATGTGGCAGTTGATCTTCCAGACAGAGGCCCCTTGCTCCTCATTTCCTAAGTGTATTAAATCTTTCTTCACTTTACATCTTACTGATCTTAGAAATCCTGCTGTATTCCATTCTGCTGTCCTAGACCTTACATAATAGATGGAGGCTTTGGCGCGATAGGGTCCTGTCTTTCCAACAACAAGGCTTGCCAAAAGTTAAAACTGGCTGACAGAACAGTCATTTTGAAAATGTTAGCCTCAAAATTTTCCATAAAAACCCACCACTGCCAAGCATACCTCTATTAAAGAGTAGACTGATCTGGCTGAATAGTTCTGATAAATAATGGAATTCTCCTTACAGCCAGACTGGTCTGGCCAGACAGTTTTATCAAATAGAAAGCACCCCTAGATTTATCTTTCATTAAATACGCTACCAATGCTATGGTGTTTCCCTGCGTTTCAAAATGAACCCTCCTTCTCAGAAAAAATATTACTAATGTGTTGAATGTAAACTGGATAACCCATAATGTGAAGTCTGGATTGCCAAGGTCTGGTTACCCTTACTTTATTGTTATTTAGGGGAGTACCCAATTGGGTCCAGGGTGGAGATACTTTGTGTCCTTTTAAGGTTGGTAGGCTGCTGATAATGTACTGTACTCGTATTCTAGCCTTTCCACTTACAGATCATGTCCAGCAGGATTTTTGCACCCCAGGGTTGTACACTGTGCTCAAGGCAACACTGAAGAGTACCTGTCTTATTTGCTCTTACACAGAACTGTTTCGCGGGGTACTCCTAGGAATATTTGGTGGGGGTGTGCCGCCCGGTTCTCCAAATCCTGACCATATTTCAGACCAAAAAATGTCATTTTCCCCATCCGTTTTCAGATCTGACCTCTAAAATCCATACCCGTTTTCAGACCTTTGTCATCATTGCTTAGATTAGGGCACCAACAAAAAATTTCTTCAAATGCATTTCGAGTTTGTTTATCTCTGTTTCTTTCTTATTCATTTGGATTTGAAACAATAAATACCGGTAGGTTCATACGCTCCCACAGTTCCCTCAAAAACCATACCCGATTCCAGAACAAAAATGAGCAAAGTGTATACCCTGTTTTCAGACCAACAAGGCCCAAAAACCATACCCTTTGGGGCGACACATACCTAGATGGCTTAATGGCTTATATAAGGGAGTACCCCCCCCCCTCCAGGACCGTTTCCTAAGAAATGACAGCCTTTTCTAGACCCAAATTTCTGCTTCTCTGGCATGTTCCAGGCTCAACTGTTTGCAAACAAGACTGACATTAAAATGGTCAGATTTGATTTTAGGTTAAATTTGATTTAACCTAGGTTGATTCTCAATTCCTTTGTTTCCTCGCCCTAAGAGACAGAGGAAAATGAGAATCAACCTAATAAAACTGTAAAATATATACAGAAGCATGTATGGGGCATGTATTATGCTTCTGATATATACCACAGCATTTTCTCACTTTTCATACTCTTATGCCCAGGGGGTATACTCTGAATTTTAAGTGACAGGGATGATCAAAGAATTTTTTTGGGTTTGAAATTTTCAATATCGGGATTTTTCGGGTAGGAAAACTTTGGTAAGTATTTTTCAGGGTAGCTTGATTTTAGTAGGGTATTTGGGGGTATTCAAACAATATGAAGATCCATAATAGTTCCCGCTTATCCCAGCTGCGTAGTTCCTCTGGAAATTTTTATGGTTGGGGAATTTGGCACAGGATTTTTTTTCGGGGGGGTATAGTTTGGTCCAGGGATTTTTTTGTTTGAAGGCCCAGGGATTTTGGGTGGTTTCTATATTTGCCCCCATTCGATCTCCCCTGTCACTTGAAATCCAGAGTACCCCCCTGGGCTGGTATGATTGCCTGCTGCTGAATAAGCCTTCAAAACAGACATAAAAGTGGAGGGAGGTGGGGTGGGGAGAAACAAAGCCTGTAGCAGAGTCATACCCAGTTGTTTCTCTGTATCCACACTGTGTTTAATGGGAACGATTTAGTATATTGGCAGTGCATCAAACGGAAGAAAAGAAGAAAACAGTGCCATTGCATGCATCAATTTGTCTTTCCATGTGCCTTTGCAATAATAAATAAGGGGCAACTGGGTATGAGTCTGAACCTAAAGGGAAACCCACCCCCCACCCCCCTCAAGTCACCTTAGATAATTAAACTATGTATAATACTTTACACTACTTAAGGTTAACTTTATTATGGAACTTTACATCTTGTGTCTATGTACACTTGCAAAATATCCTGCTTTTTTTTTGAAAACTTTCCATCAACACCTGAAAGTGAAAGTTCTTTGTCAAAAAATACGTGAATTTTCTATGTACAACCAATTTGTATTTTCCAATAACTGTGAGAGTGTTACAAAATAACATTTTCTATGTACATCCAGTTGACCTTATTCCTTTTTTCTAGCTTCCACAGCCATAATCTCAGAACTTGTATCACATTGTTCCAGTCAGAAAGAAGTCTGTATAAAAAGTGATCATATTCATGCTTGCTTGCATCTGCTAAGTCTACTTGCAGATAAAGGAGCTTTGCATGATTACATTATATTATAAACTGAACCCCGAAAAGCTGCAAAACTACTGTTTAGTAAGAAGTCAAGTTGCTTTCACTTGAGGAAAAAGGTTTTTGGCTGTTTCCTTCGTAGAAAAATAACAGAGCCTTTTTTGGTTATTGTTCTTTAAAACAAAAGTTGCAATAAAGGTATATTCCATGTCTTGATCCAGTAAGTTTAGCCTTGTACTAATGTACAACTAGGACAGTATTTTTTGTGTTTAGTCAAAAATCCCAAAGCATTTGAATCATTTTAAGTCCTTTAACTAGTTCTTTCTTGTTGTGCTGATTGCCTGGATTGATTTTTTTTTCTGGCACATGAAAATTATCCTTGGGATTTCCCTGGGGTTGATTTTGAGTTTAGGTCAACTAAGCTGAGAGGGGTCTAGTAGATCTGGTGATCTTTAAGATAAGTTGACATGGCATTACCCAAGGATGTAAGAATGGACAAAGAAAGCGATTCAGTTCTCACAATAGTTTGCCAAAGCCACTTCCAGCTTTGTTCCTGATACACTTGGTAATAACGTCTCTGAAATTGTTACTCTAGCTTTTTCCACCTTTCTGTCCAGCTCTTGAGTAAGTTTTTCCAAAGCATCATTTAACTTTCCTTTACTGGGCACCAGATTTGCTGCCTCGCTAAGAGTTAGTTTCTTTCCCTTCTTATTGTGCCTTGGAAGGAGAATGCCTTTGAAAACCCTGCTGATGGTCTCTCTGGAAAATTACCGTGACTTGCAGTCATATAACTTGACGGGTATGTGGGGTAAGGATAGCCTATAGTATTTCTAGTAATGGGCAGCCAATCCAATTTCCCCTCCCCACCTGGCCCTGTTCTTTTTTTCTGGTTCTTGTGCTCCTTGGATTTCCTGCAAACCTTGGAGCAGGACGTATTCTCTGATTTTAGCTTAGTCTGTGATTGCAGAGCCTTGCTCGCAAGGAAGGCATCATCAGCAGTTTGCCTCTGTATTGGTGTTATTTTCTGTAATGGTTTAAGCTCAGTACAGCTGCTTGAGTTTACCTCAAGTCTGCAGTCTGACTTTGATAAATCATGAGCTCTAAACCTGCATAATTCACAGACGGATAGAGTAGGGTTGCTCTCCTTCCTAGGCGGCACCGCGTGTACAACTTTAATTTTTTTATCCTCTGTTCTAAACTGTGTTACGAGAGGTACAGATGTTTCATAACTGCCGGGAATTCTGCACACCTTATCCGCGCAAAGCCGATAATCTTCCCCGGCCTGAAAGCTTTCAAGAAGTCGACGATCGAACGACAAAGCAGGATCGCTAATTGCAATTCCTCCACTGCTAGTTTCCTGAAAAGTTATTATGCCACCATTCTCGAGAACGAGCGTTTGGTTTGGATACTTGTGTGACGTAAACATATTCCGCAAAACTTGTAGCGGGGTTCTCTCCACGTACTTGAGTGTTCGAGGGTCAATGATATATCTCCAGCAAGGAGTATCATAAGACAATACATCTGCGTTTTGAAAATTCCGCATATTCGCTTTTAATTGCCTATTCCCTGGCCACGTTCCTCCAGCTTTCACGTTGTTGATTTCACTCCCGCTGCTTGAATTCGAATTTGTGATCATTCCAACGAGCCGCTTAACTTTCGAATAATTGCTCTCGGAATCAGGGCTAACCCGCCAGTATTTTTCTTTCGTCTTTTTCTTCCGATCAGCTGAAGAAATATATCGAACGTTCGGCGCAGCGTCTTTCCAGCCACAAGCAACTTCGTCCAGACTGCTCGTGAACACAACACGATCATAGTCTTCTTCCTCGATCTCTTGGCTTTGGCGCTCGCTAAATTCTAATAGCTTTTCGATTAAATTGCGTTCCACGCTATTTTCCTCGCTGTCCAATAAATCAGCTGTATCATTTTCCATGGTGTTTTAAAACGAAAACTTCACTTAATCAATTATGCTCAATTCATCGTGCTGTTCATTTTCTCGAGCCGCCGACCTCATCTGAAATTCCTTTGAAAGCTTTTCCTATGATTTTGCCTTTTGCTAATGTTGTTGCTAGGCAACGCACAGCGGAAACTGCTATAATTAGCATTAATCAGGTGTCAACTTGACTAGCGACTTTTAATGGCTAATACTTTACGGTTTCCCTTTCGGCATTGAGCCAGAGCTAAGTTTATTCTATTTTAAATGCCTAAATTTCGCGTTGGTTCTTTCATTTACAACGCCCTTCTACCTGGGTTGCTTAATGACCTTTCTATTTCTGAATAACCAGCTAATGGTGTCTATTTATTGCAATTGTCTGACTTTCAATTACACTAGATTTGCATATCAAAGACATAGTTCTTGTTATGATGTAGCTCATATTTTGACCTTCTCTCTTTGTCGTTGTTTCTATTCATATTTGACATTCCGAAAAGAATGTACTTTCTCATGGCCCTTGCCTACCACACTGCGTTGCACGAGAGGCAATTTTCACTACACCACCCCCAAAAATGCATTGAAGCAGTAACTTACGAAAACAATTTAGCGGAACTGAATGGAAATTCCGTCTAATCTCTGGGTTAATCCCTATTCCTGTAATCCGAATTAAACTAAAAGCTAATCCCTGATAAAGACTGTACTCCATGGCAACAAGCCAATTATTACCCAGCTTCTAAATAAAAAATTCTAAATGAAGGCAAAACCACGGCGACAAATACCTTATAAAGACCTGGAGCAGTCAGGAGGGCTCCTGGAGCAGTAAAAATCTTGAATAAGAAGTAGAAAACAGTAAGCCGATTTTTAAGATAAGAGGATTGTTTATAAGATCATTAAAACAAAACTGGTAAAGAAATAGACTGCAAAACAGTCGGGTTTTTTCTCAAAATCAGTAAAGAAATCGGTGAAGAGTGGCGTAAGAGTCTTGCGCGCGCGAAGCGCGCGAGCCTCACACGCCCGTGGTCTCGCTCTCCGTTTTCAACCTCGTTCCAGACCTTTTGTTTGACTGCTCGCGCGTACTTGAATACGCAACAATACGGACTGTTTTGCAGTCTAGTAAAGAAAGTATTTGCAATAAACTTCAGTTTGATTTGCAACATTTTACCGCTCCGGTCCAGCCTCACACTTTTGCTCTCCCGGGGCCACTTCTTGCTCCTCCGAGTTATGATTTTGTTAGAGGATGACTAGACTGGACCCGCTTGTCCAAAGTCACTCGCCCAGCAAGAAAATCTACTTATCCCGGACTACCGGAGGGCCGGGACCATTTTCGAGTCCTTAAAGGTCGGTACACACTAGGCGACAAGTTGCAGACGTTGCAGCAACTCGTCGCGGCGACAGATCACTCCATGTGTACAGGTCGGGCGACTAGTTGCAGCAACACGGTTAGGCGACACGTCGCAGCGAAAATCGCTTCGTGTGTACTGGATAATTTTTTCTGAAAATCGTTGTCTCCGCAACAGAATTTTGTCGCTGCAACAAGTCGCAAAAAATCATGTCAGACTGAAGTTGTGCGACTTGTTGCAGAGACAAAGATTTTCACAAGCCTCCAGTACACACCAAGCGATTTGTTGCTGCAACGAAATTTCAAGGGACAGAGAAATTTCTTGTAAAAAAAGTGAAATTTCTTGTGAGAGCCACTGAGAGGAAAATGTCAGTTTTGCGGATGGAAACAAGTGACGACCCAACAATTCATCCCCCTAATTAACTTTCCGTCCCTGATGTAAACTTGTAACCCCGCCCTCCCCTGCCCCGACGCAACGCGGCCCAGTCGCCAATTAAGGCCGCGGGGGACACCAATCTATCTATGCATAAATTTTGCTTGTGCTACATCTTTTAAAACGACTTAGATAAAATAGACAGATTAAGCATCGCGTTTACGGCAAACGCCAAACGTAACATTCAAGTTGAGAAATTTTCAACATGATAAATGAGCAGATAAAAACGTCTTAAAAGAATTCTTATGGATAGAATTGGCGTGAATCTACCGTTTTTTGTATGAACAGTAAACGACACGGTAAAGAGGAAACTTGGTCACGTGGTGCAAATTCACTTGCCGTTTGTAGTAAACGCTATGCTTAATGTCACTAGTTTTACAGAGACATTGTGGAATGATGGAAGCTTGGGAAGGTTTTTTTTTTATTTGGAAGATCGCGCTTTACGGTAATGCTTTACAAAACTGGGAAATCGTGATTTTGCGTCCAATTTTGCCGAAAGAATAGAAAACAGCACTCTGTGGTTTTATTAATAAACAGTGATCGGTCAAAACTACCTCTAGTGTGTCATGTATAGAGCAGATTTAATAATTTAAAGTTTGCCAGAAAGATATAATCGTTTTAATGAGCAAATTCTGTCACATCTGAAATTAACGCCCTATATCGTTTTATAAAAGCGCTCTAACGATTCAGAAAGAAAACGTACAACGAGTTTTGGTATCAAATTTGGGTGAAGTTTCTAAAGAGTTCCGTATTTTTATTTATTTAAAAATCACTTAAACAAGGTTTACTTCCATTCAAAGCCCGTTTTTTACTTTTGAATAAACATTTTGTTCGCAGTTTCCGTGCCACACGTGCAAGTGGGGTGTCAGTAAAACGCGGGGTCGGGGTGGGGTAGGGTTAGGGTTGACAAAGTGTCTTGTTTGTGGTTTGTTTGCTCAGACTTGCGTTCTATTATCGTTACAAATCAAGCTCCTGCTCAAGATCTGGCGAAACGGATTTGAGGCAGCGTAGAAAATATTTTAAATACTTCTTTTTTGCAAGAAAACTGATTATCAGTCTGTAATCAATGCTAAAACAAGTTAGATCGCTCCAGTGACCGCAGTGGATAAGAATGAAAAGTACTTCAACACGAGGCGGTCGGGCAAAACAGTTTTAAAAGGATTGCAACAGTTCTACATCCAGCGGATATAACGCCAACTCATAAACAAATAAAAAATAATAATAATAATAATAATAACAACAAATGGTAATAAAAGCTAAAACTACAAATAAAACATATATTAACTGCTAGTAAAACAGAGGCACCCAACGACTGCAAACTTGGCCCATGTACAATTTTCGAAGCTTGTCTAATAAATTTCCTACGATTTTCTGAGATTTATTTTTTCACATTTCACTTTCCATGTTGGGCTATTTTTCGTAGAAAAAGGAAACCTAAAATTTTCGGATTCAAAAATGTAACGGAGAGAGGAAAATATAAAAAAATCTCACTTTCTTAAGACGATAAATTGCATTTAAAATTCAGTCGGGAAAATAATACTGCAGCGCTTGAAATTTCGAAAAGACGCATTAAGTTCCCCAAGGATGACCTAACAGATACAAATTTTATAGCGCCGCTTAAAATGCATTTTTAGATATCTTAAAGTACTTTGGACAGCCTGAAAAGTGTTTTCAATGTATTAAGGCGAAAATCGTCGTTAGGTGCCCCTAATAAAAGATAACCTAAAAAGTTTACTGTTAAAAATAGACAGAGATTGGCTTGTGACAGTTTCTTTTGGGAGTCTGTTCCATTCAGTTATTGTCTTGGGGAAGAAGGAAAATCTAAAATACTCCTTGTGTCCTTTCGGTACAATAAAAAAGTTAAAATCATGGCTTCCTGGTGTTCTCCTTTCTCTATTTGGAATCAAATGGCCCTCCCATTTCCCATCTAGGAAACTACAGCACATCTTCTACATAACGGAAAGCCTTGTGTGTCTTCTCATGCATGTTTCAAGTGTGTCCCACTTTAAGGAAGCGATTTCAGTCACGTGACCAGGATTCCATAAACCGGAGCGAGCAACTCCCATACTAGGCCTATATCACAGCGTTTTTAAGGACCAGTTTATTTTTAGACACATTTTAGGGCACCTTTTCCGGCGAAAATAGAATCTCCACCATGTCTATGAGCGCATTCGAGGTATAAGATATCAAACGGGAAAACTAAATGTTAGTAAAAGGCGAAAAATTTCATTTTTAGGTCTGTAGGTTTTGCTGACTGGTTAATGCAAATATAAAGATACTCAAAATTCGCGCCAAAACCGTTCTAAAAACAAACTGGTCCGTGAAAAACGCCGTGACACGAGCCCATGGAAGTTGCTAGCTCCAGGTTGTGGGCTCCTGACGTGACCTTGATATTTGACACTCCCAAAATCTCGGTAAGGTCCAGCTAGACTCTAACCAAGGGGCTTTCTTGGGATTACAAAATAAGTTTTGGAGCTTTGAACTCCAAGTGCGTTACTTCAACAGTTAAGGTGAGTAGTGGCCGCGGGCTAGCGTTTGCGCTTCAAAAAGTCACGTGACAAGTATTTTCATCCACACTGCAACACTCTAGGGTGACTAGCTATACGCTGATGTGTATGTTGAATTAAGAATACTTCGCTCGGCTCGTAGTCGTCTTTAATTTCAAAATTCGCCATCCCCCTTACTTTTTTTCTGGCTTTGGCTTAACATGGAGTTCTGCGGGGCTTGTATCAATTAGCCCTGATCTAACTCCTTATCTTTTGCTTCGGTTGACACAAAACTTTCCAGTAATGTTACTCTTACTGAAAATTATTGTTAGTTTGCAGAGTTTTAATCCATATCGAAATGTAGCTTTGCGGGCAAAAAGCAATTTTTATTAAATCTTGCAGCATTCCCGTCACCCTCGATCGTAATTTCCCGTGACTAAGCGTGCCGCTTTGCGTGGTACCTTTCTAGGGCGGATTTATCTTTCTGGTAATGCGGGTCCCATGCACTACAGGCATACTGGATCTTTGGTCTCACAAATGCCGTGTACGCACTTTCTTTCACTGTCTTTGGACAATTCCATAGATTGCGTTATATAAGTCCTAAGACAATATTTGCCCTAGATGAGATTACTTGGATGCGTGGGGACCACCTCATTTTGTTATCAAGCCCTACTCCCGGATTTAGGGTGAGAATTCACTTCAGTTCTAGAATTTCTCCACAGAATACGTACTCCCGCTTTGGTGGATCTTTCTTGGTTGTAAAACTTTGAAGGATTGAATTCCATCTTCCACTTTTGTTACCAAGCTTCTAATCTATATAGATCATCCTGAAGATCAGCTGCATCTTCATCACAACAGATTGTTCCGTATAACAATGCATCATGAAAGTCTAACGGTAGAGTTAAGACCATCAGGTAAATCATTTATATACAGTAACAACAGTAGCGGTCCTAGGACCGTTCCCTGGGGAACGCCGGATGTCGTAACTACAGGAACAGATGAAGTCCTCTCAATTACTCCTGATTGGGAAACGATTCGAACCAGTTAAGAAGTGAGCCACGAATTCCGTAATAGTCAAGTTTCGTCAAAAGACGACGATGAGGAACTTTGTCAAACGCTTTTGAAAAGTCAAGGATTGCGGCGTGAATTGTGGTTTTGTTAGACTGAATAGCACTTGCTATGTCATGAATGGTACATATGAGCTGTGTTTCTGTTGATCGTTTCGCCTTAAAGCCACGTTGGTAATCAGTGAGCACTCCATATTGCGACAGGTGTTTCGTAACATGGTTGTGCACAATGTGCTCAAAACAAGTATTTTTCAAGCCATGCAATTAAGTGATACGGGCCTATAGTTTGATGAATCCGATTTCTTTCCTTTCTTGTGAATGGCAAATACGCGTTCGTTTTCATTGGCTGGGCATAGTTCCGGCATTGATACAGTCTTGATAGACATCAGTAAGAACCTTTGATATTTCCTGGGCAATCTCAATTAAAAACCAGGGGGGAAACGGCTATCTCGACCTGAGATATGTAAGAAATAACAAGATATCTAATGAATTTGATCAGGGTCTTCGTTTTCTACGCCCCCCGCCCCCCCCAAAAAAGAAAAGGTACAAGGTGAGTAGGCTTTGATAGATTGTTCTAGCATAATTTAACTGACTAATCCGGGTTGCACGCGCAATGCATGATTTCCGAGAGTAATGTCAAATCGGTGTATTTGTCGTTATTTATTTCAAAACAACGTATAATAAAGCAATTATTAGATTCGGTTTTTGTAATATCCTGAATAATCAAGGTCTCGGTAAGTGTTATCAGCCTCGGCATTCGGCTCGGCTGATAGTACTTACCTCGATCTTGATTATTCCGGATAGCACAAAAACCTCATCCAATAATCGTTTATAATTCGTCATTACGAGTAAAATTTGCATCAATTTTCCGAAAAAAAGCACTGATAGCATAATTTGCACTTTTGGCTAGTTTTTCAGCACAAAATTGTCATTTATTGATCACGCAAAAAACTTTTTTGACCGGCAATCAGTGTGTTACAGGCAAATTTAAGTAACAATCAATTTTCTGCCCGCTTATTGTCACATTCATAGGACCTAGGGCCCGCTTCTCGAAAGTCCCGGTAACTTTGCGGGCCCGAAATCAAATATTCAAATCGAAATATAAAGAATAAGAGCGCAGGTCCTGGGTAGCAAACTACTCCATTTTGTTTCACTAACTGATAGTTTTATCATGCTAGATGCAAAACTTTTGAAACCTCGATCTTTAATGGAATACAAACGGAGACGGCTTACCGCGGGCCCGTTAATTATCGGAACTTTCGAGAAACGGGCCCCTGGATCCTACAGGAAATGACCCAGAACTCTTTCCGCAGGACTCAACGCATGTGCATAACTAGCTCGGCCAAGATGGCGCGTCCGCATGCTGGTTGTACTCGAAGCGAGTGCTGTACCATTTTTAAACTAGTGACGGCTCTGATAGTGAAAGCTATGCGAAACAAAAAGAGAAGAAGAAGAATATCTATAGGCCCTTGCACTAAGCCAGCATGTACTGGAAAGGGTTTTCATTTTCGAGTCTTTCATAAAACGAACGAATTTTCTATAAACGATAGTTTCTTTCGGTTTTTTGTTCGGCCTGTTTGCCATTTTGGGCCACTTTACCGCAACGAAAGAAAAGGCCAGAGCGAAACGAAAGCAACACCTGCCACAACTCGTCACGAAAAGCCGTAGAAAAGGGTCTTTGCAAGCATCTGCTTAGTCCTATAATTACCTTTTAAGGTAATTATAACTAATTAAAATTAGTTATGTCAAGATTGGGAGCAAGTCAAATTGAAATCACTGGCGGCTTCGCCGCTCTCGCTTCGTGTGGCGGCTCCTCCACCAAGAAAGTAACCTCGGGCGCAATAATCCCGCCAGCTACGCAGGCTCTAATTCTAATTCCATTTTTAAACTAGTGACGGCTCTGATAGTGAAAGCTATGCGAAACAAAAAGAGAAGAAGAAAAATATTTATAGGTCCATGCACTAAGCAAGCATATACTGAAAGGGTTTTCATTTTCGAGTCTTTCATAAAACGAACGAATTTTCTATGAACGATAGTTTCTTTCGGTTGTTTGTTTGGCCTGTTTGCAATTTTGGGCCACTTTGCCGCAATGAAAGAAAAAGCCAGAGCGAAACAAAAAAAAAAAGCACATGTCACAACTCATCACGAAAAGCCCTACAAAAGGGTCTTTGCAAGCATCTGCTTAGTGCTATAATTGCCTTAAGTAGCTTTAAGTTAGTGATAAACTCGCGTTATTTGCAGTCAGCTGTTTTTTATCCCTTGTTAAAAAAAATAGATTTCCCACTGTATATCGTTTTGTGCAGTTTTCTATTTTTTTCCTGGTATCCCTTCAATGTGAATAACTGTAAGTCAGAGAAACCGAAAAAAAAAAAGAAATAGGCTTCTTAAGGTACAGAAATAGCCCAATGATAACGTAGAAAGACTTTCAATATCTCACTATATTAAGGACCAGTTTCAATCGTGCTTTACTTGCAGGAAAGAAGGTGTTTTGGTAAGTACAGGCAATTATTCTACTAATGCGGTCTTTACTTTTGTTTTACTAGAAGCGTTATTTAGTTTCGTTCCGTGACAGAATATCGCAACAAAATAGAAACAAGGAGCTGCCACACGAAGCGAGTGGCGAGGTCGCGGGGGAAATTCTCTCTCAATCTTCTTGCGGGTCCCCCGCCAGAAAACTACAGCACTCGCGCAACTTCTTCCAGCCCTGCTTGAGTAACGTGTTTGGTAATTTAATCCTTGATCCCATCGATATGGGTGTTGTAGTGTTTTCGTTGATGAGAAAATGATGAATTATGTTACGTTTACAAATTTTTCTAACATATTTATTATAAAAATATTTTTAAAATATCTCATATTTCGATGTAACGTGCGGTCTGATAAAAGTGAATTGTAATCGACTAGCCTTCCGGAAGATTTCAAAATTTTAATTTAATAAAATTTAATAAAAAAAAAACAATAACTTTTCTTAATGTTATCCGTTTTACACTGACACTCCATGGCCTCTTTATCAGAACGCGCGTACTGTTGTAGGCAAATAATAACGTTCTTTAACTCGCCCACAGAGCAATATCAAGATCCAGATCTTAGAGGTGCTTGATAGTTTGTGATTCGCTGTTCCCTGCTAGCAGATTCTCCTTTTCGGTTAATTCTGCTAGTAGGGAAGACACACTGCTACACTGACGAGAAGTTTTTAAAAACCTCAGCAACTACAGTAACCACACCTGGTAAGTCATATTGAATCAGACATTACTTGTAGTCTAATGAAGGCATATCATTTGTAAAGGCTTTTAGTTCTGTAAATGCACCGATATCATAGGGTGAAGAGTTCTTCATTCTTTATTCTTCACCACCCCTCTCGCAAAAGTTTACCCCCCCTTTGTCGGCAGGTTGGGTAAGAATTTACAGAGTGTCAAATGTGAATGAAAGACCAGATTAAAAAGTAATAATAATGATAAAGAATCCATCTCAATTGTTGCAAGAAAAATTCGAAGCATTTGTCACTTCATCCACGCATGATGATGGAACATAATAAAAAAGATAAGGATTATTTCAAATATTAATAGAGCAACATCAGAACTTTTTGAAGGCATTTGCACTTCGTGTTTTATATATCAAGTTTGAAACGCTTGGCTCGCGTCGTGTTTTAAACTCTTTGCCTCGATTACACCTGTAGAATTCAAAATAATTTTTACCTTGAAGTCGGGCATCGAGGGCCAATTATTATAAAGACAAAAGAATAACAAAATTTGACGCCATTTTGGAGTAAGATGCATTATTGAAATCAAACATAAAAATTTTCAAAAGACAAGCGGAACTTTCTTACCCGATATTTGCTTTTGAAGCCAATCTTGTTTTGAGTCTCTCTTACCCTTGTCCGGAGGAACCGCTCTGGAAGAATCCAAAACCGGAACCACAAAATCCTTGTTCCGGTTTAATTGCGCCTGCGTGAAGTGCAGTTGTGTACCCATTGGTGACCTGGGGGGGTTTCCAAGGGAATTTTTCACAAAACCACGCTTCATTCGCACATTCGTTCCAAAGCAGTTTTCTTTAGGTTACCTTCAATATTGAAGCATTTAGTAAAAGAAGGAAGACAGAAATATCAAAAAATATCTTTAAAAGGCGCCCACAAGAATGATGCATTTGTACACCAACAACTGCAACATTCGTTACATTGTGTTTCCAACAACTGAAACATTCTTAAATAATGACAGCACACATTCTTTCGCGCTCGTTCCACGGCTAAAATGAACGAGCACAGCTGTCAAGTCTGTAAATTAGGAAGCTCACCGAGGAAAGTCAAATGAAGAAGATAATGACCTTTTCAGTCACTTGTAAGCATAAGACTGATCTCTATCTAAAAAAATGGCAATAAAATAACGACTTATAAAAGCTATGTCACGATGTTTTGGCATTACTTACTGTTAAACAACATATAAGAAAAAAACTTGGAAAAAAAGTAAGCCTTGATATAATGGTTCAGTTTTATAAAAAATTAGTCTACTACTTTGCCTCAACTAGAAGTGTATGTCTTTAACTTTCGAAGGCCATGATGGAAACAGATTGCAACTCGAAAAAAAAGGCCTTGTGTTGTGGAAAAATGACCAAAAACTATGATTTCTTTGTTTTCCCTTTTGATAAAATCCTTTATATATCCTTCTTTTAGAGTTCCAAGTATGATAAAAGATGACCGAGACTGAGAATACCTAGTTAGCTTTAGCTATATCAAATCTCAGCTCAGCTTTGACCAAAAAAAGAGGAACCCATAATGACATATGAAGCCCCTTAAAAATTAAGACGAAGGGAATTTTTTTACCAAACGCCACTGTAGCGTGCTTTTGTAACTGCTTTATAGGACAAAAAAACTGTTTCCTTAACGGTTTCAAGTCGTACGGCCTATTGATGATCACATAAATGGCATGTCTAAATCAAAACGAAGTGATAAAGGTGTTTTGATTAACAGGTTAATTTGCATGTCATGAAAACATTCTTATCAGAAAATCAGAGATGGCCTTTTTCAAGATTTAGTTTTTTCATTACTCTAGAGGTTGGTGATGCTCTGGTGCTTACCAAAAGGATCGCAGGCAGCCAGATAATTTTGACGCAATCTCGTACCCAGAGTCTTCTGGCCGAATTTTTGTCAGCGGCGCTGACAAAAAAACCAGAAGAATGATTTTGACACAATTTTAATTCCCAACATGCAAAGAAAGAATTTTGTAAAGTTTGAAAATAGACACCTTTCTTTTATCGTTATCTCCATCTTTATCGACAATTCTTAATTTTTTTTTTTAGTTTTATTATCAGATTTTTCGATAGCTAGAATTGCGGCTTTATTGTAAATAGCTATATTGTGGGGGTGGGTTTTGTTTTAATTTGTATTTTTGCGTTTTAGAGGGCCACCAGTTTGTCAGTAATTTTTAGTTACATTTATGAGTTACCCTCTCAAAATAAAAGTCTTTGCTATCTACTTACCTACTTACTCAACCACCTACCTACCTACCTTGATGATAATGCCATAATAAACCCTTTTTTATATAAGAATATATTTTAGAGGAATATCAAGGCTGAAATTTGCAAAATTTAAGAATATCTTAAGAATAAACCCCGGGCTGAGACTATGAAAGTGATATAGTTTGTGTGGTGAAAATCTATAAATGCAAGAATATTTTCAGCCGGAAATCAATAGCAAATAAAAATATTCAGCCCGGGCTGGGAAAACAACATTCCGTATATGTATAAAAAAAAGAGTGTAACTTCTTTTTTCCCCGTTTAATTTCAGCCGAAGTAGATTGAATTAAATAGACCATCATTCACTCAAAGGGACACAACAAGAAGATGGAAATGTAAGTATCTATGAGTGTCTCATACAGTCATTTTGACTAGAAAAGTCCAATGCGTGAACCCCAAGATAGGGTATAATCATTAGTCTGTCTTGCTTTATAAGCGAGACTCTAAAAATGCGAGCGTTTCTTTGCTCTTTTTTTTTTTGTCGTGTGTGGGCGCCATAAGGAGGTCATGCTCCCTGGCGTTACTAGCAGAGACCGTGGAAGCTGGGCATAAGAATGACGACGTGTCGGACTTAATTGTATGCAAATGAGTCTTGTGATGAGCATGCGTGGTTTATTTTCGACGATTATTGAAACGACGCGCCATGTTCATTATACATAACATAACATAAAACTTTATTTATACTCGAATTTTAGAGAAGCTAACAAGCTAATATCTTCGAGCTGACACTACGTGAAAATAATATAGAAATATATAACATTAAATGCATTATAAGAAATAATAATAAAATAATATTAAAAATAAGCACATAAAAAAAAAAGAAAAGAAAATATTATTTACAATTCACAGTTTTAAGTTTAAGTATGTCAGGCAAAAAGAATCTATATGAAGGTAACATCCTGTATTTCGGTCTTGAAGTCTGCAAAAAAACTGGTACAAAAAAAGCCCGGCAGTGCATTCCACTGCTTAGCTGAAAAGTAAGAAAAGGAGTTAAGACCATAGGTAGTTGTTTTAGGTTTACTTAGTGAAAGAATGTAGTTGCCACGAAGATCATAGGAAGAGAACCGGAGTGAAAACATATTCTTCATATAAGTAGGAAAATGATGGAAAAACAAACTCTTATATAACAGAATGAGAAAGTTTTGAATGCGTTTGTTACACAGCGAAGTAGAGCTGACTTTTGAGAGAAGAGTCTTGTATGGAGACGAGTAATCTCCAAGGAGAAATCTAAGTATTCTTTTATTTAAAGCTTCAAGCTTATCCGCATCGCGCGCTCCACAAAAGTGCCAGACAGAGGAGCAATAATAAAAATAAAAAAATCACGTTTTCGTTTTCTGGCAATGACGGAAATTTCTCTCTAATCGAGACCCTTTGCTTTCGCTTATGTATACGCGCGTACTCAATCAATTCAGAAACAAGTCGTCGAATATATGCGATCAAGAGACTATAAAGGGGACAGAGAGGGCATCCCCCATATACACCCTATTCCATAGGTAATTCGTCTCGAGTTATTTTGAACACCACAGATCTCAAGGGGGATTAGATAACAGCCAATCACATAGCGCGAATGTGTTCCGCATGGATGACCCACGCTGAGAGCCACGCGTCCTTCACGAAATGACGCAGAACAAAATGGGGGAAGACGCGGAGAGCGGTATTGCTATTCCTTTTGTCGACGAAAACGACTACAGCGAGATTTCTGCGAAAGCTGTGTCAGCGAAACCGAAATTAAAAAAGAATCGCCCTTCCTCTCTTGTATAGAGCTAACAGTAGAGCAGGGAAATCCTTAACAACTGAATATTCTCTCAAGATCATTTATAATTTACAGTTTGAAGAGAGCAATTTCTGGTTTGATGTTTATTTTTTTCAGTCTTTATAGCGATTATTCCTACCCACTTACTTTGTCAATTGTAGGCGAATCCTCCTAAAGCTGAATTTCAAGGGACCATATTCAAGCTCAGAAAGAGAAATAAAATTTCGTCGTTGCTTATTTACGCCCTCCATAAAACGCGAAATTAGGCATTTTCACGTCGTAGTCGTGCAAAAACGGGAAAGAAATGAACAAAGAAGTGTGTTGCACGTGCGAAGTTGTTGTTTTTCTAATTAAAACTATTGTTGTTTTGACGTTCTAGTTGTCGTCCGCGTCGTTGGATCTTAAACTCCCTAAATTGTACAAACGACCGGTTTCGATAGACCGGCGAAATTTCTCATTTTATTAAAGCACTGAGGTTACGACAACTTCGAGTTAAACTGATTTCACGGGTTGTCAAAGAGTCCAGCGATTCCTTTTTCCCAGGTGAGCGCCGACTCATTTCGCTTCAATATTCAGAAATGCTCTCGATCTTTTTACGTTTTCATTGCATCTCGCCGACATGTTTTGCACGGCGTTTGGTCATGCGAAACCTCCACGAAACATCCACGCCTCGCGCGAGGTAACTTTATCCCGATTCTAAAAATAACTCGAGACGAATTACCTATGGAATAGGGTGTATATGGAGAATCCCCTCTCTGTCCCCTTTATAGTCTCTTGATACGATATAAAAAGTAAATATCCTTAAGAATACTCAACCATCGATAAAGTAGGAGGTGAAAGACTGCCCCCTCCTCTCAGAAAAAAAATCGAAGAAGGGGCCCCTTCTCCGATTTTTTCTCTGAGGGGAGGTGGCGGCTGTACACAGGCTAGCATCTAACACGTTAGTCTTTTTTATTGCTTCATCTTTGGAAAAGAGAGGAACAATATCAGCCTAGTCCCCAGGCGTTGTCTGTTCCGTCAATCATGGACCCTAGGTGACGTCAATGAAAGTGACTAGCACAGACCCTTTCCCAGACTTTGTTCGGACAACGACGCAAAAGAGAATGCCTGGGGACTAGGCTGAGGCGGAATTACTGAGCATTAGATCCCATCGGCCTGAACCCCTTGGACACCATATGAATTTTACACAACGTAGTATTCTTTATTGCTTCCAAACTACACTTAGATGAAATTTCTAAGTCTCGTGAAATTTCTGCTCAGGAAATGTTCTTGAAAGTGTAAGTCTCTTCAACTTTTAAGGAAGAAAAAAAACAGAAGAGCGTGTGCAAATATTGAATTCCGGAAGGTGGTGACAGTAATCCATCACCTATGCCACTACGCCACTGAGGATTGGGTGGCGAGAGTTGGTTTGATTTGAAGCTATATAGTAACAACCCTAACCCTAAATAGAAGCTAACCATTTCGAGACAGTGCTTAACCCTAAACAGTATTTTCAGTGCTTAAAGGTCAAATGAACCAAACTTTCGACCTTTTTCATTTTAGTGCAATTCTAGTGAAATGTGTTTAATATGAACCAAATAAACATACTATGAAGTTTCAGCTCAATTGAAGCAAGTATCTACGAGATATTCGAAATTAAAAATTGCTATTTTTTGGCCCTTATCTTCGTAGAGCGGTCGGTAAAATTGTCGGAAAAAACAGCTTGTGACGTCAATGTTGATCAGGTGAAAAAGGCGGGAAATTCAAAACAGTGTTTTTCGAGTCGACTTGGCACAGAAGTGGTTTGCGCGGCCATAAACCTGGAAAGAACAGGCAATTTGTCTTTAAAAGTTGCAAGCTATGGTTATAACCTTCTTATCATTTAATTTTATCGAAGAATACATCATAGTAAAACGGACTTTAACGACATTTACTAATTTTCTTGAATTGTACTGGAAATGTGCGTGCGTAAGTCCGATTTTTTTCAAGACGCATTCACAAAATGCGTTCATATAAGGAAGTTCCTGAATATATAAGGTCCGGAGTTCCACCGTGGACACAAAAACAAAATATCTTTGTATAATAATCTGCCCAAAGAAATTCAAGTTTGCCCACAATGTGTTTGAAGTCACTGAACTTTGTCGCACTCGAGCTGATATTTAAAACCCACGCTCGATCGGACACTTCTACTGAGCTTCGCAGATCACTAAAATATAAAAACAGTCCTCAATGTAGAAGTTTTGGCGTTGATATGATGGCAGAAAAAGAGTTAATCTTTATCTAGTAAATCTTCCCCAAGATCGGTCTCAAAGCAACCATAGTTTTTTAAACTTGATCGTTTCGCGCAGATTAATTTTGCTTTGTATTGTTAAGTTGAACATGCATAACACCTGTCAAAAACCAACGCGTAAGTAAGATTTCCTTCAAACAACGTTAAAGTTACATTATTGCAAAAACTTCTTTCCAATTATGTATAAGATTTAATTACCGATTGAGGTCACTTTAAGGACCATAGACGCCACTTTAATAAGCTGGCAAAGAGATGCGACAAGCAAAGAACAATTCCATCATGCATAAATTCAGCTTAAGTGAACTAAAAATGCTTAGATAAGTTGCAAAACAACAAATTTTCATTAAAAAAACGTAAGGCTTAAGGCTCTTATACCCGCTGACAAAGAAGAAGTGAATTTTCTGTACGGAAACAACCTACCTAAAGATCTTAAAAGCAAAAGATCAGTTGTTTCGCAGCCAAGCCATGATTCCGACTGCTTAGCTAGATTAGCTACTTTTAATAACTGGTCCATGCGAGGGTCTTCATTCAAGCAAATTAAACTCAGCAAACTGAATCATTAGAAAATAGAGAAAACTGCACATAAGGATTTGTTTTGCTCGCTTCAGTCAAATCCTGCTCCAGCAATTGTTTACGGCCAAAGAGTCGATTGTTTTGGAGTCACTGTCGGCAGTTGTCGTTCTCCTCTACTTCACAGCGAGTGAAGGAAAATTTGCGTACAGAAAGATAACAAACCTCTGTAATTAACACTGAAAAAACTAAAGGAAAAAACTCTGACTATTACTACTTGGGCAACACAAAAATGATCGAAGTAGTCTTTTCTTCTCGAGTAAGCTTGCAGACCTTCTAAAGTTCCGAGGAAGTTTTAAGCGCTCAAGTTTGTTCACTCACAAGCGTTAGCATTACGGTTCTTTGACATAAGAAAAGGATAAAGATGGTTCTGCAAAGGTAAATAAATCTGGGCATGTAAAAAAACTTACCGTAACTACTAGTAACAGAATACAAGCGGGTTTTAAGTCAGTCCGGCGAAAGAAGGCGAAGCACTGGACACAAAATCAATTCACAAATCGAATGTACAATTATCAGAAAAATACAAACCTCTTTGGACATGTTCAAAACGTTTTATTCCTCCTCAGACTGACGGATGATCTGTTTTTACTGTAACATTGGATGTTCTGAATCCAAAGTAATTTTCAAGTGACGAAACAACAACAACAACAACAAGAAAAACAAAAAAAGCCTCTACATGGAGCAAACGTTCGCACCTCGTGTATTTCATTCAGTCTCAGTCAGAACTCTCACAGAACGAGACAAACAAACGCAGGCGATAAGGGATGCGCAGAAGCTTGCGCAGAATGTTTTTCCGCCCTGAAAGACCAACTTTGACGTCACGTAGTCTCCAGTCTATCACTCGCCCATTTCAGAAACGTTTTCGTGAAGTTTTCGGAAATGCTCGGATTTTCGTCTTTTATCTTTCTATAAAGACTTGGGAAGAAAAATCTTTACCCAAATCTCACTTAGGGTGGTTCTTGTTAGTGTTTCATGAACGTAAAGCGACAAAAGAAAATATGTCAATTTTTTGGGTCATTTGACCTTTAACCTTAATCAGTAGTATCACGTGCTGTCATGGCGAGCGGACGTGTATTTTTCACTGGGTGAGCTTCGTTATATGTAATGTTTTTTCTTATTGCATTTCTTCGATTGCATTTTTGTCTTAGTTTAAAAATTTACAGAGCCCTTTCGCTTTTTTAGCCTAACTATGATTAATACGATTACCTAATAATTTTAAGATTCACTCTAGCTCTGCCATTGATTTTTGCATGTGTAATTATGATAATAGTTTGTATAATAAGCCCAGTGGCTTCCCTTGGGCTTCCTCGCCATTAGCCTTTTAAATAATTAGATTTTCTTGCTTTTGTACAACTTATGCAAAACAATAAACTAAAAGTGAACTTGAAACAGTATAGACCTTTGTCACGCTGCGGCCATTTTGTCTCAGGAGATTTAGAAAGCCTTGTTTATGCTAGCCTGCGAACGGCAGACGTTTCTCATCGCTCATCGCCGCTGAGGGACTTTTCACGAGGAGGAATACGTTCCTCCTCGCAAAACGGTCCTCAGCAGCGATGAGCGAGGAGAAACGTTTGCCGTTCGCAGGCTATGTTTATGCACGGCTAGCCTCGTTCTCTCTACAAGGCTAGCCGTGCATAAACAAAGCTTTTTAAATCTCCTGAGACAAAATGGCCCCAGCGTGACAAAGGTCTATTGCTTAACCCTCCTCGTTACGTTGTTTTTTCGGCTTTATTCTCTTAGAGAGCTTGATGTGCACAACAGAGACGAACAACTTCTAGCAAGTCTTCTTCTTGTCTGCCAATATCTTCGCAACACAAATCGGGTTCCAAATGCTATCGAGATATGTAAAGAGGTTTTGTTTCTTCTCGAGCATAAGACGCTGGGAAATACAGACCAAACGTGTGTCAAACGCTTTGAGAATGTTCACAGTCGCCCAATAAAACGCGGCATGAGACGTCTCTTCACTTTTCGACAAGTTTTCGCGAGAAAAGTGGAACTAAGCACAACCTATACACTGGTAGAATTATACCAAAATCAACGTAAATACAGTGAAGCAGAGGGCCTTTGCTTAAAAGCAATACACATCGCAGAGAAAATTGGGGACAGGGAAATAGAAGCCACAAGCTATGGAAACCTAGGAAATATATATGATTCTCTTGGTGAATATGTAAAGGCTAAAGAACATTACGAAAAAGCAATTGCAATCGCAGAGAAAATTGGCGACAGGGAAACAGAAGCCACAAGCTATGCAAACCTAGGACACGTCTTTCATTCTCTTCGTGAATATGTCAAGGCTAAAGAACATTGTGAAAAAGCACTAGCAATCGCAGAGAAAATTGGCGACAGGGAAATAGAAGCCAGAAGCTATGGAAACCTAGGACACGTCTTTAATTCTCTTGGTGAATATGTCAAGGCTAAAGAACATTGCAAAAAAGCAATTGCAATCGCAGAGAAAATTGGCGACAGGGAAATAGAAGCCAGAAGCTATGGAAACCTAGGACACGTCTTTCATTCTCTTGGTGAATATGTCAAGGCTAAAGAACATTACGAAAAAGCAATTGCAATCGCAGAGAAAATTGGCGACAGGAAAATAGAAGCCACAAGCTATGTAAACCTAGGACCAGTCTTTAATTCTCTTGGTGAATATGTCAAGGCTAAAGAACATTGCAAAAAAGCACTAGCAATCGCAGAGAAAATTGGCCACAGGGAAATAGAAGCTAGAAGCTATCGAAACCTAGGAAACGTCTTTAATTCTCTTGGTGAATATGTCAAGGCTAAAGAACATTACGAAAAAGCAATTGTAATCGCAGAGAAAATTGGCGACAGGGAAATAGAAGCCACAAGCTATGCAAACCTAGGAGACGTCTTTCATTCTCTTGGTGAATATGTCAAGGCTAAAGAACATTACGAAAAAGCAATTGCAATCGCAGAGAAAATTGGCGACAGGGAAATAGAAGCCACAAGCTATCGAAACCTAGGACACGTCTTTCATTCTCTTCGTGAATATGTCAAGGCTAAAGAACATTACGAAAAAGCACTAGCAATCGCAGAGAAAATTGGCGACAGGGAAATAGAAGCCAGAAGCTATGGAAACCTAGGACACGTCTTTAATTCTCTTGGTGAATATGTCAAGGCTAAAGAACATTGCAAAAAAGCAATTGCAATCGCAGAGAAAATTGGCGACAGGGAAATAGAAGCCAGAAGCTATGGAAACCTAGGACACGTCTTTCATTCTCTTGGTGAATATGTCAAGGCTAAAGAACATTACGAAAAAGCAATTGCAATCGCAGAGAAAATTGGCGACAGGAAAATAGAAGCCACAAGCTATGTAAACCTAGGACGCGTCTTTAATTCTCTTGGTGAATATGTCAAGGCTAAAGAACATTACGAAAAAGCAATTGCAATCGCAGAGAAAATTGGCGACAGGGAAATAGAAGCCACAAGCTATCGAAACCTAGGACACGTCTTTCATTCTCTTCGTGAATATGTCAAGGCTAAAGAACATTGCGAAAAAGCACTAGCAATCGCAGAGAAAATTGGCGACAGGGAAATAGAAGCCACAAGCTATGGAAACCTAGGACGCGTCTTTAATTCTCTTGGTGAATATGTCAAGGCTAAAGAACATTACGAAAAAGCAATTGCAATCGCAGAGAAAATTGGCGACAGGAAAATAGAAGCCAAAAGCTATCGAAACCTAGGACACGTCTTTAATTCTCTTGGTGAATATGTCAAGGCTAAAGAACATTACGAAAAAGCAATTGCAATCGCAGAGAAAATTGGCCACAGGGAAATAGAAGCCGGAAGCTATGGAAACCTAGGACGCGTCTTTAATTCTCTTGGTGAATATGTCAAGGCTAAAGAACATTACGAAAAAGCACTAGCAATCGCAGAGAAAATTGGCGACAGGGAAATAGAAGCCACAAGCTATGCAACCCTAGGAGACGTCTTTCATTCTCTTGGTGAATATGTCAAGGCTAAAGAACATTGCGAAAAAGCACTAGCAATCGCAGAGAAAATTGGCCACAGGGAAATAGAAGCCAGAAGCTATCGAAACCTAGGAAACGTCTTTCATTCTCTTCGTGAATATGTCAAGGCTAAAGAACATTACGAAAAAGCAATTGTAATCGCAGAGAAAATTGGCGACAGGGAAATAGAAGCCACAAGCTATGCAAACCTAGGAGACGTCTTTCATTCTCTTGGTGAATATGTCAAGGCTAAAGAACATTACGAAAAAGCACTAGCAATCGCAGAGAAAATTGGCGACAGGGAAATAGAAGCCACAAGCTATGGAAACCTAGGACACGTCTTTAATTCTCTTCGTGAATATGTCAAGGCTAAAGAACATTGCGAAAAAGCACTAGCAATCGCAGAGAAAATTGGCGACAGGGAAATAGAAGCCACAAGCTATGGAAACCTAGGACGCGTCTTTAATTCTCTTGGTGAATATGTCAAGGCTAAAGAACATTACGAAAAAGCAATTGCAATCGCAGAGAAAATTGGCCACAGGGAAATAGAAGCCACAAGCTATGGAAACCTAGGACGCGTCTTTAATTCTCTTGGTGAATATGTCAAGGCTAAAGAACATTGCGAAAAAGCAATTGCAATCGCAGAGAAAATTGGCCACAGGGAAATAGAAGCCGGAAGCTATGGAAACCTAGGACGCGTCTTTAATTCTCTTGGTGAATATGTCAAGGCTAAAGAACATTACGAAAAAGCACTAGCAATCGCAGAGAAAATTGGCGACAGGGAAATAGAAGCCACAAGCTATGCAACCCTAGGAGACGTCTTTCATTCTCTTGGTGAATATGTCAAGGCTAAAGAACATTGCGAAAAAGCACTAGCAATCGCAGAGAAAATTGGCGACAGGAAAATAGAAGCCAGAAGCTATCAAAACCTAGGAGACGTCTTTCATTCTCTTGGTGAATATGTCAAGGCTAAAGAACATTGCGAAAAAGCACTAGCAATCGCAGAGAAAATTGGCCACAGGGAAATAGAAGCCAGAAGCTATCGAAACCTAGGACACGTCTTTCATTCTTTTGGTGAATATGTCAAGGCTAAAGAACATTGCAAAAAAGCAATTGCAATCGCAGAGAAAATTGGCGTCAGGGGAATAGAAGCCAGAAGCTATGGAACAATAGGAAACGTCTTTCATTCTCTTGGTGAATATGTCAAGGCTATAGAACATTACGAAAAAGCAATTGCAATCGCAGAGAAAATTGGCGATGGGCAGGTAGAAGCCCATTGCTATTTAAACCTGGCAAGTATCTTTGAGTCTCTTGGTGAATATGCCAAGGCTAAAGAATGCCTCGAAAAAGGTTTTGTATTGGAAAGAAAGTATGGGAATAGCGAACACGAGTCAATTTATCACTTACTTCTTTCAATTCTTATGTTTAAAGAAGGCAACATATCTGAAAGTAAATCAAACGCCTTTCTCAGTTTGAATAAGGCAGAAGTTATTCGACGTCTCCAAGTACATGATAAATTCAAGATATCGTGTTTTGATCGAATGTTTAGTAATTACCGAATACTCAGTCAATTTCTTTGTGATGCTGACTTTCCTTATGAAGCTCTTTACACGGAAGAATTTAGACGAGCGAGGGCCCTTAAAGACTTAATGGCAGCTCGGTACTCTGTAGAAAACGAAATACCAGTCAGTCCACAAACATGGGATTATATTGAAAGTATCGTCAAGAAAGAATCCAACTGTGCTTGTCTTTACATATCATACTCCGGGAAGAAGATAAATTTTTGGGTTGTTAAAGCAGACAACCCTTTAATTTTCCGGCAAATAGAAGTAAATGATGTTTTTGGATCAGTTTGCAGAGTGGCTGACTTGCTTTGTCGTGAAATTTACAGAGAGGTACTTTGTTTAGCTCCTGAACAGTGCGAGGATCGATC